TCACAAAAGAACTTTTTATCAGATTTCTTCTGAGCATTTCCACAAACCCCCAGGAGGGAACAAAGTTAAACTCCCAAAACTAATTAAGCACACATATTTCTGGAGTAAACAAAGAACAGAACTACTACAAAGGAGAGCATTTGGCAACCCCAGAGGACAGCGATCATTATCACCTTTATGTGAAACCTGTTTCCTGGCACTAAGATTAACAGCCTAAGATTAACATATCAGAAAAGCTACATCAAAAGAAGCTGCCCACTATCTTTGATGACCCAGGATGCCTGCCTGGCTGTGTATGTGACTTGTGAAGAAAGAGAAATGGAACAGGGATGCAGAGGTATAGATTGATCAAGAATCATATCAAAATAGTTTAAACCCAGTCAATGCAATGCTTTCATTGCTGACACAGATGGCTTACTCTATATTTATTATAATTCCTCATAGCAATCCCACCTGATCACTACATGTGTCACCCAGGAGATCGCAGCCACAGAGATAAGAAAAAGTTGTTTTGTTGTCTGGAGAGGTCACTTCCTGGTTTGCTGCATCAAGGCAACTGGGTGTTGGAATTTTGGGCCCCTAACAATTTCGCGCCCGGGGCAACCCACGCTATGTTACTGAAACAGGTTGAAGATTTCACCAGAACCTGCCACGGTGCAACGTAGGTAAGTGATGCTTTGGTAGGGGCAGCAGCTGGAGGGCACTTCCTGTACCCTCCACAACCCGGGATGTACCACCGCTGGTCATATAGCCTCAGGAGCAGGGCTAAAAGCAGTCTCCCTGTACCCGTGTTGGTTCTCTCCCCCCCCTTTTAAAGTTTGAATAGAGCAAATAGTGCACCATGCCAAATCCTTATAAATTTTATAATATTGCGTCATATAAGTGGGGAAGATTTAAAGCACAGTCTGGTTGTCACGGTCTGGTTCACGGGCGATCAGAGTCCCGGCAGGGGACGTCAGGACCGGGGGCAAGATGGTGGGGTGGAGCAGGAAGGGGGGTCCAGAAGCCAGGAAGCCAAGGGTCTGAGGGTCAGGAAGCAAGGAGTCAAGGGTCCAGGATGAAGAAGCAAGGAGTCAAGAAGTCAGGGGTCCGAGGATCAAGAAGCAGGGAGTCAAGAAGCCCGAGGTTCAAGGATCAGGAAGCAAGAAGCCAAAGGCAGGAAGGGTGTTGCTGTGGCAAAGAGCCGAAGGGAAATGCTGACCTTATATCCCTTCCTGGCTCTTGCCACCAGGTGCTGTGAGTTACCAATCGGCCTCACCTGTGTGGTCGCGCCTTGCCTCTTCAGAACAAACTTAGGAAGGCCCCAGTCCTGCAAAGTCCTATTGGTCACAGGGCCTGGCTCCTGCACGCACACCTGACACTGGTGGATGGAAAACTGGAGAAGTGATTTCCCTCTGCTCATGGTTTTCTCTTGAAAACTACTTCTAACTAGCCAGCTTACTTCTACACATGCAGCCCTGACAGGAGAAAAATGACTAGACTGTAGAGATTCTAAGGCACAGAAAGCAGAAGACCCTCCAGCCACACTTCATCTTCCCTGCTGACCATCACCCTGCAATTTCAGAAGCATCCATGTTGACCCAATTCTGCCCCATGAAGCGAAAGTTTTGAAATTCGCAACTGGTGGTGCAATATGAGAATGGCTACACTATTAAACACTATTAAACAACATGCTTCACACCCATGGGTGGGAAGAGCTGCCCACGGGGGTAGGGCAAGCGTCCCGGGGGGTGGTGGTGATGTCAGCCCCCTCAGGGATAACACCCAGGGCGGACCACACCCACCGCACCCCCTTCCTCCGCCAGTGGAGCCTCTGTAACATATTGCCCTGGGAAGATTGGCTCTAGGCCTACTCTTCTTAGAATAATAAATGTTGCTTGGATAGGCCTACCTGCAGTTTCTCTGATCTTAAAAACGTTGCGAAGGGAAGGATTTCATAACACGTAATGTTGCAGGCGGCTTTTAGTTTGACCCCCTCGTCCTTCCCACTGCTTTGGCACAGCTCAGATAAAATATTAGAAGAATGAGCACAATTATTTCTCCTCAGAAATACATGTGTGCCTCATTTCTCAGAACTTTGTGGTACAGAAATGTGGAAAATGCTTCCTTTCAAACAGTGAGGATTGGGTCTGTTACATCTACCTCCCTGAAGCTCTGACTCCCTGACTAACACTTGGTTGCTACCGTATTTTTTGCTCTATAAGACGCACCAGACCACAAGATGCACCTAGTTTTTGGAGGAGGAAAACAAGAAAAAATATATTCTGAATCTCAGAAGCCAGAACAGAAAGAGGGATCTCTGCGCAGCAGAAGCAGCAATCTCTCTTGCTGTTCTGGCTTCTGGGATAGCTGTGCAGCCTGCATTCGCTCCATAAGACGCACACACATTTCCCCTTACTTTTTAGGAGGGAAAAAGTGAGTCTTATAGAGCAAAAAATACGGTGATTATTTTAACTGTTTAGAATGGAGCAATTGTTGTTGTTGTTTAGTCGTGTCCGACTCTTCGTGACTCCATGGACCAGAGCACGCCAGGCACTTCTGTCTTCCACTGCCTCCTGCAGTTTAGTCAAACTCATGCTGGTAGCTTCAAGAACACTGTCCAACCATCTCGTCCTCTGTCGTCCCCTTCTCCTTGTGCCCTCAATCTTTCCCAACATCAGGGTCTTTTCCAGGGAGTCTTCTCTTCTCATGAGGTGGCCAAAGTCTTGGAGCCTCAGCTTCAGGATCTGTCCTTCCAGTGAGCACTCAGGGCTGATTTCCTTCAGAATGGATAGGTTTGATCTTCTTGCAGTCCATGGGACTCTCAAGAGTCTCCTCCAGCACCATAATTCAAACCCCTTCATGGATCACTGCCTTGCCGTGGCGAAGGGGCTTGAATAACTCAGAGAAGCTATGACCTATGCCGAGCAGGGCACCCAAGATGGACAGGTCATAGTGGAGAGTTTTGACCAAATGTGATCCACCTGGAGGAACCGGCAAGCCACTCCAGTATCCCTGCCAAGAAAACTCCATGGACAAAGACAACAGGCAATGGAGCAATTAAAATTAGTTTAATTCATTCTCCTGTTCGTTTTAGGAATTTATATGCTGCCCTTTGATTATATTTTTTTCAGGGCAGCTTGCAAATAAAATAGTGTCACACACCGCTCCAATCTCTGAGCAGTCTGAGAATCCAGGGGTTCCATACCTAAGGTCCATGGAAATGAGGCACTGCGGAGACTGTGGTGTCTTTATGATATATGGTTTATTTAACATGTATACAACCTGAGCCTACGTTGGAGGGGTTCACAGAATTAACACCCCAAGAGGGTCTTGCTTCTCCCATAGCCACAGAAGCCTTGGATTCAAACATGAATCCATCATTGTGCTCTCTCCCTCTCCAGCTTGCTGCATTTAACAAACTGCAACCTCTTACCCCTAGGTCACATCACCACCACTGCAATCCTAAACTCAACTCTGCTATCTCAGAGCTGAGGGAGGGGTACCTTCCATTTTCCACACGGCACAGAAAGCCATCTCTCTGACTTTCCTTTGCCTTTGGTTAATGACTGATTTACCAGGTGATTTCCTGAATATGGGAAGTTAGTTCAATGGCTTAGCCTGTATCTTAACACTTGGCTAAATCCACCTATTAGACCCAGGAAATTAGGGAAATCTGACACTCCCAAACCCTGGCACCCCCAACTCATAATAATACATAATAAAACAAAGCAGTATAAAAACAGAAATAAAACTGAGGATTTAAACACCTTTTTTTAAAAAAAAGTAATTTATCCTGCCCTTCCATTTTCCACACGGCACAGAAAGCCATCTCTCTGACTTTCCTTTGCCTTTGGTTAATGACTGATTTACCAGGTGATTTCCTGAATATGGGAAGTTAGTTCAATGGCTTAGCCTGTATCTTAACACTTGGCTAAATCCACCTATTAGACCCAGGAAATTAGGAAAACTGACACTCCCAAACCCTGGCACCCCCAACTCATAATAATACATAATAAAACAAAGCAGTATAAAAACAGAAATAAAACTGAGGATTTAAACACCTTTTTTAAAAAAAAGTAATTTATCCTGCCTGACTGGAAATCCTGTGTACAGTCAAAGTGTGGAAAAAGTGGTAGCTTTTTAGCAGGGAAGAGAAAAATAACTACACATGCGCACTGACTTTATCATCACTTCAGCTGTTCCAGGAGTTTTTTCTGGTGTTTGAGAACAGTAATGGGGCACAGTCACATCAAATTTGTCACGGTAGACCCCTTCCCTGCCTCTATGGGTGATGCAGACACACTGCTGAGCTATGAGCTACTCAGTAGGAAGACCAAGCACACACTGAGGGCACTGGAAAACCAAGGGCACAAAAAAGATTTTTTAAAAAAATTGGAAAGAATTTGACACTTGATCTTTCGAAAGAAGCGCTGAAGGAGAAATCGTGGCAGAAACAAGAACTTCGTTCGACTTCCTCTCCTTCACACTCTTCCTTCATTTCCCCGTTCTCTTTATGACTTATCCCCACCTAAACCAGGGGGCGCCCCACCGACAGCAGATCAAAATAACGCCAGGAAGAAGAGCCCTGGTAGTGTGTTGCACACAGGGCACAATGCACGCGTGCACATCTCGCCCTGCATGCAAGTTTTGCGTCCTCGCAAAAAAACAAAACACCAGCAACGCGGCTTGCTTTTTTGAACTGCATCGCCACCAATATCATGTTATTATTTGCATCCTCCCACCTCACTGGCTTCCTCCAGACGCATATTTTGCTTTTCCCCGGAGGTTGGTGGGGGGAGCACCCCAGTTTGCCCGTCTCTAGGGACCTTTCCAGGTCCGGCTCTGCGCACGACTTGTGCCAAGAAGGAGCGTGGGCGAGGACCAAGGAGTGCGCAAAGGCGCCCTCGCGCAAAGTCACCGCGCTTGACCCTGGCGGGGTGGCGGGCGGGACCAAGAGAAGGAGAAGGAGGAGCGCCGTCTGACATTTCCTGCCCAGGCTACCTTGCGAAGGGACTCCTGAGCCCGCCTCCCGCTCGCGAAAGCAAGGTGGGTTGGCCCCGGCCGGGCGCTTTTAGCCCTCCCGCCGTTGCCATACTGCTGCTGCTGCAAGCCAAAGCCAGGCACCCGGGGTCTCCACCATGGAGCGCAGCTCGGCCGCCGTGGGTGCCGTGAGGCGCCTCCGCACGCATCCTGCTCAGCAGCAGCAGCAGCAGCAGCACCCTCGCCCAAACCAGCAGCAGCAGCCGCCGTGGCGCCCGGACCAGGAGCCCGACGGACTGGACGGGAAGAAGCCGGCGGGCAGCCGGGGAGGAGGAGGAGCGAGGGGCCTCCCGCTGCTGCCGGAGGCGCGCACGGCCCTGCTGCTGCTGCTCTACTTGCTGGCGCTGCGCGGGATCGCGCACCTCTCCCTGCGGAGGCTGGTGCAGCCGGCGGAGCGCCGCCCCGGCGAGGATTTCAGCGCCCCGCGCGCCAGGTAACCGCAGGTAGCGGCGGCTCTTGCGCGCGCTTGCCGGGTCCCAGGTCCCTTCTTCCGTGGTCAAGAGTGGGGTGCGTGGGTGGGAAGGGTTCAGAGACAGATCCCCCTCCAAAAATCAAGTACCGTATTTTTCGCTCTATAAGATACACCAGACCACAAGACGCACCTAGTTTTTGGAGGAGGAAAAAATGAAAAAAAATATTCTGAATCTCAGAAGCCAGAACAGCAAGAGGGATCGCTGCGCAGTGAAAGCAGCAATCCCTCTTGCTGTTCTGGCTTCTGGGATAGCTGCGCTGCCTGCATTCACTCCATAAGACGCACACACATTTCCCCTTACTTTTTAGGAGGGAAAAAGTGAGTCTTATAGAGCAAAAAATACGGTACATAACTAACTGAAGTTCTGGCCCCCACTCCAACGTAAAGCCTGCCCGCCCCCTCGAACGTGAATCCTAGCTACACCCGTGGTCCCTTCCCCCGTCCTCGCTGCGCACCTGCATCGCTGGGAGAGGGAGACATGGGCGTCGCCGGGGAGCGGGGAAGACGGAGCCACAATGCTATTGAAAAGCATTGAAAGTACACAATGATCTGAGGTCCTGTGTCCCCCGCCTCCCAGCAGAAGCCCCCCCCCCATGTCCTCAACAACTTTGGAGGATCCCCTAAAAAAAGCTTTGGCTGCCCCCCTCCCCAACAAAAACATTGGCTCTGCCCATGGAGAGAGAGGTGGAATGTTCTCCTCTGGGAGGGCCAACTTGGCCCCACACCCATGGGTTCCCAGGGCTATGGGTTCCATACAGTGTCTGGCCCCGGGGTGTTGTCTCCTATGCCCTCCTCCTGGATTAATGTACTGATGTACCCTGATGTACTTTGAATCTGATCTAGGTAGGAGTTTCAAACGTTGTGTCATTGTGTTCCCTATGTCCTTTTTGATTGTAGTAGCTAGCAATAAAGGATAGCTGCTGGGCCTGTGTACATGGGGGCGTGTTATACATGGAAAAATACAGTATGTCTTTTTTAGCTATTAAGGTGCCTTTAATGTATAGGTAGGAACGAACAGGGAGCACTCGTGTTTTCAGAATCTCTGTGGTTTAATTGAACTGTGGCAAAGCCCCAGAAATGATTTCTGTAATAACAGTAATTTTATTATTTATATCCCGTCCGTCTGGCTGGGTTTCCCAAGCCACTCTGAACAGCTTCCAAACATATGTTAAAACATAATAAATAATCAAACATTAAAAACCTCCCAATACAAGGCTGCCTTCAGATGTCTTCTGAAAGTCAAATAGTTTTTTATTTCCTTGACATCTGATGAGAGGGCGTTCCACAGGGAGGTGCCACCGACAAGAAGACCCTCTGCCTGGTTTCCTGTAACTTTGCTTCTCACAGTGAGGGAACTGCCAGAAGGCCTTCGGAGCTGGACCTCATTGTCTGGGCTGAACGATGGGGGTGGAGATGCTCCTTCAGGTATACTTGACCAAGGCTGTTTAGGGCTTTAAAGGTCAGCACCAACACTTTGAATTGTGCTCAGGAACATACTGGGAGCCAGTGTAGATCCTTTAGGACTGGTGTTATATGGTCTCGGCGGCCGCTCCAAGTCACCAGTCTAGCTGCCGCATTCTGGATTAGTTGTAGTTTCTGAGTCACCTTCAAAGGTAGCCCCACAAAGAACGCATTGCAGTAGTCCAAGTGGGAGATAATCAGGGCATGCACCACTCTGGCGAGACAGTCTGCGGGCATACCAGATGGAGCTGGTAGACAGCTGCCTTGGACTCAGAATTGACCTGTGCTTCTATGGACAGCTGTGAGTCCAAAATGATTCCCAGGCTGCACACCTGGCCCTTCAGGGGCACAGTTACCCCATTCACACCCAGGATCAGTTGCCCCAAAACAGTACTTCTGCAGGGATGTCTTGACTTTCCAAGTCTGGCAATGGGCCGTGAGGAGTTTGGGGTTGTGGGGGTCCTCAACTTTGGAGGGACTTTGAAACATGCTTTTAAATACCACATGGAGTTCAGTGTGGATTATGGAAAAGGGGCTGATCTGTCGAGAAGGGACAAAAATACTGTCAAGTTGGAGTTTCCATGAGTGAAAGGACGAGGAGACAAAGTAAAGTACAGGTATAAATATGAAGAAGATCTGCGGAAGGGACATGGAAGAGACTTGAGGGCCTCGGACATAAGATTACCAGGTTAATGAGCTAAATGGATGAGACAGAAAGGACTGACAAAACCCGGGACCAGGAGGAAGAGACGTTGGAGGAAGATTGGAAGAAAGTTTTTTAAAAAATTTCTATTTAGGATTGTTTTGTAAAATTAATGAGTATTAGAAAAAATGTTGGAACGAAACTATTTGGCTTTAGCAGAAATGTTAAAAAGAACTATGCAAGAATATGTTATGGTTATGAGAAATTGGTATAAATAAGATTTAAGTTTTAAGTTTTAGGGTCTTTTATAGTAAGATAAGGTTAAAATAGATTAAGGTAATTTAATGACAGAATATTATGAAAAATGGGAAGGATTTGCTGTTATAATTATTAACTGGAATACAAAAAGGGAGGTTTGAGGAGGTCGATGAAATAAGGCAATGACAGTTAAGGATTTGGGAATATTGGATCTGTTTTTAATTGTTTGTGGTTTACTTTTGTTTTTTGGATTTTGATGTGTTTTGTCTTTTTTTTTTTAAATTATTTTTATTGATTTGTATGGTTTGACTGCTGTTTGCTTTTCCCTTGTTTTTCTTCTTCTTTGTTTCTTTGTTTTTTTTCCCTAACTTTAAAATGCTTAATAAATATCATTTCAAAACAGTACTTCTGTCTTGTCAGTATTCTGTTAGCCACCATCCGTCTTCCAGCTGCCTCCAGACACACATATAAGACGTTCACTGCCTTCACTGGTTCCAATTTAAAGGAGAGGTAGAGCTGGGTATCATCCGCATACTGATGAACACCCAGCCCAAACCCTGTATGATCTCTCCCAGTGGCTTCATATAGATGTTAAAAAGCATGGCAGAGAGGACGGATCCCTGAGGCACCCCACAAGTGAGCGCCTAGGGGTCTGAACGCTCCCAACACCAGGGCTAGGATGTATGAGGTTAGTGGACAACCACAGCAGAAGATAAATTCCACTGCATCTCTTGCTACCTGCTAACCCACGCCTTAAGATCAATGGAAGAGGCCTTCCTTTTGCCTCCATCAGGGGCTGTTTGCTGTATAACAGCATGGAGCAAGCAAGGCCTTCTCTGCTATGGCCCCCTGTATGTTAAGCTCCCTCCCATTAGACCTGTGGTTGCCTACAGCTTTCAGATGTCTGCTTAGGATGTAGCTCCCCGCCTTCTCCTGCCTTCCTATGGAAGTGGCTGGTCTAGTGACCGGCTGCTTTATTATTTTATTATATTTATTGTTTTAAGATGCTGCTAATGTTTACTGGTTTTATGGTTTTCATTTTAATCCTTGTAGTGCATTTAATTTGATGAAGCGTTGTATACCACTATAGTGGTACCTCTACTTATGCGCACCTCTGGTTACGTATCCTTCGGACACGTATGCGGCAAACCTGGAAGTATTTTTCCGGGTTTCCCGCATGCGCAGAAGCGCTCTACTGTGCGCATGCGCAGAACAGGCACCTTCGGTTTTGACAACCTCGGGATCCGACCGGAGCTCCGGAACGGATCCCTTCCGCAACCGGAGGTACTACTTTATTGGAGTCGAAAGGTATGTTATAAATACAATGCGTAATATCTGAGGGGTCATCACTGACTACCCAGAAGATTTGGGATGAAGCGGGCTGTACAGTGGTACCTCGGGTTACAGACGCTTCAGGTTACAGACTCCACTAACCCAGAAATATTACCTCAGATTAAGAACTTTGCTTCAGGATGAGAACAGAAATCGTGCTCTGGCGGTGTGGCAGCAGTGGGAGGCCTCATTAGCTAAAATGGTGCTTCAGGTTAAGAACTGTTTCAGATTAAGAATGGACCTCCGGAACGAATTAAGTACTTAACTCGAGGTACCACTGTATCTCGCTTAGTTTGGGAGTTTTGCAGAAGTAGCATGAGTCTTGCGTGTGTGGAGGAATTGAGAAGGGAGCAGACAGGATCGTGTGCGCCACTATTTGGAGAGGAAAAGAAGCAGTACAAGAGCCTTTCACTACTTCCCCTTTGGCAAAAAAACAACAACTAGTCAGGCTGTATTTCTTCCGGCTGGTTAGTCATCCTAGCAAACGCTTCTGAGTAGGACAACTTGGGGGCATATTTCTGCTAGAACCTCTCCTTCCACATTCAGAAGATGTTAGATAGCAGGTGCATATCTGTGCAGACAGTGTTAGAAACTCAGATATGTAAGCTGGGGCCAAATGTCTCCTTAAACCAAGGTTGCAGTCTCCAAAATGAAATGTTTGTTTGCCATTTTGGGACAAGACGGCTGTAAAGTCTTATTTTTCAAATGATGGACTGACTGTGATTGATTATCAGTTAGACATCTGGCTAGCTCAGAAGACCTTGAGCTAGGTTAAGAACTTAAGAGAACTCCAAGAAGAAAAATCACTTGATCCAAGGACTGTCCACATATATATTAGCTTATTCCGACCTCTTTTTCTTCCTGGTGACACGGATTATTCGTAATGTAGGAATATTCTTCACAACGGTGAGCAGGGCAGTGGGACGGGGCGAGCGAAGCCAAGCTACAACAGTTGGCTGTAACGTCGTTCAGTCTCCTTCTCAGGCTGCACAGAAAAAGCGTTTTGGTTCCCAAAGTTCATTCCAATTGTGTGGATAAAATACAGTGGTACCTCGGGTTACATACACTTCAGGTTACATTCGCTTCAGGTTACAGACTCCGCTAACCCAGAAATAGTGCTTCAGGTTAAGAACTTTGCTTCAGGATGAGAACAGAAATCGTGCTCCAGCGGTGCGGCAGCAGCAGGAGGCCCCATTATCTAAGGTGGTGCTTCAGGTTAAAAACAGTTTCAGGTTAAGTACGGACCTCCGGAACGAATTAAGTACTTAACCTGAGGTACCACTGTATAGCGGATAGAATTCTCCATGGTGGGGTATTAGTGTGTGAAAACGGTCCAGATCCTGTGGTTCCTATGGTTCCCAGGCATGCAACTCCAAATGGTGGAGATCTTCACTTGGTCGCAAGTGGCCGATAAGTCAGTTGAACAATTTGCCTGCGCTTGGCTGGTTTCAGACTCTGACAGTGCAGGTAAATAAGTTTTACTTGGGGTATTTTGAGCCCATTCATGTTGATCATAGTTGAAATAGAGTGAGGCAAAAATCACATTGTTATTAGCCACTGTGGGTAGTTTGTGGGTAGTTCCTTTTATAACCTGCTAATCAGCCTCCAAAAATAGAAAAAGCTGTTCTGGGATAAAAACTGGCTTGTGTTACCACAAGGCTCGTAATTAATCAGAAATAAAAAACAAGACTGAGAGCCAAGGGGATAATGATGGGAGGAGGCAATGGTTAGTGTATATTTCTATTCCCAAGGCAGATGACAAGCTGAAAAAAACAATAAAACAGACAGTAAAGATCACGCACGTAATCACAGTCTAATCCAGTACAAAAAAAAACATAATGAACGCATAACTATAAAATAAACAACTTATATCAAACCAGCAGTTTACACTTAACAGCTTACAGTTTACACTTAACTGCTACAATAAAGAATTACTAAACAACAGTAAAATAACAAGCAATGTGTAAAATAGCACAAAACATACAAAACCTTGTAAAAGGATCAAATTGAGAGATAAGGGTACACAACTTATAATTTATTCTTTTTTTTAAAAAAAAAAAAAACCCTGAACTGTTGCTGTCCAATCCAGTGCCTTGTTTCTGTTTTGGAAGGTATTTAGCTTAAACTTCTGTGGTTTCCTTGTTCAGAGCAAATCCAAAATATAGACACATAGTTCTGGAGTTTAGACAGAGTTTCAGCTGAACTGGCTTTTATTTATTTATTTATTTACTTCATAAAAACTTATATTATTTCTTGGTTATAGAAGAAACCTGCAAGTGGTTTACAAAGGCTGCTTTTCTGTAACAATTCAGTATTAGTATAAACAAGGGAAAGTGTCCCAATTTGTATTTAAGGGTTCTGTCATTCATTTCATTTTCATTTTTTAATTTGTATTTCTATCTTACAATACTCAAGGCGGTTTACAAGCTGAAGAAACAAAATCTACATCTTATAACAATCTAATGCAATACAAAAATGTGATAATAAAACATAACTTTAAAATAGGCAACCTCCATCAAAAAAGTAACATTCAACAATCATTAGAGTAGTATAAAATAATAATACAGTGGTGCCCCGCAAGACGAATGCCTCGCAAGACGGAAAAACCGCTAGACGAAAGGGTTTTCCGTTTTGAAGTTGCTTCGCAGGACGAATTCCCCTATGGGCTTGCTTCGCAAGACGAAAATATCTTACGAGTCTTGAGATTTTTTTCGCTTTCCCCCTTTATCTAATCTGCTAAGCCTTTAATAGCCTTTAATAGCCTTTTAGCAGCTAATCCACTAAGCCTTTAAGCCTTTAATAGCCGCTAAACCGCTAATAGCGCTAATAGCGCTAATCCGTCAATGGGCTTGCTTCGCAAGACGAAAAAACCGCTAGACGAAGACTCTCGCGGAACGGATTAATTTCGTCTTGCGAGGCACCACTGTATCAACGTATAAAAGTTAAACAGAAATCCACTCAACAGTTACAGTAATATCTAAACTATAATCAATAAAACAACGGCAAGCCACAGTACATAAAACAATACAATACACATTGAGAAGCAGAGGGTGGAGCAAGGCTTCTCTAACATTTTCGCGTGGGACCCATGGAAATGAGTGTAACTGTAAGGAACGTGGTATAGAAAAACAACTTTTAAAACATTCTTATCACCTCCTCGTCTCCCCAACACCAACAGTTTCCATTCCTTCAGTCAAATTTAGGAGAACCATGTGCTGAAAGTCTGTGTCACTTGTTGCTTCAGTACTCTTGAACCAATCTTGTGCAAATTACTGCGAATAAATATTTCAGATTCCTAGGTGTACGCTCACATTTCGGGCGACTTTTTGAAACCTGATTACAGTGGTACCTCAGGTTACATACGCTTCAGGTTACATACGCTTCAGGTTACAGACTCCGCTAACCCAGAAATATTACCTTGGGTTAAGAACTTTGCTTTAGGATGAGAACAGAAATCGTGCTCTGGTGGCGCAGCGGCAGCAGGAGGCCCCATTAGCTAAAGTGGTGCTTCAGGTTAAGAACAGTTTCAGGTTAAGAACGGACCTCTGAAACGAATTAAGTACTTAACCCGAGGTACCACTGTATTGAGTTTTAAAGCTGAGCTAAGAAGAACGCATTGGAACTACTTTCTAGTGCTTGCATTATTTAAATTTACCAGGAGGAAGTTCATCACCTCTTTCATCAAGTTTTAGGTAAAGTGAGCCTTGGAGTTCCTGTTTGTTATTTTCTTATCTCCTCCTGTTTGATGTCAGGCTTTATGGAACTTCCTTTTCCCCTTTTATTTCGTACACATGTAGCTCTTTGTAGTTTTTAGCAACAGATCTCCCTTTGCACTTCAAACCTAAACCAATTTATTTAGAACTGGGTCATATTGATTTCAGTATAACACTTCCAAATGCATATGTATAGAATTGCAGCCTTTGGCAGCGATGCTCATAAACTGCCCTAGTTTTAAGTCCTGCTGGTTTCAGCAGGACTTAGTTTCAAGCAACTTTAATTTTCAAGGAAAAGCAGTGCGTTAAATATTTTGCAGTTTGGCGTGTACGACCTTGTGTAGCCATCAAACATATGCAGGTATGTTATAGGTAGTATCTGAAGCAAACACCTGAGAAACTGAAGTGCAAATTATTATTTATATTCTAATGGAACTCTCCCGGGTAATGACTATACACATACAGGGTTGCTGTGTCATTTGTGTTATCTGTTAGATTATTTTTGGTTTTAAAAAGAAATTGTCAGTTTTAATGTATTTATGCATGTGTATATGTTTTTTGCTTAAAATGTTTTAAGACACTTTTGAGTTGCTATGGCAAAAAAGTGACCAATAAACATAAAAATAAAAACTTTTGATTAATATTCAGATAATGCCCTGGGCATTAAATCAGATGGTTAGTACGTTTCCGAGCACAATTCAAAGTGTTGGTGCTGACCTTTAAAGCCCTAAACGGCCTTGGTCCTGTATACCTGAAGGAACGTCTCCATCCCCATCCTTCAGCCCGGACATTGAGATCCAGCGCCGAGGGCCTTCTGGCGGTTCCCTCATTGCGAGAAGTAAGGTTACAGGGAACCAGACAGAGGGCGTTCTCGGTAGTGGCGCCCGCCCTTCAGATGTGAAGGAAATAAATAGCTATCCTATCTTTAAAAGACATCTGTAGGCAGCCATGTTCAGGGACGTTTTTAATATTTAACGCTGTATTGTTTTTAATACTTGATTGGGAGCCGCCCAGAGTGGCTGGGGAAACTCAGCCAGATGGGCGGGGTATAAATAATAAATTATTATTATTATTATTATATTAGGGTGTGTTGTGTATATGGAAAGATACATATGGTATATTTAACACAGAGTTGGACCTAGGTTACATCCTCAGTTAAGTATGAAACTCACTGGGTGGGCTTGAGGTAGTCCACATTGGTGTGAGGATAAATAGAATAACCCCACATAGGCGGAAGATTGCCAGATTCCAGTGTTCATGAAATATGAATGGGTTTTTAAAAAATCTCTGGGCATAATCACTGTAAACATTGGGTGACATCCAAGTTTTGTGTGAGCGGATGTCTTCTTCTTCTTCTTCTTCTTCTTCTTCTTCTTCTTCTTCTTCTTCTTCTTCTCCCCCCAGCAACCTCTCCTACAGCCACAAGATCTTCTCCATAGAGTTGGCAGAGGAGATTCTGGTGTGGGGACACAGGAGGCTATGGGGCAGCCGAAGAAGAAAGGGAAGACCTATTTGCTCAGGCAGGAATCTGTTGCACAGTTGGGTGGGTGGTCATCACTAGATGTCCCCTCTTGTTCTTTTGAAGTATTACAATCAGTAACGTGCCCATATTTGTACTGCTATTTAACATATTTCTAGCCTGTCTTCAGTGGTGCATGGAGACTAAGCTGCTGAACGGACATTTTGTTTTCCTCCTTTGGTAGTCAGTGGAACGTTAAGCCCCATTTGCCCTGTCAGGGGTCAGCAAACTTTTCCAGCAGGGGGCCGGTCCACTGTCCCTCAGACCTTGTGGGGGGCCAGACTATATTTTGGAAAGAAAAAAAAGAGAATGAATTATTATGCCCCACAAATAACCCAGAGATGCATTTTAAATAAAAGGACACATTCTACTCATGTAAAAGCACGCTGATTCCCGGACCGTCCGCGGGCCGTATTTAGAAGGTGATTGGGCCGGATCCAGCCCCTGGGCCTTAGTTTGCCTACCTAATAGCTTAAGGACTGTTCTTGCAATTATGTCATTGTTCACACCAACAGATCTAGCTTTCTTCTTCAATGGCCTGCTCTATTGCAGCTGAGTTTGCATGCATTTGTAAGTTTTAAGACATTCTTCTAATCTAATGCCCTGTTATGGTCTCCTACAGGACTTACCTAGAAAACATTACTGCAATTGGGCCCAGAGCAGTTGGAAGTCCGGAAAACGAAATCTTCACAGTCAACTACCTCTTGGAACAAGTTAAAGCTATTGAAACTCAAAGCAGTCATGTCCATACCATCTCTGTCGATATACAGAGGCCCACAGGCACCTTCAGTATTGATTTTCTCGGAGGCTTTACCAGTTACTATGACAACGTTACTAATGTCGTGGTCAAGCTAGAACCCAGGACTGGAGCAGAGCATTCAGTACTCTCCAACTGCCACTTTGACTCTGTACCACATACTGTCGGTAGGTAACATCAGAAAAAAATTGTATAATGGGGGCAGGGGGGCTGCCACTTCGCAGGAAATTTGTGTTTCCCCCTTTCTTTAAGAGGTGCACCCCAGCGAAGGCCCAGATCTTTCTATTCACTGTTTCTGGTGGAGAAATTTCTAAGAATTCTCCACAAATGCAATTTATTAAGCTGGCCTAAATATTTTATTTAAAGTTGCTTATGCTTTGTAAAAGGGACGCAAGTGGTGCTGTGGTGTAAACCACTGAGACTAACGGCCAAGTGTCCCTTTACCTTTACCTTTTATGCTTTGTAAGTCTTAGTTGTTGGGCTCTTTGTAGACACCGTCAGCTTCACAGCACGCTGAGAATATTTTTCCTTTTCAAAAGCTTATATTAATGGGGTGAATTTGTATACATTCCCCCCCCACACACACTTTTACTTTTTCTGCAGATTTAAAATTAGTTGTAATTTACTGGTTATCCAGCTTAACATTTTATAAAAGGCAAAAAACCTCTTACCTAAACGTAATTTTGTTAACAAGACTTAACCTGCCTACAAAGGCTTATCCCACAAACTTTTCTGAATCTGGGTAATGAAATTTTTGCACAGTAGTTTTTTGTTTGTTTGCTTGTTTGTTTTAAAAAACCCTCAGTAGTTTTATAAAACTATTAAAATGTCAAAGGCCATCATGGTTCAGAACTCTCTTGATAATTTTGTGCTTGAACACAGTCATTTTCCTTTTGCTTTTTGAAATGGTAACGAAAGGAAGGACTGCATCTGTTTTTATGCCAAGCGCTTTCAAACTCTCACAATTGGCAAGGAGGGAGGAAATTCTTCGTTTCGTTTCCATAATCCTCTTAGGGTGTTTTCATGTAACAATACAAGGTAGAAAGGAAACCTTTTTAAGGCGTTTTACTCAGATGAGGTTTTAAAAAATTGTGCAGCAGTTGTGCATCAATACACATAAACTGATTGCACTCTGTATATTTTCATTTTAAGGAGCCAGCGATGATGCAGTCAGCTGTTCTGTGATGCTTGAGATACTGCACACTCTTTCTAAATCACCCAAACCATTGCAGCATGCTGTCATATTCCTGTTTAATGGTGCAGAAGAGAGTGTCTTGCAGGTAAGCGTGGATTTATGAAACAATAAAATCAATGAAAAATCAGAAAACAAAACAACTGCATTTCTTTATAGTATTGGTTTATATTTTGCATCTGAAGGTCCTCAGAGTGACTCAACAATGTGTATGAAAACAGTGAGATTGGCTCCCACCTGAAGCCAGTCAGTGAAAAGAATACAGGATGGCATTAGCAGCATCAATGTATTAAAAAAGTTTTCAGAGGAGGGGCAGGAGAAGAAGCAGAGGAAGGGCAAATGCAAGAGCCGCTTACTTTGGGTGCTGCCATGTTTTGCAGTAGCTCTGGTGTCCTCTACATACTGTTGGCACCATAAATCCCAAATCCTTTCCCAGCAGTTTCGTGTAGAGCAGTGATGTCCAATCGGTCGACCGCAATCGACAGGTAGATTCTTGGGCGATTGCGGGACCCTTATCGATCGCGGGAAGAAAAGTAAAGTATTTTGAATGTTTCTGACCCCTGCCTCCTCGCTCTGTCCCTACATAGCGTCATAAGGTCAATCTTTTGTAGTCTGCTTTGCACGCATGTTAGCGTTGCAGTTAATTGTTAGCCTCCCCCCCCCCCAAGAAAAGTTGAAAAACTTTAATATAAAAAATTGGATTTAAGAATTTTGGACATGCTTCGGGTGAAGAAAGGGTAATTAATCTGCCAACTACAGCCACTGAGATGCCAAGAGTGACGGGAGGAAGAAAGATGACATCAAAGAATAAACTGGTATGTGGAACGGAACGGAAAGGAGGGGGGATAAAAGTTTTTCTTTTTCTACTACAATAATACCTAACAACCCCCCCCCCCCCAGAAGAACCGTCTACATTACCTATAGCATTGGGAGATTGGGAAATATAAACTGTGTGGAAATAATAACATTAACTAAAGCCTTTGCTCTTTGAAATACTTGGAAGAAGATAAAAGACTCTCCTGTGACACGCTATTTAATCGGGATCCGCCATTGTGAAACAGACTGAGTTGCAGAGATTAATATTCATAGGGAGAGGCGAGCTCTTACTTTGTTATTATATCTGTATTTCAAGCCCGATTTGGCAAACCTCCCCTGGAAAGACTAATGTCTGGTGCAACCTGTCAGAGAAAATTAATGAGCAAACGCCTAGACTTTATTTCATCAGAACTGAGAGAAGATGGCGTCTGCAACCAGAGAAGGACTTTTGGATTGAATCGGCATAAATACCAGCGTGTGAGGACATACTGCAAATAAAAGACTTACCAGCTGCAAAAAAAAAAAAAAGGAGAGTCATACAAAGTTCACACAGAAGCATATTATTGTTCACTTCAGCTCGCCTGTGGAAACAACTCAGAGGCTACGAAAGAAAGAAGGATAACAGCAGGAAGTTTTAAAGAAGGAACTATTGGAAACTCAAGGCATTAGAACCTTGAAGCATGGGAAGCCCCAACAAAAATTTATAATTTGGCAAAATATTTGGACTTTATGATATGTATTTGTATAATTTGGAATATTTAATGTGATTTGATTGAATTGTTAAAATGGAAAACTTAATAGAAATTATTCTTTAAAAAAAAAAAAGAAAAGTTGAAAAACTTTGGCCTTCCCCCCTTAAAAAAGCTCAACAATTAATGCCCCCATAAAAAAAGCTCGGGACACGGGTGGCGCTGTGGGTTAAACCACAGAGCCTAGGACTTGCCGATCAGAAGGTCGGCGGTTCGAATCCCCGTGACGGGGTGAGCTCCCATTGTTCGGTCCCTGCTCCTGCCAACCTAGCAGTTCGAAAGCATGTCAAAGTGCAAGTAGATAAATAGGTACCGCTCCGGCGGGAAGGTAAACGGCGTTTCCATGTGCTGCTCTGGTTCGCCAGAAGCAGCTTAGTCATGCTGGCCACATGACCTGGAAGCTGTACGCTGGCCAATAAAGCGAGATGAGCGCCGCAACCCCAGAGTCGGTCACGACTGGACCTAATGGTCAGGGGTCCCTTTACCTTTTTTAAAAAAGCTCAGGAACTCCTTTGGCCTTTATCCCCCTAAAAAAAGCTCTGCAACTGTGGCCTTTCTCCCCTAAAAAAAGCTCATGAACTCTGGGCAATCCTTGCCTTCTACCCCCCCCCCCAGGCTCCTCCGTGCCTGGTTTAGAGCTTGAAAAGCTGCAAGCACTATGGCACTGCAATCTTGAGGGAAGGCACTGTTTTGCTTGTTACTGTACGCTGTGGGTGACTTTTGGGCTGATGAGTAGGATAAAATGCTTTAAGTAAATACCGTACTTTTCCGTCTAGTAAGACGCCCCCCTCTATAAGACGCCCTCTATTTTGGGGGGTTCAAATTTAAGAAAATGGGGGGGGATTACCCAGGGTTGTTGAGCTTTTTTTAGGGGGGGGCTGCCGAAAATCGCTCACCCGCACATGTCACAAAATCCGCCTCTCGTCTGTCCCGTTGCCCGCAGAAGCTGCCAATCGTCTGCCCAACTGCTGGAGCATCAGCCAATCAGCACCACCCATTAACGCAGCAACCAATAACACATCAGTAGCCTCTGCAGCAACCAGACCACCCAACCAGGGCAACCAAAGCAGTTTCTGTCCCCAAACAAGGCTGAATTGAGGCAGATTGAAATGGATCCAGATATTGATGTTGTGCTTTAAAGGCTTGAGCATTCCTAGGACCCAGCTATGCAGCTGCAAATAGAACGTTTTAAGTGTGTGTTAAGTGCACATTGTACAAACGTGACACTAGATGGCGATGGGGAGCTTATGGCAAATTCAAACTATTTTTCAAAACGCTTAAAGCGTTTTCAATGCGAGGCCAAAATTTGATGCCCCCCCCCAGCCCTCTTGCTGCCTTCAAAAGGAAGCTCCAGCAGCCAATCGGAAGGCACAGAAGCCCCGTCGGACATTTTGCAGTTTAACTAGTTCTGTGTTCTTGCGACAAGTTATTTCCTTGCCTTACAACACTGTCTCCTAACGTTTTGTGAGAACCAGAATTGCTTTTGTGTGATGAGACGCTGATTCAAATGTCTTGCCATGTTTGACGTTTCTCGTTTTTGCTTCTCATCAAGGCTAGTCATGGCTTCATTACTCAGCACCCCTGGGCTAAATCAGTTAGAGCATTTATTAATCTGGAGGCTGCTGGAGTAGGAGGGAAAGAACTTGTGTTTCAGACAGGTAAGAGGCTTAATATCCCCTATCATGTATCCCCTATCATGCTTTCTTTTTTTTTAATAAAACAAACAATTCCAAAACAAAACTCTACTCGAATACAACTGATGCAGAATCCATTGTTGTTATGTTTGAAAGGTTATCATATAGTTGAACTTTCATCGTGGCTCTGGCGAAAGCAAACAGGTGTAAGATTAAAGGTGGGGAAATCAGGTTTTTCCCCCACAGTCAGAATAATTGCTGACTGAATTAGTTATCCTTGTTCTTAAGTCATCTGATCTGATATTCAGAGAAGGTTAATATTAAACCGTTCAGCCCCTTGATGTTCCAGCTAGCATTTAAACTGGTTTGGCAACTCTAGATTTTCTGTATTAAATGGGAACATGTTTGAAAGATCAGCAAAAGTGAATGAATTTCTTACATAAGGCCTGTGTAAAATGGCAGAAATCGAGGCTGGATCTAGGCGCTGCAAATAAGCGTTTCGGTTTAAAGTTTTGTAAATTTAAACAGGGAAAACAGGTAGAGAAAAACCGGGACTCCATGTTGCCGCCTGGTGGCACAATATTATCTCGCAATACAACGCATATAAATCGCTTTTTCTTTACCCGTCTAAACACTGGTCATTGATAGAGTTAGTGTCAAGTTCTATTCAGTTCGTATGCTTTTGGCCTGAAAAATCCCCTCCTCCCCCTTTCTGTTATAGCAGGAATCTACTCCTACATAGTAGATAAACCTGCAGTTGCAGTTTTGTGTATGCTTCTGCCTCGGGGTGATTACAAGAAGTTTAAGTATCAAAGGGTAACCTCTGCACATGCTTAACTTTTTTCTGAGTCTCACTAATAATCTCTGTATCTTTAACTGCAATTTCAAGTATTCTCTTCTCCTGCATTATTACAAGAACAATGTAGGAGGCATATTTACCAGTAGCAATTTGGTTTGGGAAGTTTGCCCGTGTTCCACTATGTTAATATTTATTGCTATTCTTGCAAACACTGACTCAAAGAATGACACAAATAGAATTCTAGACACTAGAAATGCGTTCATCTTTCCTCCTCTGCTATTGGATTATTTTATATTGATTGAATTGTTTTTATTGTTTGTTTATTTGAATGGATGTATGATTGCTGACTGAACACTGTTGTTTATTTTTATTATTACTGTTTCAGCTGAGCTTGTAAAGCTCTCTGGGGAAGGTTTTTATGGAGAGAGAGAGAAAAAATAGTCAATGTATCAAAACATTGCTCCCATCAGGCAACGAAACAAAAGAGCAAGTAGTTCGTTCAGAAGTACTTTTGCCTGTGTTTTTAGTTCCAGTATTGCTAAAGATAAATGCAAATATCCCTGAAATTTGGATTACAAGGAAACAATTTGAGCATCGATACAGTTCACAGTTGATGGGGGGGGTGGGGTTGCAGCTAAAGGGGTTGGATTCAGTTCAGCCCCTTCTTCAAATAGCAGGACCTGGGGCTCCCTTGGGAGGATATATATTTAATAAAATAAAAATGAATAAATAAAATGTTTATGGAAGAGGCAGAGATCCAGTGGAAGCTTCTATGCAATTCCCGTCTCCATCTGTTCCCAATGGTCTCCCAACCCTCTGAAGCAGAATTTTTTGGGGAAGCACAAAGGGGCTACAATGGGAAGCGGCCGTTGTTCAACCCTTCCTCAAGGTCAAAGGTCTCTGGATCCAGCACAAATTACTTCCTGTAAATCCAGATTTCGGGACTATTTGTATTTGCCTTTAGCTATGCTGGAACTAAAAACACAGGTGTCATCGACGCAGTTTCTTGCTCTGCATAATATCCCCACCTTACGGTTTCAACATTAAGATACGTGAAGGAGGTCCACGAAGGAAATGTTTCCTGACCCAGATTCCCCTGGCTATGACCTCTGAAGACCTTCTCTGGATAGTCATCATCACCACCACCACCACCATTTATTATTTCTACCCTGCCCATCTGGTTGGGTTTCCCCAGCCACTCTGGGCATCTCCCAACAGAATATTAGAAACACGATAAAACATTAAACATTAAAAGCTTCTCTAAACAGGGCTGCCTTCAGATGTCTTCTAAAAGTCAGATAGTTGTTTATTTCCTTGGCATCTGATGGGAGGGCGTTCCACAGGGCAGGCGCCACCACCGAGAAGGCCCTCTGCCTGGTTCCCTGTAACTTCACTTCTCGCGGTGAGGGAACCGCCAGAAGGACCTCGGAGCAGAACATTGGGGTGGAGATGCTACTGAGCAATATGGGATTGAGAGGTCCAGGTAAATAAATGTGGCTGTATGAGTCAAGCCTGTGTCTTTGTGATAGGTCAAGCTACAAATCAAATACAGAGCGCAAATTTAAAACCGGGCAATTCTTCATTTTTGCAATTGTTTCCTAATTATTCCAGGACCTGAAAACCCCTGGCTGGTGCAAGCATATATCTCTGCTGCAAAGCACCCTTTTGGTTGTGTCGTGGCTCAGGAAGTGTTTCAGAGTGGCATTATCCCCGCAGAAACAGATTTCCGCATTTACAGAGATTTCGGCAACGTTCCAGGTATGTTGCTTGACCGTTTGGTTGGGCCTTTATTTCTGCTTCCTTGTGTGTGCAGGAGAACGAAAGAAAGAAGGTAGAAAAGATGGTTCTCTTTTGTGAGCTGTGCAAACAGAAACGTGTGATCTGGAGCGTTACGGTGCAGGCTTAGCCGTCCAGCGCTCGAAAGAATTTCAGGCATTTCTTTCCTGGGGCGATATAACTAATGGCAAAGGGGCACAGGGTGCACAGATTTCGAAGCAACAGCAATAAACTGCAACTTGAAAGCACTTAGAATCTTGATCCTGTTCCAGGACAATCCAGACCCATTCAGGGCAGTGGTGAGGTGTGATTCTGTGCCAGAGCTGCTGCTGTATCCAGAACCCTGTTGCTCGCACCAACCAGGGTGGAAGGCAGGGAGACATCAGTCAAATAATGACAGTGGGGTCAACTCTGGCTCTAGTGGCTCTGCCACGGGGGACAGAAATACTGGTGCCTCACTGCAGGCAGAGGCTGGCAGAGCTGGACAGAGGAACCATCCAGTCAATGCTCCCCCTTCAATTTAATAATAATAATAATAATAATAATAATTTATTATTTGTACCCCACCCATCTGGCTGAGTTTCCCCAGCCACTCTGGGCGGCTTCCAACAAAGATTAAAAATACATTGAAATGTCACACATTAAAAACGTCCCTGAACAGGGCTGCCTTCAGATGTCTTCTAAATGTCAGGCCGTTGTTTATCTCTTTGACATCTGGTAGGAGGGCGTTCCACAGGGCGGGGGCCACTAGCAAGAAGGCCCTCTGCCTGGTTCCCTGTAGCTCTGCTTCTCACAGTGAGGGAACTGCCAGAAGGCCCTCGGCGCTGGACCTCAGTGTCCGGGTAGAACGATAGGGGTGGAGACGCTCCTTCAGGTATATCGCTATATCGTCAAAACTGGTTTGACGTCCGTATCGTGATATCAGTTTCTTAATTTTTGACCTGGCAATATATTGCAAGTTATGGTGCATGTGTGCTATGCAAAAATCACAATGCAGGGAAAACCGCGAAGCCAGCCAAGGCTTCTCTCGATCCCTGCAGCCCCTGTTGATCTCTGTGCCGGGCACAGGAGAAATGAAGGGGGAGGCCAGAGGTCACAGGTGAACGTGCAAATTTGCATTTGGGGAAAGAGATGGGTATATAAGCAATTCATTTCGTTTTGTGGAAAGTTATTTGGTTTAGTTAAATAACACCTTGGCTATTTTTTAGTTTGATCACATTACCATTAAATTATATCAACAGGGATAGACCTGGCTTTCATTGAAAATGGTTACATCTACCACACAAAGTACGACACTGCAGACCGAATTCTGACAGATTCTATTCAGAGAGCAGGTTGGTAAAACTCAAGAGTTTCTCAGGGATTTTATAGCAATGTAAATCAAAACATTGCTTTGCGTGCTGGTTGTTACAACTCAAAACCACAGGCGTGCTTTAGTATTCCAAAGAAATCAAACCTGTGGGGAAGGAAATCCAAAATACCCCTGGGCTGGGTATTGGCTTTATGAATTGGGCGGCCTACACTACTTGGATTGTATGCTTTAATCAGTGAAGGCAATTTATAGATTTCACACCCTGATTTTACATACTTTTAGCTATCTCCCAGTTACGCCTTCATCTGCTTTCTTTTATCATTCTTGGCATTGAATTTCAGTTGGAAAATTATTTTTCCTTTTTGCCTTAGTTTTCTCTACATTTTAGAGAAAATATAGAGTTTCAGTTTAAGAGTTTCAATTTGTAATGTTCTTATAGTACTGAGAATGCCTGCATAAAGTCTGGTTATAGGGTCACTTTGTTTTTTGTTTTTACTTCATTTTGATCATAAAGTTCCAATTCCTATTTTGTTGTGTAATGCCATGTGGGGAATTTTATGTGAAAACAATGTATGGGGGTGGGGAGGGGAGAGAGACAAATTCTAAATATATGCTCATATTTTTTCCCAAAGGTGACAATATTTTGGGTGTGCTAAAGTACTTAGCGGAGTCGGACAAACTGGCCAAATCTCATGAATATCGACATGGAAATGTTGTCTTCTTTGACGTCTTTGGCATGTTCGTTATGTCCTACCCAGCTCGTGTCGGCTCCATTATGAACTATATCGTTACAGCCGTTGCGTTTCTTTATCTGGGGAGAAAAACATTGCAACTGAGAAAAAGAGGTACTGGTTATAATTCCATTTATGAACAGACAAACGGGCCCTTTGCATGATTATAGCTTTCTCTTAAGTCTTTATTCACCATTTTATTTATTTCCCAGCTTTCCCCCAAGGAGCTCAAGGTCCCGTATACACTCCACCTCCCCCCCTCTATTCTGTCCTTGCAACAGTCTTGTGAGGTAGGTTAGACTAAGGTGGAATCTAGACACATTAAAAAAAAAAGTTGTGAAAATGTTTCTTTAAAAAAAGTTTCGGGAAATGTATGGAATTTGACATAGCTCGCCATCACCACCTAGTGTCACATTTGTATATTGCACTTTACAACACTCTTAAAACATTTTATTTGCAGCCATATAGCTGAGTCCTAGGGGGGACGCAGGTGGCGCTGTGGGTAAAAGCCTCAGCGCCTAGGACTTGCCGATTGAAAGGTCGGCGGTTCGAATCCCCACAACGGGGTGAGCTCCCGTAGCTCAGTCCCAGCGCCTGCCAACCTAGCAGTTCGAAAGCACCCCCGGGTGCAAGTAGATAAATAGGGACCGCTTACTAGCGGGAAGGTAAACGGTGTTTCCGTGTGATGTGCTGGCTCGCCAGATGCAGCTTGTCACGCTGGCCACGTGACCCGGAAGTGTCTGCGGACAGCGCTGGCTCCCGGCCTATAGAGTGAGATGAGCACACAACCCTAGAGTCTGTCAAGACTGGCCCGTACGGGCAGGGGTACCTTTACCTTTACCTTTAGCTGAGTCCTAAGAGGCAGTGCGTATCTCAAGGTCACCCAGCAGGCTTCATGGCTGAGTGGGGATTCAACCCCCTGGACTCCCATCTCCTAGGGTGATGCTGTAATCACTACCCCAAACTGGCTTTTAGTTTTTGTTGCTGCGCTTAACGCATTTTACCAAGAAAGCCGCCAACAAGTTTTAAACTGCCGGAGGTGGAGAGGATGCACTAAAGAGAGAGCATCGGATGCGTGTTGGCCTCATTTGAAAAGGAAACCAAGACACCTTGGCTGCGATTCAATTGTAGAGTTGGAAGGGACCCAATCGTCATCTAGTCCAACCCCCTGCAGTGCAGGAATCTCAGGTGTCCTGGCAGAGACACTTGCCCGACTGGCATGTTCCCTCCCTCCTGGTCGATCGTTCGGGAGCTTCAAAACATCACAGCGACCGATGCCAACCGACACCGGCACACTTAGGGATCCACAGAATTTGCACATCATGCGCATGACAGACCTCAGCAACTCAGCATTTTGGCTAATTTACTTTATTTACATATAAACACACACGGAGCACTGCAACATGGCTCCCTCTCTCTCTAGCATCAGACAGCAAAGAGAGAGAACAAAGGACAATAGTCCCACTTCACGGAACACAGTGACACGAACATCCTGTCTCTATCACTTCCCACACTGTGGAATGAAAACATACACCGTCATGTGATAGACAACAATCCTATGACTGCAATCATGGAGCAGGAATTCTAACAGATCATACATGACAGATGGCCATCCAGTCTCTGCTTAAAAACCTCCAAAGAAGGAAAGCCCATCACCTCTTGTGGGAGTCTGTTCCACTGTCAAACAGCTATTACTGTCAGAAAGTTCTTTCTGGTGTTGAGTTGGAATCTCATTTCTTATAACTTGAAGCCTTTGGTTCAGGTCCTGCCCTCTGTAGCATTGTGGTTTTGGCATTTTAAAAAAAGTAAATGACCCCCTGGACGGTTAAGTCCAGTCAAAGGCGACTATGGGGTTGCGGCGTTCATCTCGCTTTCAGGCTGTGGGAGCCGGCGTTTGTCCACAGACAGCTTTCCGGGCGATGTGGGCAACGTGACTAAACCACTTCTGGCGCATGGAGCACCGCGACAAAGACCAGAGTGCACATAAATGCCGTTTACCTTCCCGCCACAGTGGTACCTATTTACCTACTTGCACTGGTATGCTTTTGAACTGATAGGTTGGCAGAAGCTGGGACAGATCAGTGGGAGCTCACCCTGTCGTGGGGATTCGAACCACCGACCTTTCGATTGGCAAACCCAAGAGGCTCAGTGGATTAGACCACAGCGCCACCCATGTCCCCAAGGTTTTTGCATAACGCGTGCGCACACACGCATACACACACATCATCGTGATTTGCAATATATTACCAAGTCAAAAAATATGAAACTGATACCACAATATGGAAGAGGGGACATGTTTGTTTTCTCCTTCTCTGGAGAATAAATAGCAAAAAGGTGAGGCCTGGCCATTTACCACCCAGTTCTGAAAAGAGAGGTATCATTGTTCCTTTGGTTAGGTGTGCCTAGTTTGGATCCTGTAGCCTTGGCAGTTCCAGCTAGAAGAAATGTATTGATCTGGGCTTCATGTCTTTCTCGTCCTGCAGTGAGTTATCTGAAGGAACTTGCCATTGCCTTTGGCTTCTCAGTCCTCAGTTGGTTTGCTGTCTTGATTGGCGTCCTTATCATAGCCGTGTTTATCTCTCTCCTTGGACGCTCCCTTTTCTGGTACACCCACTTCCATGCCTCCGTTCTTCTGTATGGAACTGCAGCCGTGGCTGGACTAATTCTCTTGCATACATTAGCCAAGACATTCTATTACAAAGTAAGTGTGGCATGCAAAAATGTAGGACTTGAAATAATAGCAGTTCTCTGGTTTTCCTTTAATTATAAACATACAGTGGTACCTCAGCTTACAGACGCTTCAGGTTACAGTCGCTTCAGGTTACAGACTCCGCTAACCCAGAACTATTACCTCAGGTTAAGAAGTTTGCTTCAGGATGAGAACAAAAATCGTGCGGCGGCGGCATGGTGGCAGCGGGAGGCCCCATTAGCTAAAGTGGTGCTTCAGGTTAAGAACAGTTTCAGGTTAAGAACGGACATCCGGAACGAATTAAGTTCTTAACCCGAGGTACCACTGTATAGGCCTAAATCCAGCACAGAATTAGGCGAACTTAATCCCATTGAAACATGAGTTTGACCAAACTTCGGGAGGCAGTGGAAGACAGGAGTGCCTGGCGTGCTCTGGTCCATGGGGTGACGAAGAGTCGGACACGACTAAACGGCTGAACAACAACAAATCCCATTGAAACCAGTGGATTTAAGCCTGCCTAACTGTGTGTTGGATTTAGTCAAAAGACTGCCTCATTCTGACTTAGTCTGATGGTCCATCTAATCCATTATTTCCCACCGACTGGCAGCAGGTCTGCGGGGTCTTTGGCAGTAGTTGTTCCCATCACCTGCTATCTGTTTCTTTTCAGTGGAGATTCTGCATGTGCTGCCCTGCTGAGCTGTGCCCCTTCCCTTAAATTGGGCACAGATGCAAAGGTAAAGGTAAAGGGACCCCTGACCATTAGGTCCAGTCGTGACTGACTCTGGGGTTGTGGCACTCATCTCGCTATATTGGCCGAGGGAGCCGGTGTACAGCTTCCGGGTCATGTGGCCAGCATGAATAAGCTGCTTCTGGTGAACCAGAGCAGCGCACAGAAATGCCATTTACCTTCCCGCTGGAGCAGTACCTATTTATCTACTTATACTTTGATGTGCTTTTGAACTGCTAGGTTGGCAGGAGCAGGGACCGAGCAATGGGAGCTCACCCCGTCCATCGCAGGGATTCGAACCGCCGACCTTCTGATCGGCAAGTCCTAGGGCTCTGTGCTTTAACCCACAGCGCCACCTGCGTCCCACAGATGCAAAACTCATAGCTTAATTCTGTCGGCTGTGCACTGGACTGCTTTCTTCTCCAGGTTGCTTGATTCAGGAGCCAAGTTTCTTTCTTTCTCCTCTTACACAGATTCAGCAATTGGCCTAATAATTGTTGATCCAAAAACTCCAGGTTTGGCATGCTGCCTCTTGTGGGTGGGTGGGTATGAGAGAAACTGCAGGCAGTGCGTTGGCAGGAGAAGCTCTGTGCTTTAGGCACCATTCATTCTGAAGTGGGGGAGTAAATCTAATTATGCCGTTCCAGTCTGGCTGCGTTGGGTAAAGTATTAAATGAATTAGAGCCAGTTACTGTTCATAGAATAACAACTTTGGCAATAAGCATTGTGCAAAAATAAATAAAGATGTTATAAATTGCAACAAATGGGCTGTGCCCTTCATCCCCCTAGCTCAGGAATTCAGGCTTTATATTGGTGGTGTCTGGGGCAGCAGTCTTAATTATGTTCTTTCAATTTTACATTAGCACAAGCATTTTGGCTTGCTAGGTGGAACAGTCCCTCCCTTTCGTCTCCTTGCATGCTGTTCCGGGAGTTCTCCTGGCCCAGCCCCCAAAAAAGATTTTTTTGAGTGTGTGTCAGAAAAAACAGTGTTTTGCAATTGGATGTCCTTGAACTTGAGACTGTTGAATCCTGCCCTGTGTAACATAGCACATTTCTCTAGGCTGTTTAAGTACAAACATTAAGAAAAACACAGAGATGGTTATCCGCTTACCTGAGAACAAGCTCCTTTGAACATGGTGGGACTTGACTTTTAAGCAAATATGCACAGAACTGCTCGGCCAGTCTGCTTCTTAAGAAACTTGGAACTTTTGTTGCTTACATTTCATAATGCACAGACATTTAAATTTGTTGCTTACATTTCATAATGCACAGACATTTAAATTTGTTGCTTACATTTCATAATGCACAGACATTTAAATTTGCCTCTCTTTTCTGTCTGCTTGTTTTGTTTTCCCAGAATACAAGCGAACAGTTCCTGGGAGAGCTCTTCTTTGATGTTCCAGTTGTTTTTTGGTCAATTATGTTGGCTTTGCTTACTTACCTAGGACATTCCTCAGCATTTGTCAGTGCAATATGGATTGTGTTTCCGCTGCTCACAAAATTAATGACCTATAAGGAACTGAAAGAAAAAGGTATGGTGATGATGATACCTCTGAGACTTGCCTTTGAGAGTTCTTGTAAGGATTGCAAGAAGATAATATTTGCAAAGAACTTTAGGGTGTTCCTATATAAATTATTATGACTTTCTATGGCAGAAATTCTAGTGGAAATGTTCACAGCTGGGGAATAGTAATAATAATAATAATAATAATAATAATACCCCAGCCACTCTGGGTGGCTTCCAACGCATACAAGAACAAAATAAAACATCAAACATTAATAGCAACAATCTGATGCAATATAAAAAAAGTCACAATAACTTTAAAATAAACAACATATCAAATAAAGCAATATTCAGTAATCCATTCAAATCTAATAGTAAACAGTAAAATTTCATGCATATTTACATGTATATCCGCAGAGGCTTGGGGTGGCAGACTTCATTCTTCAAAACCCTACAATGTATTACATGTAATTGACTTTTTATTTCTATTCTTTGAATATCGTATTGTTGTTTTATTGCTGTGGCCAATGGCTGACGCAAATAAAGATTCGTTCATTCATTCTTCCCCTCTCCATGTGATCTTCACAACAACACTGTGTGTGGTAGGTTAGACTTCTAAAAGTTTTTCTCTGGTCCAAGGTCACCATGTGAGTTTCATAACCAGGTGGAGATTTGAGCCCCTGGCCAGGGTGCAAATGGAGAAGGAGACTTGCTTTTCTCCTCTCTCTCTCTCTTTTTGTTACTGTGGAAAATGTGAGGCAGCTGAGGGGCCTGAGGACCACCTCACCTCAGTGGATCCCAGGCTCTCTGCCATAGCAGAGCTCCTCCACCTTGTAGACTCTTGCCTTCATGCCAACCTCTTGCCCCTACAATGAAGTTGTAGACGGTAGATGTTAATGAAGTTGTCGACAGGGTGCTGGTGTTTTGCACCTGTTTCGCACTGGCAGATAGCACGATAGTATATTTGCATCTTAAAAAGCAGAGACATCACCTTGCCAACAAAGGTTCGTATAGTTAAAGCTATGGTTTTCCCAGTAGTGATGTATGAAAGTGAGAGCTGGATCATAAAGAAGGCTGATTGCCGAAGAATTGATGCTTTTGAATTATGGTGCTGGAGGAGACTCTTGAGAGTCCCATGGACTGCAAGAAGATCAAACCTATCCATTCTGAAGGAAATCAGCCCTGAGTGCTCACTGGAAGGACAGATCATGAAGCTGAGGCTCCAATACTTTGGGCACCTCATGAGAAGAGAAGACTCCCTGGAAAAGACTCTGATGTTGGGAAAGATGGAGGGCACAAGGAGAAGGGGACGACAGAGGACGAGATGGTTGGACAGTGTTCACGAAGCTACCAGCGTGAGTTTGACCAAACTGCAGGAGGCAGCGGAAGACAGAAGTGTCTGGCGTGCTCTGGTCCATGGGGTCATGAAGAGTCGGACACGACTAAACGACTAAACAACAACAATATTGATAGCCAATCAGTCTCTTAAGCTTAAGCCAAGAAAGAGTATTCTCTATAAGATTGAATATCAATATACGTATCAAGTCTTTGAGATCAGAAGCCCGTAAAACTACCTTGGGCGTGTGCTACCTGCAAGCCCCAGCAAAAGGGCCCCATCAGGGGCAAACAGTGGCCACTTGATTACTTGGACTGCCAGGGCGAAACAGGTGCAAAACGCTGGCACCTGTCGTCTACAACTTCGTCTACAACTTCATTAACATCTATCTACAACTCCAGTAGCATCTCTCGGTATTGTGAATAACATCGACCTTACCTTTTGTTGGTATCTTCATGAACTTATCTAAAAGACTGAGTTAAGCATTTGAAAAATATATTGAAACCAGACATTATAAGTTCATCGTTGGTTGGGTAGTTCGCAGGTCTCTGTGGCTTTGTTTAATGTTTTGTATTTTTCTCAGAAGGTTGATAAAGAATGTATAATTAATTAATTAATTAATGTATAATGTCTATTAATCGGCAAGGTGTTGCATGGGTCGCACAACCAGTTATGCCGCCAGCTTTGCAAAAAGCTTCTGCTAGTGCAACTTGTTGTGCAAATTATCTGCAAATTCACTTAGGCAGACATAAGTAATTATGCCCAAACCTCACAATCTACTCCGCAGATTCAGACACCCAAAGAGCCAGAGTTTGCCTGTTTCCTTACTTGGTGTTCTTCACTGGCTGATGGCAGCCATTTTTGGACCGAAATCACTGGGGGGGGGGGGGGCGGCGAGCAAGACTGGATGAATCGGAGAGCAGGAGAGATTGGACAGATCAGTCTTTCCTTCGTCTCTCTTGCTGGTTGGCTTCAGCCATTTTAGGAAGAAACCATGGCAGGAGGGGGAGGGAACTCGGTGGGATTCGTGGACTTGTTGGGTGAATGCTTGCTTAATGGACTATTTCCTGGGAACGCTTTGTGGGTGGACTTTTGTATATTTAATTTCATATTCATCATGCTTGCCCATGCTTGCACAGCAGCCCTGGTGTTAGTGGTGAAAGAACATTAAATCTGAAGAAAGGTCTAGAATTCTATATAAAATATAAAATAAATAAAATTTTATTATTATTAAGGCACAGTCTGACCCCCTCCTTTGGTAAACTTCACAGAATGGTTGCCCAATGTTTGCCATTAATTTGATTTTGAATTGATTTTAAAATGAATTGATTTTAGACTGCTGTGTTAGTTTTATTGTTGTTAGCCGCTCTGAGCCCGTCTTCAGCTGGGGAGGGTAGGATATAAATAAAATTTTATTATTATTTTTATTATATTGCCAGCAACTTCTTCTCCCCCCCCCCCCCCAATGCAGGTGCCACAATGAAATTTCTATCAGTTTACCTCCTTGGAATGTTTATTCCACATGTCTATTCGTTATACCTCAACTGGATTATATTTGAAATGTTAATTCCCATCTTGGGACGCAGTGGTTCAGAAATTCCACCCGATGTCGTCGTGGCTGCTTTTATCGTTTTGGCGACGATATTTCTGTCTTCCTACTTTGTAAGAATGCTTTCAGAAATACTTTGTGTTCTACTAATTCAGCTGATTCACAGTGCAGTCCTAGGCATGCTTTCTCGGAAGCAAGTCTCGTTATATTCATTGCTGCTTACTGCAGAGAAGTAGTGTATAGGGTCCCAGCATTAAGAACCTTTGATCTGTAGGTTAAACAAATGCTGTGACAATTCTTGTGTTTTCAAAAAATAAAAATGCAAATACATGTGGCTTCTTTGCGCATGTGACCATGAATTTTCCGAGACCATTTTTCTCAACATCTTTCTGTTTTAAGCTGTGAAACATGTATGGCCCGAGAGCTTGTGCGTGAATTGCAAATTGCCATGGGCTGTGTTTCAATTAGCTGCTTTTTAAGTTTTCCCTCTTGCGAAATAGAGTAATTAACATGTCCACACACACAAAAAAGTTAGCAGGTTGCTCACGTTCACGAACTTTGTTTTTCTCGGCGGGACGCTGGGAGGTCAGCAAATCTGCTGTTTCTGCTGGAATACATGCAAATTATGTAGATGAATTAGCGTAATGAATTGTGCCCATTAAGTTATGTGGAAGGGGAGGGAACCGTAACCCCAACTTGCAACCCCTGGAAATTCTGCACAGCACTCCTCTAGCATCTTAGATTTCACCAGTCATCGCCAATACTATCTTCACAGCCCTTAAGGAGCAGGAACATTTTCTTATATTTTAACAAAAGCTGATATTTTCAGAATGTTTCTTTCTGCTCACTAGTAAATACCATGCTAGTTTGCTCTCTCCTGACCTTACTAAAGGAGAGGTATGAAAGACCCTGGTTCAGATCTCTGCTTAAATATGATACTTTATAAGTCAGATATAGGCAGACCAGATTTCTTTTATTTTCTTTCTCCTGGAACCCCAAAGCCCATTGAATGGAACCAGGTTCCTAGCCTTAGAATTAAGAAACAGGAATGATTTCTGCACATGTGCCCAGCAGTTCATTTACAGTACCACTCCTAGTTTTCCCCCAAGCTTTGTTCATTCGAGCGGCCTAATTTAGAGAGAAAAGCCTTTTTTTAAAAACAGTTGGGAGCTGATTTTTTTTCTAAATTGTCCAGAGATTTGCTGGTAGATCCCTTTCTCCCATCTGCCTGTCCCCTAAACCATGTGGTCCTTGTTAGATCACTGGCCCTCATCCAGATTTGCCACGCAGAGTTGTGTTTGGGAGAAGTCTTTGCGATTAAATAAACCTAAATTTCAAAAGCTTGCAGGTTCGCTAGTTGGTTTTTCTGGATATGTGTTTATAGATGAAGTATTCTTATCCTTGTTTTTTTCTCCTGTTCTTCAGCTTAAATTCATCTACCTTGCCAAAAGTACAAAGATGTCAATAATAACGTTAGCAACTGTTTCTGCAATCATGTTCGTCCTGGTTTGCAGTGGAATCTTCTTCCCGTTCAGTTCAGATTTTGCAAACCCCAGACCAAAACGAATCTTTCTTCAGGTAAGGAACCCTTTAATGCTGCAGAGGGCGTATCCATGCAATTGTTAACGAAAGATATGGTGAATGAGTGAAACTCAGCAAGTCTTTGAAGCTGTTGGCTCATAATGCTCTGTGTAGCCACTGAAATGGACCAGAGATAAACACAGGAAACTTGGGATGATGCTGTAGTAGTGAAACACTTACCTTCCAACCCTTTAAATCTTTTATGTATTTATCATAGCCGTCCATGACTTTTTGTGCAGTTCTGTGTTTGAACTGCAGTAGTTTGAGTTTAGAAACTAACATTTGGTTCTGTTTGGGAACAAGTTGGAATTTCTTCCTTGATATATTCTTCAGAAGTTGATAAATGTACATTTATTGCTCGTTAGAGTCTGAGTAAGTTCCCATTGATCCCCGAAGGGAAAGTATTTACTGACACGTGTCAGACTTAGGTTCTCATGACATCTAGTCTAGTACGATTCTTTGGAGCTATAGGTCAACCCTGAAGGTTGATTTGTATGTCTTAATTCAATCGTTGGAGTAATAATAATTATTATTTATACCTCACCCATCTGGCTGGCTCCCAACAGAATGTTAATAATAATAATAATAAAGTGATAAAACATCAACCATTAAAAACTTCCGTAAACAGGGCTGCCTTTGGATGTCTTCTAAAAGTCAGATAGTTGCTTATTTCCTTGACATCTGATGGGAGGGCGTTCCACGGGGCGGGTGCCACTACTGAGAAGTCCCACTGCCTGGTTCCCTGTAACCTCACTTCTCGCAGTGAGGGAACCGCCAGAAGGCCCTCGGAGTGATGGAGGTGGAGATGCTCCTTCAGGCATACTGGACCGAGGCCATTTAGGGCTTTAAAGGTCAGCACCAACACTTGGAATTGTGCTCAGAAATGTACCGGGAGCCAATGTAGGTCTTTCAGGACTGGTGTTATATGGTCTCGGCAGCCGTTCCGAGTCACCAGTCTAGCTGCTGCATTCCGGATTAGTTGTAGTTTCCGATATAACTATAGGGCTCCATAGTGTCTCTGGGTAAACTCCCAAGTACATTCTTAGCTGGCCTTTCGCTCACATTCAGACCCACAGAGCATTCTGTAATGCCCTCTTGCAAAATATTTTGGACACCACCCAAGTTGGTAGTTGGTTTTCCCTTGAAGATGGAAAGTAAACTCTCGTCTCGCAAAATTGTTGCCTCCATGGGCTGTGTACACACCATAAACGTAAAGCACACAGCTTTCCCCAGAGAATCCTGGAAACGGCAGTTTAGCCCGCACAAGAGCTACAATTCCCAGAAACCTCAACAAACTACAGTTCCCAGGATTATCTGGGGGAAGTCATGTGCTTTAACTGTATGGTTTGTGCAAATCCTTAAGGCTGGTCTTTGTGGATTGTCATAATAAGTCCACTGAACAGATAACCCGCAATCAAAATTTAATGCTGAGCCTTTTTGGGTCACTTTTCCAGCACATGAGTCGAAGATTTCATAACCTGGATGGGCAGTTGGCGAAAAGTGATTCTGGAATATGGATTAATGGGCTCGACTATGGCGGGATATCTCATATCACTCCTCATATACCTGAACTCAACGATTCCATTAGAACCAAATGCGAGGAAGGCGCACCTCTCTGTGGATTTCCCTGGATCCTTCCCGTGGACTATTTATTCAAGTTGGTAACATCGTCTCCTCAATGTACTATTTAGTGTTTTAATAAGATTGAGAGCAGATGTAATGCTTTTAAAAACAAACAGACAGTGAACTGGTATTTAGGTTAGGTTTACAGTGGTCCCTTGGTTCTCAAACATAATCCGTTCTGGAAGTCAGTTCCAAAACCAAAGCGTTCCAAAACCAAGGCGTGCTTCCCCATAGAAAGTAATGCAAAACGGATTAATCCATAAGCTTTTAGGAAAACTTTGGATTTTTTAAAGTAGAATTCTTTTTTCTTTTGGGCATCTGCCAACCAAAACGTTGATTTATTCCAACACGTTTGGTTTTATAAGTTTGTTTTTGTTTTTTTATATGACAAAGATAGTCGTTTGGATTTACTTTATGTGTTTGTGGCTGGCTGTAAGGCCATAACTTTAGTTTTCAAACCTATCCGTGTTTGACGCTGTGATGTGACCAGTTGTGTTGTGCAGAGTCTTTAAGTTGGACAGATTCAATACCGAGCAGTAATTTAAAGTACTTTAGAAGTGCCGTTTTGGAGGGTCACATTAATCTTAAACGCAACCTCTTCTTGCAGGAAAAATTGGTATCTTCCTGCTCCAGCCATCACTCCCAAGAAACCAGCTCACTTTCAGCTTCTCTCCAAAGAGCGAACGCCGTCAGATTCTACAAAGTTCACCTTTGAAATAACTGGTGAGTTGTGTGTGCTATTGTATTTTTATTTGCTATTTACCGTTGGGGAGATGTTCTGGTTTCTGCAGGTGGCAATGCTAGTCCTAAAATACTGAGAGGAAGGCTGCTGACAAACAATTCCCTGTCACTGGCAGCCTGGATAGGTCAGCATGGTGCTGATAACGCAGAGGTTGCAGGTTGGGTCCCCATATGGACAGCTGCATATTCCTGCATTGCAGGAAGTTAGGACTAGATGATCTATGACCCTAACAGTCCAGTTTCCCAGATATAGGAAATTTTGCATGCCACAGTTGCAGTAGGCATGAGAGAGCTTCTGCCTGTAATAGGCTCTTGTATATGAAAAGTTATTGAAAGTATATGAAAATTAGTTGGTCCTTACAGTGCCACAAGACTTTGTCATCTCTGCAGCAAGCAACTAAAGGGCTACCTTCTGGCGATTTGTTTAAATTTTTATGCTGCTTTTTAGGCCTTCAAAGCAGCTTGCAGACTAAAGGCAAATAAGCGATAAGAATGAGACAAGTACAAACAGAAGCTCAGTGCACAGCTTTCTATATAAATAAATATGTATATGTATGTTTCTATTAGGGTTTATAAAGAAGAATACAAAGATTGTTGTCAGATATATATTTTTGTCCAAAACCAAAACATTAAAGGCAAAAAAGAGAAAGAGAAGAAGAGGAAGGAAGGGGAAGAGATAGAGAAAAAGGAATAGAAAAAGATTGAAAAGAGAGAGAGAAAAGTTAAGAAGCTAAAGGACTTCTGATTCCTTGTCTGTTTACTATATAGCTGAAGTATAACACCTAATAAAGCCACTTTCTATAAATCATTATCTTCAATCCTCAAATCCAAACATCATTATTTCTTCTTCTTTTTCATGCAAAAAGTCTGTGAGAGATTTCCCATCTTTAGTAAACGTTTACAATGACTTTTCTCTGATTAAACATGTCGACTTCGCCCTCTCAGCTAAGTCTGTTAGTTTTAACAGCCGCTCTTCCATCGCTGGCAATAATGGGTCATAACATCTTTGAATGCACAACTTCCTGAATAAAACACAGGCCCCACATACGCTACTGATTAACACTGGAGCACCTTTGGAGAGAGTTGGATGTGCGAATCCTAGACTCATACAACCAACCTTTCTAGTTGTCCTTTGGCTGAACGAACCAGTTTGTTGTATAAGGAAAGGTAAAGGGACCCCTGACCATTAGGTCCAGTCGTGGCCAACTCTGGGGTTGCAGAGCTCATCTCGCTTTATTGGCCGAGGGAGCCGGCGTACAGCTTCCGGGTCATGTGGCCAGCATGACTAAGCCGCTTCTGGCGAACCAGAGCAGCGCACGGAAATGCCGTTTACCTTCCTGCCGGAGCGGTACCTATTTTTCTACTTGCACTTTGACGTTCTTTCGAACTGCTAGGTTGGCAGGAACAGGGACCGAGCAACGGGAGCTCACCCCGTCCGTCGCGGGGATTCGAACCGCCAACCTTCTGATCAGCAAGTTTAACCCACAGCGCCACCCGTCCCTTGCAGTTTGTTGTATAGTCATACGCTAAGTTTCATGGTGAATGGGTTCCTGCTGAGGAACCATGAGCAGATACTGAGTTCAAGTCTTATTTGGGGACTTCTCAAAGCATGTGGCAGGTCATTGTGGAAATTGAATGCTGGACTGGACTGACTTTTTCAGCTGATCCAGCTTCATTTTTTTGCCTTAAAGCAAGCAGTAAGGGACATAAAGAAATTCAGGAGAAAAAAGAAATTCACGATAGTTCTGGGTACACCTGAAAAAGTTCCTATGTTCTTCATTCTGTGCTCATGTAGAAATCTCTGTCTGCCGTCTACTTTAGGTCCAAGTCACATGTCAGTGTTTCTTCGGCCACATGAAGGTTCAACACTGTCCAGGTGGTCTCTGGGAGATGGAACTCCTCTTGCTAATAATGTAGGCAGAGATTATTTTATATATTATACACATGGACTCCAGGCCTCGCCATGGCGCTTCTGGATAGAAATGAAGGTGAGGCTATATCAAAAACATGCAATCGTACTTCTTAGAACTCTGTTAAAATGATTTGCTTTTTTGGAACACGGTTACCAATGGTTCATCTGTGTGTGTGTGTGTGTGTGTGTGTGTGTGTGTGTGTTTGTAAAGAAAATGCAGGCTTTTTATGCTGTACATTTTTGAACTCAGTTCCCTCCTGCCCCTTGGCTTGTAAGTCTACTCTTCTTCTCCTTTGCACACATCCTAAAAGGTTTGCTTCCAAATGTGCTTCATAGACAGACCATCTATTTCAGGGATGGCTCACCCATGGGTCACCTGTAGAGCTTTTTTATGGCCCTCCCCAAACCCCTCTAAAATCATCATTAACACCCACTCGCCCAGACCTGCCCACAAGGATGCCAGCTTGAAGAGGGGAGCCCTTGCCCCCCAGTTTGATCTCCTGACCATAGCGAAGAGAGCCGATATTATCTGTACACTGGGCCTGACGGTAAAATCCCAAATTATGGCTCTTCTATTTCTTGTAACAAGTAGAGATGCTTTTCTTTCTTTTTCTTTCTTTTAAATTTTATTTATACTTTTCAAATACAGTGGTACCTTGGTGCTCAAACTTAACCCGTTCCGGAAGTCCATTCCAAAACCAAAGTGTTCCAAAACCAAGGCGCGCTTTCCCATAGAAAGTAATGCAAAACGGATTAATCTGTTCCAGACTTTTAGAAACAACCCCTAAAACAGCAATTTAACATGGATTTCACTAACTGACGAGACCATTGATCCATAAAATGAAAGCGATAAACAAGGTACTGCAGTCACACAGTCAATCCATCAGTAGCTGAAATGGGTTCCACACAGTCACAAAAAATGCTGCAAAAACAAAAACCGCAAAATAAATAGCAAAGATAGACCTCAGCATAACACTGAGAATGGAAGTGTGGCACTCAAATTGGAAGTGTAACACTCAAAATGGAGCATGTTCGGCTTCTGAAAGAAGTTCGCAAACCGGAACACTTCCAGGTTTGCAGTGTTTGGGTTCCAAGTTGTTTGAGTACCAAGGCGTTTCAGAACCAGGGTACCACTGTATACCGTATTTTTCGCTCTATAGGACGCACTTTTTTCCCTTCAAAAATGAAGGGAAAATGTATGTGCGTCCTATGGAGCGAAGACGCCATAGCCCCGCGACCCTCTCCCGGCTGGAGAGGTGACGCGCGGCTATAGAAGCTCCTGCCATCGCCGTGCGGCACCTCTCCAGCCGGGAGAGCGCGCGCGGCGGTAGAAGCCATAGCCCAGCGACCCTCTCCCGGCTGGAGAGGTGACGCACGGCCATGGCAGGAGCCTCTCCGCTGCACCTTCCGCTGCTCTCTGAACTGCTCTTTGGGGCTGGTGGTGGGCTTCCCCCCGCCAGCCCCAAAGAGCAGGTCGAACGGAACCTGAAGCCTGGAGAGCGAGAGGGGTCAGTGCACACCGACCCCTCTCGCTCTCCAGGCTTCCAAGGTAGCCGCCTGAACGCACCTTAAACGGCACCTTGTTTTAGAGCGGGAAAACAAGAGGGAAAGTTCTCCCCTCACTGCACCGCGCCTCCAGCCACATCGCTGAACGTGCGCTCCCCAGAGAGGGGGAGAAAATTTTTTTCTTGTTCTCCCCCCTCTAAAACAAAGTGCGTCCTATTGTCCGGTGCATCCTATGGTGCGAAAAATACGGTAACTGATTTTACATTCATTTTGACATTTTAAAACTTGACTTACTTCCCCCTTTCTGCGGTTCCTTAAATTTATTTTTACTATCTTCTGCATATCCAAATTAACTTAACTTGCTCATTTATTTATCTTCTTTATATATTTTTTATACCCTTATATAGCTGCAGGTTATTACAATAATCCTGCCAGTGTTTTTATCTGTTTACAATTTATCCGTAAATATTCAATAAACCATTTCCATTCTTTTATAAAAAGTTTGTGATCTGGATTTCTTATTCTTCCAGTAAGTTTCGCCATTTCTGCATATTCCATAACTTTTCGTATCCATTCTCCCTTTGCTGGGGCTTCTTTTTCTTTCCATTTTTGGGCAAGTAGCGTTCTTGCTGCTGTAGTCGTATACATACATAAATTTCTATATAATTTAGGTAGTTCTATCCTTATAATTCCCATACTTGTGCTTTTCATACCTCTAGCACAATCTGTGTAGTCATAGCTGTTTTGTCCCTCATTTATTAACCTGTTTTTTGTGTGTGTGTTTTTTACTTTTAATTTTCTACCTAGTCTGATATTTAATAGGGAGAAAATTCCTTCTGTATCCCTGCATGACATAGAATGGCTTCTGTATAGGCTGTTTCTTCATACTGGATTCCCTTTTTAGCCAGCAGCAAGCAGCAAAAACATCTGCTGTATATCAGAGGGTGCCTTTGGAAACTTCAGCCCATCCTAGAATGTGCATGTGATTACAAGCCTAGTGTTTCTAATTGTATTAAAAGGTCAAACCCACAATTTTCCTATGAACCAACATTTCTACTTTTGCTTTTTGTGAGCCTTTTTAAAAAATGAGCACAGATTGCTCCACCTCCATATAACTTGTTTGTTGGATATGCTGCTTAGCTCCCATTTCAGTATGCTTCCTCGTAACGTGTGTCTTAGTTGTCAAATTGGTTTCAGTATCATTTGTGAGCTTTCAGCCTGCTAAATACCATTTTCCCTTCTTTGTAGTCTCTGTGAAGAGCACGCAAGCTTCTGTCCTGTTTGCAGGCCCCGAGTCTTCAGGATCTGACACCCTTCGCCACCTATACCGTATTTTTTGCTCTATAAGACGCACTTTTACCCTCCTAAAAAGTAAGGGGAAATGTGTGTGCATCTTATGGAGCAAATGCAGGCTGCGTAGCTATCGCTGAAGCCAGAGAGGAAGAGGGATCGGTGCGCACAGATCCCTCTTACTGTTCTGGCTTCTGGGATAGCCACGCGAAGCCTCTTCAGGGCAACGGGAGGAACGTTCCCCCTGCCCTGAAATGGCTTGGTACAGCTATCCCAGAAGCCAGAACAGCAAGAGGGATCGCTGCTTTCGCTGTGCAGTGATCCCTCTTGCTGTTCTGACTTCGGCTGGAGAGGTGCTGCTCAGCTTTCCCTCTCTGCGCAGCGCCCCTTCAGCAAAGCGGGAGAAGAAACAGAGCCCCTTCCATTTCTCCCCCCGCTTTGCTGGAGAGAGGCGCTGCGCAGAGAGGGAGAGAATTTTTTCCCTTGTTCTCCTCCTCTAAAACTAGGTGCGTCTTATGGTCCGGTGTGTCTTATAGAGTGAAAGATACAGTAATTGTGCAATGATAATAAGGGACTTAGAAGTTTCTAGAAATCATATTTAGCATGACAGTGATCAAATCTTTGCTTAATCTGGCTTTGCCTTGGCTGTTTTTTCAGGCTTCTGAAGAGCCCACTAAAGGAATGGTCACCCTTTCTGTGGTTTCCCAGTATTTATTTGAAGATGATCACAACTCTCCTCAGTTGCAGGCCTTAGCTGAAAGATTTCCCAACTGGACTTTTACCTCAGGCTGGGTCTCCACCTATGATCAATTTATCTTTTAACCCAGAGATAACACAAAGGTAAATTGTTTCCCATACATTGGATGCAGCTTTTGCTCATAAGGAGTTGGGAAGAATGAGTATTGTTGACAAAAAATACTGTGTAAAATACTTCAGCCACAAAGGTATTTCTATGGCAGCTTGAATACGTAAAAGGGGGTGGGGGCATGGGGAGAGAGAAGGAAACCTTTGTGGTTTTTATGCAAAATATCACCTACTTGAAAGCTGCCTTTTAGGAAGTGGTTTTAGAGTTGCCGTCCTGGGCATCTTGCAATAAAAGGGGCTTTGCGCAGGCATTCCAAGCACAATGTAAAACCCTCCGCAGGCTTTAAACAACCCGAGTTCTGCCTTCCAGTAACATTTTGATTCGTTGTGTTCTTAATTGGCTAAAGTAAGGCTTTGGGTTGGAGACTTTTAAGACTGTACATCATGGAAGATAAAAGAAGCGCCAGTGATTGTTACAGTTCCAAAGTACTGATGCCCATTTGGAACACCATCTATAATCAAAGCTCTTTAAATTCTTAACCGCAGAGACCTTGGCTATTGCTAATTCTTGCCTGCTCTGATTTTACGGTTTTTCTTTCTAAAAACTTCTGTATGTCCCTTTTGGGGCATTGTACTGATGCTCGACTGCAGTGTCTCTGAGTAGAAGTTGGACCAACCCCAAAATGCACTCACTTTTCTATGGGGATCAAGTGGAACGAAGGCCAGGCTGTATCGGATGCAAGCGCACAGTGCTATTGTCTCTTTGGACTTCTAAGCACTGAGCTAGCCACTTTCGCCTTTTATATGCAGGTCTTATCTGTATGTTGGGTTTTCATTCTTGGCAATACCAACTATTCAGCAGTTGCTAAAATTGTCAATGGTCAGTTCCTATTCTTTAGTTGCTTCCTTGCAAGTTAGTAAAAACTACACATTTCCACTGTGTTATTAGAAGCTTGCAGGAAATCAAGTTGCACATGCTTAAAATGTGCTCCTTTAAAATATGTTGGAATGAGGAAACTCTTGTTCAGAGAGATTTTGAACACAGTATGCTCATCTGTAATTCCTTCCACTTAAGATTACATTGCTCTACCCTGTTTCTATTGAACTCAATGGGACTTGCTTTTGAATAGGTACGTGTAGTATTAATGCTATTCATGTTTGGGATTTTGCTATTACTTCAGCTTCCAAAGCCCAAATATTTTAGTGCATCGGGGGGAAGGAAATGTGTTCCAAAAGGAAACATGTTGGGAAGAATTTGCCTAGGAGGAGGCTGAAAGCAGCCCGCCATAAATTAGAAGCCATTTGCAGGTGAAATAAGCAAAACATGAAGTGATATAAAAAAGAAAATTATTTCTTTCAGATCCACACGGTAATAACTTCGGACAGCAGGTTCAGGTCCCATCAAACAGTTTTTTGGGAGCAGGTTTTTAGTCAGATCATAGAAAGCACTTCCAGTGGCAACCAATATAGAACCCTTTCCCCTTCCTACCTCTTCTGCTTCGTTTGCATAGCGAAGGAAGGGGGAAAAATGACATTTTCAGCAAAACATAGGCTGGACAGTCTCTCTGCTGGAGGACATGTAAAAGTGGCATATGCGAGAATGTTCAGAGAACTTAATTGTATAAAATACTATTCTTATTCTCTAGAGCAGGTGTCCCCAAACCTGGCCCTCCAGATGTTTTGGGACTAGAATCCCCATCATCCCTGACCACAGCTCCTGCTAGCTAGGGATCATGGGAGTTGTAGTCCCAAAACATCTGGAGGTATGGGTTTGGGGATGCCTGCTCTTGACAGTATGGGAAGAAAATCAGTGTTGTGGGCAGAAAACTTCCATTTCCCAGTTAAGCTATAGTAGGAAGCTGTAAGGCTATGTTGCCTCTTTGAGCTCCTCAAGACTCAGGTTTGTGGTGCTGCTGCAAAGATGCCAAATCACACAGGTGGGGTAGGAACAAAACCATATGCAAAGGCCAAGATGAGAATTAGCTTACTGCAATTCTACCATGAAGTAAGTTCCGTTTAAGGGAGTTACCTCCCAGTAAAAATAATTAGATCAGGATGCTATTTGAAATCCCTGGTTCTTTAGCTTTACCGTCCAAATATTTTTTGATTTTTTCCATTCAGATGACTTCTCAACATTTCCATTTGCCTCATTTTTTTTTAATGCCAGTAATCCTGCATTGCGTTAATATTACCTTATTAACGTCGTGGAAAATGTTGCATAATTATAATTTGAACGTTAAGGTCAACGCCAGCCTAGATGCCTGTGTGCCACTGAAACTAACAGCTGTGCATTTAGCTTCTCCTTTGCTCTCTGTAGCCTCTTGTATAACTTGTGTCATGACATTGTGGGCTGCATTTTCCTCTCTCCATTCTAAATCACTGAATGGTGATTGGAAGGAAATTGAGAATCCCGTGATATCAGAACACAAGGCGTGTTATACTCCCCGTTACAGAGGGGTGGGGAACCTAAATATTTGGCTGCTCTATTGTGAGAAATGTTTAGTGGAATGCATCAGCTGGTCCTAAGTAACAGCACTGCTTTGTACTTAGAACTCAAATATTTCAAGCAAAGTCCAACAAATTGCCTATATTATTACTGTCTTAATTGTTGTAGCTACAAACCTGCATTAATATGTTATATTAAAAAGTGCACAAACTCTTTGCACTAAAAACAACTGGTTTTGCATGTAGTATTTTCCATTCATAAAAAAAAAATTACTCGCGAAAGTATAGTGTTTATCTATCCTAAATCTCTTGCGGATCTTAATGTACTGCATCTTAATGTGCTGCTTTTGCAACATGTGTTTAAAATCTCAGTGCACCTTTTGCACATAGTGTGTGTTCTCCAATAAACTGAGATTGGAGAAATTCAGAACTCACCAAGCCTTCCCCCCAACTGATTTACATTGTGCCTCAAAACTTACATAATGGTTTGAAAATGACTCTGCATGATGTAAATATGGAGTAATGAAAAATACCTACATGTCTCAGAGCATGCTTAGGAACATCAGGGCAAGTAATAACTATTTTGTTCCTTGAAAGAAAAACTTTGCCTAACTCAGGTTGTATATTTTATTAAGTAGCAGAATGAAATAGTGGGATGCCTTTTTTGTGAACTCCTGCCTTTTTAAAAAAGTACTTAACTGTTCAGCACATGAATTTTCTTGTTGATCATTCTATCTTGTCTTCCCTTGTTCTAGCATTGCACTGAAATCCCCAGTATGGCATTCTTCAGCTTAAAAGTTCTCAAGGATAAATTGAGTGTGTGTGGAACAAAAATCGTGCAGTTATTGCTCCTTGCTTTGTCTAGCTAGCCTAACTATAGGCCTGGTTTTTGTCATATACGTTACAATATAGCTGATGAGTTGTTAAATGTGTGCTTGGGTGTACCACTTCAGACTGCATTTACGGAGCTCATAGGACTGTTGTATTCTACCACCCCAGAAACACCCCTTTGGAGAGGGTGCCTGCCAGGGAGATTGGTCCTAGCTTTGCCTTTTTCCAGCTGTGCTAATCTTCCACACAAGAATCCTTTCTTTTCTTTAAAGGAAGCAATCTATCTATGAGCCCCTCACCTGCTGCCTAAAGCGGTACATATTTGCTTGCCTTTGTCTTCTGTTTGAGAACCAGGCCCTGGTTACAGATGTTGGAAGAAACACACAAGAGCTCAGAGAATGGACTGTATGTAAAAGATAACCAATGCTAAATAAATTGATTTTATGAAAAGGTTTTGTTTTCTGGTCTAATCTGTTTAGGTGCTTCTGTAGCTAGAGTCAAGGATGGGTATAGCCAGTAGATTCGTTCTTAGGTTTTCTTCCCAGTTTCAGGGGCCATGGAAGGAGAAGGGAAAAGATGCCTTGTGTTAGCATAAATCATTGCACAGGCTTCTAGTAGCATGACCTTGCTAAAACAGGCTAGTCTTGAGGTCAGTGGTATAAGCAGCAGGGAGCAAACAGAAACCTGGGCGAAGTATTGAGCAAAATTAAAGGTAAAACCCTGGAGGGGATGGGTTGGCACAGGACTCATCAGCATGCCTCTTAATGCAAGAGAGGCTTTAGTGAGTGGACATTACATATTAAAAACAGATTAAATATTTCTACCTGGAAAAAATAAAAGCCGATGCTTATTCCCTTAATGTTACACAATGCAGCATGTCAAACTAACAAGAAGTATGGATTGTTACCTCATTTCCACCCTTCGTCATTTATTTGAAAGTTATTGCACATGTACCAGTACTAATGGCAAAGTCTAAGCAACAGTAATAAAACTTATCTAGTTACATTTATCCATTAAAAGACAATTTGACCTTGTCCCCTGGAAAAATATACAAAGTTATAATCTGTATTTCTATGCTCCTTCTGAATGTTCAGAACACATTACCAGTTCAGAATTCATATAGAGAAATGTATGAACAAACTGAGGTTGTGGCAGACAGTGATGCTTCTGCATAATAAAATGGTTTTGGTCCATATCAGTATTCATTATACCCCACATTATAAAAATAAGTGTTAGTTTTTGTATAAAAAGTAGAAGTGTTGCATTTCTCTTTTTTCCCCTGTAACCCCAATTGCACAGTAGAAACCAACCAATGCCTAAATTTTAATACTGTTACAGGTATTTAATATTATACATATTGGGGGCAGCAGATAAGGGGGAAAAATAAGTACCTCAAAGCAACCATGAGCCTCTGCTGCAGCCAGCTTCTCTTAACATTGTTGTATGAAAGTTAAAATAAACATTTGCAATTAGTTACAAGTATATGCATTATAAAATATTTGCAAGGTGGCAGTTTAAGTATATACACTGTACATTGTCACTAGCCAGCCTTAAGAGCAATAAGGTGGTTCTATTTACATAAAACTAGTCTTGAGAGAGAAAATGTACAAGTGAAATAAATAAGAACCTTCCGTTATTTGTTTAAAATCTGCTTAGGATACATCTGAATAGGTCCGGAAACAAAACGATGTCCCTAGCAACTGTTTCTACTGCCGTGGAAGAGTTCAGTGAAGGTCTTGTTGCATCCTGATGGAAGTGCAACTATGCTTCAATTTTCCTGGAATTAAAGGTCAAAGCATGCAAGACAGAGAGGGCTCGGCTCCCCTTCACTGCAATACAAGCACCAGAAGCATGAACAGAATATACAGGAATATTCACAAAACATACAATGTATTTTACAATTATTTAATATAAAAAGTCTAGTGATATCAAACAGCATAATCTATAAAACAGACAGAGCCTAGCTCCATCAAGCCATCGTTTCCGGCAATCAAGCTAAGCAGAACGTACGAAGTTGTTATCCTAGTTAGCTTCATTGTTGATTTTTTAAAAGTTTGGGTTCAAAAACCAGGCAAGCTGAACATTATAGACACACACTCCTCTTAAATATTGTCTCGTTTTCCAGAGGGGACCAGTTTAATTTAGAACCTCCGGATATTAGGCTGCATTCTTCTTGCATCCCAAAGGAACTCAACTTGTGCACTGATATATATGTCCTTCTGCATGATCAGTTATCCAAAACAACAGGAAAATATTTGAGGACAAGAGGGGGGACAGGGCGGAAAAAACCAAGATCTCCAAAATAAAATTATCTTGGTATGAAAACTACAAATACGATATTCTTGCTTTCCACATAGCCAGGTTTATAGATGAAAGAGCCAAGACTGCTTACTAGGAAGTTTTCACAGATTTAAGAAGGTTCTCTAGTTAATGCATTTTTAAAAAAACACACCAAAAAAGCATTAAAAAAAAAGGAAAAGTTTAACTGTTGAAGGCTTTGATTACTTTCCCCCCCAAAAGCAATGTTCTTAAATGCCATTACTATGATGCTGTGCTCTTATTCATATGATCAGCCAAAAGTTTTCAGGCAGTGTTAGGACACAGTGCAGTCATAACTGCCTTCTGGGAGTGGGTCCTCCTCTTCCTCCTCTCCAATCATGTCCTCATCGTGCCGCGTCATAGTGCTACTGCCAGGGTCAGTTTGAGGACTGGCACTGTGGCCAGCTAAACTTCTGTTTTCTTCTGCCCTCGGGCTGGCTTGTTCTGCTGCTCTCGAGAGGTTTGCGGGCTGAAAGGCCTCCTGCTGCACTTGTTCCTCTGCTATCTCGCTCAGTTTCTGGAGCTGGGGCTTGAGGACGGTTAAAAATGGCTTGTACCCAAGGCTAAAGGACATAAAAGAAAAAAGTCGTTCCAGTTAATTATCTTAAAACTCCTAATTCGGGCTTTGACCTTCTCCTGGTCATTAAAGCTCAGAACATGATGTACCTCGCACTAAACGTACTCAAAACATTTTGCTCATAAATTAATGGCTGCGGAAAGACTTTTAACAGTAAAAGCCTGTATTTACTCATATGGTGTCCCAAGTTTCCCTTATTACCCTGAAGGTGCTCCCACCATATCCCAAGTCACTGTGATTTGAGATATACATGCATACCCTGCTTGTTCTATGGATAGATACAACCTGTTTTCACACTACTGTTTAGTTTTTATAATATCATACCGTTTATATCATGCCTATTATTGAGGTCACTGAACAGTTCCTGGTTGAGACAGGTCCAACATTAAAAATTCATCCTTTAATCACCAGTGTACTTCAATGCTATGTTGAACTGCATGGGGATTTATTTGGCAGACAATGGGAGGGGATAAGGCTCATGAAACTTACCAGTCTGTAGAGGCCCATCTATCTACTGCCTGCAATCCCATCTTTATGTTCTGCAACATCTCTCCATCAACCTCTGAAGATTGTATTAGGCTAAAAACTTGACTGATTATTGAAGATTCCCGGAGAATAAGGCCTATAATAACGCACCAGTCCAGACATCCTGCTTCCATAAAAATATGAAGCAAATACCTACAGAAGAGCAAAAAGTTGAAGCAAACAGGGTAAGGCAAAATAAACTTTTTAACACCACTGCAAGACTGCTGTGCTCTTTAACCCCAACCTGCGAAGACTGGCTTCAAGGAGACATAGCAAATACTCCTCACCCCTTTACTACAAATTCCAACCTAACTTACCGCAGCTGAACCTGTGATTTATGTGGCCCTTTACTGGCCAGCTCCAAGGAGATATGTTCCAGCTCGGATTGTGTTAAACTCAGTGTTGAGAAGTTCTCATCCACCATCGTCCAGTCTCCGTCCACGATAGAGCTTGTTTCCGTCAGGTCTGTTGCTGAACCAATGCTACATTCATCACCTGTTGAAACACTTTCATTTTAATGCGGAACTTAGAAAATTAGTACAGTACTGATCATGTCTGTATAGCGAACCCAACAGAATGGCAACCTTGAGATCTGTGGTTTCCAAACTGTTAAAGGGAAGCCTTGGCTTTCCCTTCAATAAGATCAGTAATTAAGACAACTTCTCTGAAATAAAGCTTGCCAACCACAGCTGATTTCCACCCGTAATACTGAATAGGTTTTAAAAGTGTGCTCAGAGTTTACACAGACTGTTAGTGAGGCCTGTTTAATACCCCAAGTGAAATGAGTGAACATTCTACAATATGCCCTGAAATTCTCCACGGCACACTATGGCAGTCATGCTCTAAGCATTTCTAAGCCTAGATCCATCCATTATTACCAGCACTGTTTTTGCTTAATCCATTTCCTTCTGTTCTTTAAGAATTCCAGAGAAAGACTAGAAAGCAGAAGGAAGCCGCGAGATGTGCAAAGTATTCCTTGCTCCCCTTTCCCTCGAGAAAATGTGAAACTTAAATGCATTCTCAAAGGAAGCCGACTGTGGGGATGAAGGACTCACATACCTTTATTTAACAAAGGGGAGAGAAATGCCTCCTGCATGTGAGGACCATGGGAAGATGCTGCATCCATCTCTCTTTGAGAGGAACTGATGGCACCGAGCCAGCTGTGACTTCGTGGCACGTTTGGAATGCCACTGTCCACTTCCATGTTCAGAAAGCTGTCGGCAGACTGGGATTTTAAGAGTTGTTCACCTATTACTGGAAAAGAAAGCACATTAATAAACGATGGCTCCCGATAGCCAATGAACACGTGTCAAGATTTCATTCTTAATTAATACTATAGGACTTTGAATCTAAGCCAGGTTACGTGTGTGTGTGTACACCAAAACAATTAAAATTGCCTATTGTGGCACTGTGGGTTAAACCACAGAGCCTAGGACTTGCTGATCAGAAGGTCGGCGGTTCGAATCCGCACGACGGGGTGAGCTCCCGTTGCTCGGTCCCAGCTCCTGCCAACCTAGCAGTTCAAAAGCACATCAAAGTGCAAGTAGATAAATAGGTACCGCTCTGGTGGGAACGTAAACGGCGTTTCCGTGCACTGCTCTGGTTCGCCAGAAGCGGCTTAGTCATGCTGGCCACATGACCCGGAAGCTGTACGCCGGCTCCCTCGGCCAGTATAGCGAGATGAGCGCTGCAACCCCAGTGTCGGCTACGACTGGACCTAATCGTCAAGGGTCCCTTTACCTTTACCTAACTTGTATGCAAACCGATCTCTGAAACTCTCTCTGCAAAGTGAGGTCAACTTTTGATTTAGCACAAATGCAACCAACTTGGGAATACGAAGGAATAAGGAAGCTCTAGGCAATTGCACTTCTGTTCCTTCCAGATTTTGGTCAGGCCTAGAAGCTGCTTTTACTTCCTAGTTGTGGAAACAAAAAACACACTGAGGACACAGTACCTGTCCTGTACTTTCCATTCTTGAGAGGAGAATTTATGGAACAAACTGGAATAATTGGAAACGGCCAGAGAAAGTCGTTGTGCAGTTTCTTCAAAGCTGTTACAAAATCCTCTACACGGGCAGCTCTGGTGCGCTCCTTACACAACCAGCCTATCAGCTCAAAGCCCAGCTGGGCAGCAAAGCAACCAAGGTCCTTAAGCCTGATTTCTTCCAGGAGGCGCCGGGCGTGTCGCCATAACATCATATCAATGTACATATTCTCGGCACAGTCGCTGTCTTTACTCCACCTATGGAGAGAATATCAGGACACATGACTAAAACCCAGTTAATTTGAGATTAGTTTCCACGGTACTTCTTTGCTGATCTATGCCATGTCTTCCAAGGACCATGTTGGACTACTATTCTCACTGTGAGAATAGGATACTAGGAGGCCCATGAGTTTGATCCAGCATGGACTTCTTAGGTTCTCAAGAGACTAGGAAGAGACCTTGTACATTCCGTTCTACCATCATGAGGATTATAGCCTCTGGTATCACATTACCTTTTGCCGGATGGACCAGAGGGCATGCTCAAGGTTTTCTGCAAGTTAAACTTGCCAGGAGGAAGGCTTTCTCCAGATTGGGACAAACTAATGCTGCGATTTCTGAAGAATTCAAAGCCACCACTTGAACTAGGTTCCTACATGGAAGAAAGCATAAAGAAAAATATGATACAACAGCAGGGTGGGACAGGAGGCATGGCCTGAGAGCTAAGAGAAGACACATCTTTTTTAAAAAAATCAGAGTTTACAATATTTATTGATTATCTCTTGATCAACAACTATGTAAGCCATATAAAGTTATTACTTCCTTATTTCATTTTAATGTAACTTGCCAATATTAAAATAATATGGTTTGTTCTCTTATACAGCTGTAAAGGTAAAAGGAGGTAAAGGACCCTTGGATGGTTAAGTCCAGTTAAAGGCGACTATGGGGTTGCGGTGCTCATCTCGCTTTCAGGCCGAGGAAGCCGGCGTTTGTCCGCAGACAGCTTTCCAATTCATGTGGCCAGTATGACTAAACCGCTACTGGTGCAGCGGGACACCATGACGGAAGCCAGAGCGCACGGAAACGCCGTTTACCTTCCCGCCACAGTGGTACCTATTTATCTACTTGCACTGGCGTGCTTTCGAACCGCTAGGTTGCCAGGAGTTGGGACAGAGCAACGGGAGCTCACCCCATTGCGGGGATTCGAACTGCCAACCTTATGATCAGCAAGCCCAAGAGGCTCAGTGGTTTAGACCACAGCGCCACCTGCGTCCCTGTACAGCTGTAGATTGAACAGATGATACCCTTCAGTGTCACAGGGAGCACATTCTTTCTGCTATTAAGTATATATTAAATTACTCTTTGATAATTGCCAGTAACATATATGACAGATCTATCGTGTTCATCTAACAAACCTGAGTTGTTGGTGTAGGAGGAGGTGTCTCTGACTCCCCAGAGCCAATGGCTTTCAGAAATCTGATCATGTGACGACAGAGATCCCACTTTCCCTGCTCCAAGGCGGTATTGAATAGCAAAGTGGCATGCTGCCTGCTAACTGCTGGAACTTCCATGTTCTAGAGGCAACACAAAACACTTTTAGATGGGAGCCACTGATGTGAGAGTTCGTATATTATTTCTCTTACAAGGTTCAAGAAATAGCTCCTGTGGAAGAAATCTTTTTTAAAAAAATGAGGATTGTGGATGGAAATGCACTTTGGACCATATGTCCTCCATTCACTGTGGAAATCTAATTTTACAAGGACAGGAAGAAACACCAAGGACAGAATAATTGTGACACAGGAAGAACAAGGATATAGCTTCAGTGCCTCACTTGTAGTTTTAGAAATCATTTAATGTGTCAACACAAATAGAAGTTACTAATATTGCAGTTGTTGTATAAGGGATTATTATTGTGACCCAAATGTAATTGAAATTAAGATTTTGGAATGCAGAAATAAAGAAATAATCAAACCATCAATTCTAGCAAGCGAGGGGGCCACCTAAATTATATAATTCGGTATTTGAATGATTGGTATTAGTAATGGAATTACAAATTGCTTTTGTTATAATGAGGCTATTATTGGATTGTAATTGAAAACTAATAAAAATTATTATCAGGGAATCTAAATCACCACAGCACCATTTAAACATTCCCAGTCCTATCACAGAAGAGTCAGTAGGATGGCCTGGAGGCAACTACTGTAAGGATCAATGCCTCCATATGGGAACTTCCATAGTTGAGGAATGCATGGGAGCCATTAATCATGTTTGTTCCCTTAAAAAAAGTACCACTCATTTCATATCCTCCCCCTCCCACCTCAGAAAGCTTTGTTTTAGTTGTTTCTGTTGAATTCAACTTTAGTCATACTTGTGAGTAGACCCTCTGAAATGGGCGTGACTTACTTCCATTCACTGCAATGGGTCTATACTCTGAATAGAACTTAAATGGATATAACGCATACAACAACAACAAGTAAAATGGCCCATCGCTTTTGTGCAACATGCTCGCAGCATCTCCCTTTGGAATAAAACGAATGAATGCATTTACCTGTAGAATAATAAGGTAAGAAGCAGCTGTGTCTAAGTCCTGGGCCATCAAACACTCTTCAAACAAGTCTTTCGGGTTCCCGACAGCAGCAAAGAGATAATTCCACAGGGCATATTCTGTCTTCCTAGCACAATGAACAACTGTCTGCAGGAAGAGGGGGAACTCTGTGATGAATTTAGCCACAGTGGGAAGCAGAGGGTCGGGAATGGGATCCCGCGAGGTAGCTTCTTCTTCCAGCACTTCGTGCAGCATCAGTTCGAGCACGTGAGGAAAGTACGGTAACGTGGCGCAGGAGTGAGCCAAAAGCAAGGCTTGTTCGCCCAGGTTCCTCACCAAAAGCTGGCGTAAAATGTGATGGAGGTAGATCTGAGATGTTCTCTCGACAATACAGAAAGGGAAGAGAACCTCTACATGTTCTGCGGCGCTGCTGTGAGTGTATAAACAGTCATAGAGCACAGTGTCATTCACAGCACCAAGAACCAAGGCATCTTCAAACAGGACGGCCAAGGGGTATATGTTAATATGGAAAGGCAACATGATCCGTCTTGAAAGAAAGGAATGCGGTTTGCGGTGGTCCCTGGGAAACAAAGGAAGCCAGACTTTCATACCTGAGCCACCGCAGCTGAGCCACAGAGCCTCCAGTAAGTGTCGTTTCTGTTTGTTAGAACGGCATGTAGTCCAAACATTTTCAACAGACTGGGCAAGAACAACTGGAGCACAAAATGGCAGCTAAAAACAAAAGCACAATTCCTTTAAAAACTACTTTCTTTTTACCTTTTCATACAAGTTTATTCTAAAAGTCTGGTGTGAGCCATTCCTTTCCCAGCCTCATTTTCTATCTTGTAGTGAATATGTGTAAATATTAGATTACTAGTTCACCCAGATATCTCCTTAACTAAACAGTTTTTACATTTCTCTTGTTACCCCTTAATAGTATTATTTTATATTTAAAAAGCAAGCAAGAGCACAGTTCTAACTTGGAAAGGTAGCATTCTCCATTATTCACCTTGTTAATCTTCAATAGTAACATAACATGGCTATAAGTATACAGAGGTGAAACACAGTTTGGTAAAGTACTACAAAACTAATGTCCAATTTGCTAGGAATTCCAGAGGCTCATTTTAGTCCCCCTTTTTCCTCCATTGGCAAAGAGACCAGAGTGTTTCACACAATTATTTATGTTTTGTGACAAAGGAATGTGTGACTGTATATACATTAATCAGAGTCAGTCTCCCTAAGTAGCTGTGGTAGGCAGGCATGTGCTATTTAAAAACAAAAAATGAAACAGTTTACAGTGAGAATCTGTGCACGAAGCAATTTTTAAAGATGGTTTGGAAATCAAGTACATACAAAAGCCGGAGTTATCCATTCAGAGAGTCTTAGATGGTTTAACTACACGGTTCATGCTGTGTTATAAACCACTGCTACACATTCACAATGCATATTCTTTATACTGTTTTAGAAAAAGATATTCTCATAGGTTAACTCACAAGTTTCCTTTGGTTGGGATTACTCTCCTTCTCTCTTATCTGTGGACCAGATCGATCCCTCTGCACCATAATTAACTGTCCTGCTAAGTTTAACATGATGCTCTCTGCTTCACAGGCCTTAAAAAAGATAAAGCTCTATTACTTCCTTCACCTCTACAGAATCTATCCCTTTTATCCTGAAATGTGAATGGGTTAACGCCACAATAATCATAAAAGAATCTTAATGTAGACTTGTTTATTCATCCTCATCCAGTCCACCACTGATCACAGACATGAAGGACCTCACTGGCTCACCTGGATTAGATGAAAAGTGAAAACAGAGTTGAGTGTCATCAGCCCCTGGGTGACACCCATCCCTGTTAGCCCTTCTGACAATCTCTCTCAGTGGTTTTGTGGGGGGGCGGGATTTTTGGCCCAGTGGGCCAGGTCCTTATTTGTTTCCACCCCATGGGCCAACTCTGACATTACACCAACAAGTGACAGACAAGTGGGTTCTTCTGCCCACCTGTCAAAGTCCCTTGTGCAGTGCCCCCAAGTGCCCCAAAGCCAGCTGGAGAAGTGCAGTGCAAGGGTCTCTGCCATCGCTATGCTCTGCAGATTCCAGTCTAATTGAAGGGGCCAAATGTTAGCTCCCCAAATCAGAAGAAACAGTCCCCCCCTCTTTTCAGGTGCCTATTGGCCACTTCCTAACTGGCCTTTGATTCTGTGGGGAACACGACTGCACAGCCAAATTCCCGTAGAAGCAGCTTTGCTAGCCCAGTGTTTGGCATTTGGGAGACGCTGAACACACACCGTGCCTCCCAAACAGTTCAATGTTTTAAAGATTAAAAGCAGCCATTCAAATTGGGCCCAGTTAAACTGGTACAGAAACAGTGTAATAAGCTCTGATCATCCACCCTAACAAGCAAGATTCCAAGTTATCTCCAAAAGCAGTTGTGCTTATGTCTCATGGATGTCACTAGTACCTGCCTTTTGCTTATGCAGGGTCACAACTAGTGTACCATCCTGAGCTGGTAACACACCCCTGGATGCCATCACCACTCATGCTTCCACAAGCAGAGCTGAGTCCAGAAGAACTCCCAAACTGTTAACAGCCTTCAGGGAGGGCTTTGTCTGATTCTACCCAGAAATGGTTGCACTTCCCCACCCAGATCAAGGCATTTCCCTACCTACAGCACTTAAATACCCCTTGGCAGATTTAGTGAGTGGTAGGCTTTAGAATCATAGAATGACAGGTGCTGAAACTTTGCTTAAAGGTCATGAAATCACATGCTGCTGTAGTAAATAAAATTCAAGCATCTCTCTGGACAGTTTTAGTTTCAAACGATGTCTTAAACATTGTACCAAGAGTTGTCTCACTGATGAAACAGCCCTCAACCTGTCGCAGTTTACACAGCAGGGTTAGTGTATATTTCCCCTGCAGTCCTCAAAAACTGTACCTGTACATACCTGCTGCGGCATTTTCAAGCTGATGCCAGTCTCTGTTCTCACGGATGTTAAAGTAACAGACACAACAAGGAAAGGGTGAGGGATATATCGTGACATAGAAACCTCCTGAAGAACCTGAATACTGGTAGTAGGATTGGGACTGAAAGGCAAAGGCAAAAATGGTGACAACGCTCCTAGCCGTACAGAATAATAATTTCTGCCATCTGCTGAACTTAAAGATCAGGATAGGGAACTGAGAGCCACCTTCCACCAGGGGCAACCTTCCAAGAGCCACGTTGCTTGTGGTGGGTGGACCTGGAAGCAACAGTGGGTGAGGCCAGAGACTACCTTTGAATACATCCCACCTGTGCAAAAGTCTGAGGTTTATGCGTTTGCTCCCCCTCCATCCAGGTAAGAGGGATTATTACAGTTCAAGGGCATGTTCCAACTAGGCAAAGGCACTTCCGTAGGAAATGGAGCAGGGTCAATGAGGGGTGCAGCCTGGGGATAGGTGTGATTTGGGGGAAAGAGTCCTGAAATCCACATTTGGCCTCCAGGCCTGAGGTTCCCTATCACTGTTGCAGAGATCCTCCAATATCTTAATTCATCTGTTTGTTAATTTACAGATAATGAAAAAGGCTCCTATAATTAACAATGCTATCTATAAATATTTTAGGTAGCTGTTCCCTATGGGCAGGATTCAACTAAGCAGTTGTGTGCATGGAATGAGATCTACTGAACTTCTCCCCTGCTAACACCCCCTAAATCTGCTCTGGAGGTTTCAGGAAAAACGCAGGACAGATTTCGGGAAAGCAGTAGGGGAGAAACCCCATTGTGTGAGCAGGCCTTGAATTCCACCCTGGGTCTTATTCAAGCAGCAAATAAAATTGAGGAGAGTCTTCTTTACTACATTTATGCCCCACCTTTTTTTCAAGGAGTTTAAGGCTGCACATGTGGCTTTTTGTTTTATTCTCACATCAAACCTGTGTGGCAGTATAGGTTGAGAGAGAGAGAGACTGGCTCAAGGTCACCCCAATGAGCCTCGTGGCTTAATTATCACTCAAACCACAACTCCACAATAGGCTATAAACGTAGCAACTACACAAAATTTTAGCTTGGCATGTGAATTTTCTTGGTGCTAATGCTAAGGGGAAATGAGACGTCACATTTAAAGTCTGCTTCCCTGGGATCTGGTCCTTGAGGGAGTTGCACGGGTGAATGGGGCATGATGACAGAAACGGACACAAATATTCTTTGTCTCAGTGCTAACTACAGTATACAACTGAGCTTGTAAAAAGCTGCCTGCTTTTCAAGATGTTCCAGGAAGGGTTACTAAATTTTAACCCGCCCACCCCTCTCCTTCTCTTACACACAAACACAAACTAAAAGCAAGAATGGGAAAAAAGGTTATAAATAACTGTTTACATAATATACTTACCCATTAGGTTTTCTTTTAATACTATAAAGGCAAATAGAACAGTCTGCTCTAAACAAAATTACTATGTCCCGAAAGACGCTGAGTAATAATGTTTCTGCCTGCACTTTGGTGATATGGGCAAACGCGTTGTCCAGATTGGCTGTTCGCAAATACACCCTTAGCTGAAATATAGAAAAAAAGCACCCCACTATTATGAATTGGATAATGAGTCTAAGCAGAAAATGAATTTACGAATACTCAAGACCCACCCGCAAGAGAAATTTGTTAAGCAGTCTGCTCTTGATCTACAGGTTCATCAACAGAATCCATGGCCTCGTTATTATGAATTGGCATTTCGGGGGGGGGGGTGACTGCAAATGTCCCCCTAAGCACCCATTACTTATCCCCCACCTCCATTCTTCTACTATTAGTGGTGGGGCAGGCCAGGTAAGAAGCACATGGCACAGGTAACTCAGATTACAAACTTTCAGTACAAACTTAAGAACCATGAAGTTAAAAGGAAAAGTTTCCTTAGAAAAGTAAAAAATAATACGATTTTCAGGAATTAAGTTTTCAGAGCTTAAGTGAATTCTACTGGTAGATGTAATGAAACCATCCTTCCCTGACTGACAGTAGCATTAAGCACAACAACTAGCAAATTGTCAATTAAAAAACCCCATGCCTTACCTCTTCTTGGCGGTCACTTAAGTTATAACATGCAATAACGACAAAATCATTCCACCAGGCTAAGCCACCAGTCACAGTCATGTTTTGTTCCTTAAAGTTAAAAAAAAGCAAGCATTAAACAACATTTCTTAAAAACAACAACTTTCATTCCCCCAGTTTATCCATAAATGCTAAATGCATTTGTAAACTTGTGTTTGCAACAGGAACATAATTTGTAAACTATGAAGCAATAAAAATCAGGTTCACAAAGGCTCAACTAAGCACTTTACTGTTTCAGCATCCTACATACTGTTGTTGTTCGGTGTGGACATGGCTCACATAAAAAAAAGAGAAGTAGCAACACGTACAGAAAAAAAATGCCTTGTGTTTAATCAGACTTTTTGTCCATTTGGCCTAGTATTGTTTACTCTGAAAGGCAGCAGCTCTCCAGGGTCTCTTTCGCATCAACTGCTATAAGATCCTTCTGACTGCAGATGCTGCAGACTGAACCTGAGGCCTTTAGTATACAGAGTATGAACTCTACCAATGACCAGGCAGCATTCCACTCCATCCACAGTATGTGGAATGTGTGATGCTGCTGCCTGGTTAAGAGTCAAACCAGGTGTGTTCATCTGGCTTGAAAGTCGTGGTGGGGAATTAACAGAACACAGGAAAACAGGGAGCAAAGACCTCCCCCTCCTTATGTGATTGCATCCTGCTGCTCTGAGCAGTTTTATTCCCGCCAGCTCATTTCTGGTATCCATACTGAGCTGAGGAGGAGCTTAAAGCAGAAGAATATTGTAAGCAAGGCGGCGGGGGTGAGGAAGAGTTTTCCTTCTGCTTTTCTTATGCACTCCACTTAGTATACAAAGTTAAACCTCTATATCCCTACTTTATAGACAAAAGAGACAGAACTGGTTTTGGTAAACATGTGCACATTTGCTTTGGCCCCCAGTGGAGAGGCGATCACCCTGTGCCTGCCTTAGTCATCTCTGCACCTCTCTTCCAAACTGAACTCCATCAGAACTGTCTGCTAATTTAAGGTTACAGCAAGAGCAAGTTGCGAGGCATCTTGGCCCTATGAACTGCGTGCATCTTCTTTTCGCATCACATATTATCAGCGAGAAGTCTAAATCTATTCTGACAGCTCCCCTCTTTGCTAGATAAAAACACCACCACTATTATAACAGGCAACTGTTTTGTGCTCCTGCAAACAGCTCTGCTGTTTGGATCCTTTAGGAATCACTATAGGAAAGCTCTGTTTCTTGGTAGGCATACCCTCTTTCCCTCGAAACATAAATTTTATTTTATTTATTGCATTTATATCCCACCTTCTTCTGCAAGGAGCTCAAGTTTCTTTCCCTCCTCACTTTACTCCCCACAACACCCCTGTTCAAAATTATGCAGAATGCCTCACATTTCACAAAATCTAATTATTCAAAATTATTTGAATTTAGGAAAGAATTTTTCTAACAGTTGCATTTCTTCACATATGTTAAAAAACCAACTACTCACCTGGGTAATGTTTCCAAACAGTTTCCATTTTTTGGAAAGCAAAGAGTAATGTGCAAAACCAAACTTGCCAACTACAGCTACATTCTGCCCCATCTTATCAATAGCTGAAAACTGTTCACAGGAAGGAAGGAAAGAAATACAACTTTGTTAGAGCCTTAATAGGAACAATGAGACACTGGTTCACTACTTGCCTTCTTTACCCCCACCTCTATAACGACAGCTAATGTAAATTTCCTCATGCTATATCATTCCTTTAAATTTAATCTTTGCATTTATATATAATCCAAAGTTGCAAAATAAATATTTTAAAACAACTCACCCTTATAGGCCAATTGATCTCTAAGTAAGTATTGTGTATCTTAAAAAGAGAAGGAGGAAAAAGAATTAACAATCATAATAAAAAATTGCTACCATTTAGCATGCTTTTCTTTCAGCTATTTTCAGTTTTCACCTTGTAAAATCCTACATGGCTCAAATGCAAAACTTATTTGCAATTTGCTTTGGAAACAATGGCCACATGGAGGTACCATTCAAGAGCAAGGCAAGACAATTTATATGTACAAGATTAGCAGTTTATTTTTCTTCCAGTGCCATAAAATCATTTTTAATTAGGAAGGTACTGTGCAAGTAAGACTTATCATTATCAGGATTCTTTGTTCTTAAAAAACAATAGATACCACTGGATAGGACGTTGGATTTTGATATACAAGACTCAGGCTCAAATTCCAACACAGCTAAGCGGCTCATGTTTTCATCTTGGAAAGTCATTACTTTTCACCTGATCCTCTCCTATTGCATTGCAACAAGCATATAATAAATAAATAAATGACGAGACGAAGAAAACAGTAACAATGCCAACAAGGCACCTTACCTGTACAACATGCCAATGTCTATGCCCTAATAAAGTGCTTAAACCCTGAGAATCTAAGCTCCCATCTGAAAAATGGCCTCTTTCTCTGACAGCTTTATGTTCAGAGTGTGTTGCAGAATTTCTAGGATTCTGAGCTTGTATTGCATCGCCACAGTTCAAGTACAAGCGATCTTCTCCCTGAAGGAGGACCTGCTCCTGGTTGCTCTATGAATATAGGAATAAATGCTTCAAGTCAGCAAACAATGAACAGTAAGAGAAATCAATAAAATTCCAATTAAAATGGATTAAGTTACTAAAGAAAATTGTTTTAAAATGGAATCACTTTCACTTTTGAAAGGCTTTAGTTGAAGAGTGACTCTTGCATAGTAGTGTTACTAGGGGAAACAGGGGAAACTTTTGTTCTGTAGTCAAAACAAGAATAAACTTGGCCAAAAATGCACGAAAAGTTACTTAGAAGTATAATACATTAACAAGAAGATTTATGCATACTTACTATGCAAGGGTTAACTGTGAGTGCACTCTTGATGAACTGAAACTGTAAGATACCAAAATGCTGGGATTCATTTTTGCCCACTCTCTCCATCCCAGAGCTATTTGCATCAATCACCCATAGATGATAGCCTTCTGCTCCCCAACTCTGAAATAAATAAATAAATAAAAACGATCAATTATTTAAAACTGCTGGGGGAAAAATACTGGAGGGGAAAACATTTTGTAGCAATTTCCATGCAATAATTCAGGGGTCTATTTTAAGGCTGTCCAAAAATACGGGTTTGTTGCCTTCCTCCTTCTCAACAATCCCTTTCTTCTGCTGTTCCTTATGCTTTCCCATTTGTTACTGTCTGGTCTCCTCCCGACCCCTTCCAATGGCCAAGAGGTGACACATACAAGCTTTCGTCATGCCAGCAGAAATGGCAGATGAGACCACTGCACAAAAGTTAGCCCGCCAACCATATTATATAGCACTTGCCTTGCCCATCATGATCACACACTAGAACAGGCATAGGCAAACTCCAGATGTTTGGGACTACAATTCCCATCATCCCTGACCACTGGTCCTGTTAGCTAGGGATGATGGGAATTGTAGTCCCCAAAAATCTGGAGGGCCGGAGTTTGCCTCTGCCTGCACTAGAAACTATATGACCACGTTTGCTGCTACTTTTGCTAGAGGAAATGCAAGGTGGTGCCAAGTGGGACAACAGCTGAAAGATTCACCCAGAGAGAAATAATTTTGGGGAAGCCTCAATGGAGTTGAATGCAATTCCTTGATTAAACTGGGTGGCAAAAATAATCCTGAAAACTGCTAAACTGAAACAGCAAGAAAAAGTGCTAGTCGAATACAATGGGCTAAATCTAGGTAGGTTTATATGGGATGTGCTTAAAATGAAATTTGACCATGCCACATGCATGTGACACAGATAGATGCTCAAACAGTGCTTACCATAGAGCTGATCTTCAGAGGGTCTTTTTTGGTACCATCAGACCGATTACTTAAAATAAAAACAAAACAGATTCAAACGAGGCTTTTTAAAGTGGCATGCATGTTAAGAAGAAGGAATTTTTTTCTGTACCCAGATATATTAAACTGAAGGAAAGGCCCTGTCTTTGAGAAAGTACATACCTCCTATTCTATTTTCAGAATATCAAAATTTCCCTCTCCCAATTCTAGTGATCCTTAGCAAATTACAAACATTTTCTTTGACATTTAAACAATATAACTACAACATGCCAAATTCAACTTTCTAGTCATTGCATTGGGCATGCAGACGACCAGGGAGCACTTCTGCAACCCTAAGTACATCCCAGTAAAAACACAGAAAGCAGAAAAAGCACAGAAACCTACAAGACCTACACTTTCCAACTATAGGTGGGAAACACCTGATCATTTTCAGAAGCTCTAATCAGTTAAAAAGAAGGTGCTGATGAGGTTAAAAATGGGCAAATTAAATGAGAGGAGGGGTGGCAGATAGACACACGGGATGTAGGAAAAGAATCTATGGGAAATGTAGTGTGATTCAGAAAGAATAAGCTTTTGTGGCCTGAGACAAAGTCTGATTCCAAAACATTAATAATATTTTTAAGTGTCTGATTGTTCTGATAAAAACAAATGCAGCCCAATATAGTGTAATGAGCATTTTACTGGTCCATTCAAAAATTTATTTTAAATGGTTTGTTAAGCCACTAGAAACAACACGACTATGGTCATGGAAGTGTTGCACAAAATACAGAACAATGCACAATAAATAAAATGCTAAACAGGAGATGCATCGGGCCATTTTGCTAAGCTTCCTCAGTTACAACATTGCTTAAAAGATACTTACGCAAAGTCTCCTCCTAGAGTACAGATCAGCTGGGCACCAAATACACTCCATAAGGAGAGGCCTCCACATTCCCAAGTCACCATAACAACACAACTATCGGGAGACCATCTGATTAGTTTAACAGCTCCGGTTTTATTCCAAATGTCTATTGAAAAGCAGAAAAATCCACAATGTAAGATCATGGAAAGCTATGCACTTGCTCTTTAATCATTTTTTAGAACGCTATTTATGGTAAATTATTGATACTCAAAAGGCACAATCCAGTCGAATCAGGTTCAGCTACGCATAGACAGCTCCATCTCCCTCCCAATCCCTAACAGTATGAGGACTCAGAAGATGAGTGGCAGATGCATGCCTTTCATATTCCCGTTCTTACAGGACACGCACAGGCTCTTAGCTTTTTGGATCCCTGCCACAATTCCTTTCAGGTTAGTAAGTCAATTTTGCAACCAGAAATTTACAGCAGGCACATGAGACAGCAAAATGAGACTTCCAACTTTACATGACACACTTGGTCTAAACACACTGGTGCTAGGTAGCTGCACTGTGCGTATTTTAATCACCAAAACACAAATTCTATGTGCCTGTGCTGTATAAATAGTAGAAGGAAATGAGGTCAGCATGCAGAACTACTAATCTAGAACTGGGAGATTCTATAGAATTCTATGGCAAGATTGTAAGCATCAGTATTTTAAGGCAAAGACCAATGTTCCACTGGTTTTCAACAGCAATGTATAGACAACTAAAGACACAGGAGTCTCCTGTGTGAGTGTCTGAGGGCCCTGCTCCTTCCTGCCACTCACCATCTGGCCCAGGGCGGGGCCTGAAGCCTCACAGGGACTGCTGCGCTCTGCTGCCCAGGAGGACTCTCCTGTGTGAGTGTCTGAAGGCCCTGCTCCTTCCTGCCACTCACCATCTGGCCCAGAGCGGGGCCTGAAGCCTCACAAGGACTGCTGCACTCTGCTACCCAGGAGGACTCTCCTGTGTGAGTGTCTGAGGGCCCTGCTCCTTCCTGCCACTCACCACCTGGCCTAGGGCGGGGCCTGACAGGCCTCACAAGGACGGTTGCTGTCATTGCTGCTGCGGCCCAGGGGGATCCAGAGGGGCGCAGAGTTCTTTTTAAAATGTTTTAAAATTTTCCTTCCCCCCCCCCTTTTTTTTGTATATGCGGGGACGGGGATGGGGGTGGGATGGATGTTTAGTTGGGAATTTGTTTGATTTTAATGGATTTGTAATTTTTATAGTTTTTTATTTGTATAGTTTTTTGTTTTCTGGGGTTTTTTGTTTTTATTGTTTTAAGGTCTTATTTTGTTCTTAAGGGGAGGGGTCAGGGCTGCCGGGGAGTGGGTCCCAGCCAACAAAATGGCTGGGGCATGTTCCACAGAGGGGGATGCGCTGGGACAACCGATCTCAGTGATCACGGGTAGGAGGAGGAGTTACGCTAAGACCAGACCATGTCATTACAGAGGAGGCAGGTTTAGTCGTTGTCTGAGGACTATCCCTGCCTCCGGGTCTGGTCGTGACCGGACAGATACTAGAATCAGCAAGGGATACCCACATGAGCTGAAGGTGCTGCTGTGCAATGCCAGGTCAATGATTCATAAGACCACTGCCATCCATGACTTGATCATGGATGGAGGATTTGACCTGGCATGTGTAACAGAGACTTCGTTGGATGAAGCAGATGGGCCTGTTCTTGCCGCTGCTTGTCCACCTGGTTTCTCTTACGCACAGCAACCCAGGCCTTGTGGGCGGGGAGGGGGGGTTGCAGTGATTTTTAGGAAGTTATTAGTTTGCACCAGGCGTCCTATTGGGAAGACCCAGTTCTCAGTTCTCTGAGTGCATGTTCTGGAAGTTGGGCAATAGGGGCAGTACAGGATTCCTTTTGGTGTACCGACCTCCCCACTGCACCAAGGATTCCCTGCCCGAGCTGCTTCAGGTCATGGCGGATGTTCTCCTGGAGACACCTAGTTTGGTTGTCCTAGGGGATTTTAATATCCATGCCAACACGACCTTACAAGGGGCCGCTCGGGACTTCGTGGAAAGCATGGCCTCCATGGGGGTGTCCCTGAATAAGTTTGGCCCAACCCATAGCCGCGGACATGCCTTGGACCTGGTGTTTACCTCCATGGATGTTGGTGATCTGACACTAAGTAAAAGCGAAATGAAAAAAGTGCCATGGTCAGACCACTTCCTGGTGCAACTTGATTTCTCTGCGACCCTTCCCCTCTGCAGGGAGGTGGGACCGATTCGGATGGTCCGCCCCCGCCACTTAATGGATCCAAATGGTTTCCAGAGAGTGGTAGGGGATGCTTTATCCCATGTTGATGGCCTTTCAGATGATTCCCTGGTGGCCCGCTGGAATGTGGAGTTAACAGTATTGACTGTTTGGCTCCGAAGCGCCCTCTCCGATTGCATGGAGCCTGGACAGCCCCGTGGTTTTCCACGGATCTGAGGGCAATCAAACAATCGTTGAGACAGCTAGAGCGCCGGTGGCGGATGACCCATTCTGAAGCTGACCAGACCCCGGTTAGAGCTCAATGTCGAGCCTACCAAGTGGCGGTAGCGACGGCGAAGAAGACTTATTTAGCGGAACCACCTGCTACACTGGGGCCCAGTACGGACCACATGATCTCCTGCAATGATTTTGCAAAGTTTTTTTGCAGATAAAGTCGCTCAGATTTGGGAAGAGGTAGACGCCACCGTGGGAGCAGGGCCGGGGCGGGAGAGTGCTAGAGTCCTGTCTAGTCAAATTGCATGGGATCAATTCCAATCTGTTACCTCCGAAGATGTGGACAGGCTGCTTGGCTTATAAAAGCTAGCTGGGAAGGGCTGGGCGATGGGCTTCGTGGGGTGGTGAATGCTTCCCTCCGTGAGGGAGCCTTCCCAGACCCGCTGAAAGAGGCGGTTATTAAACCGCTTCTTAAAAAACCATCTTTAGATGCGGCCACGATGGCCAACTATCGCCCAGTCTAAAATCTTCCATTCTTGGGCAAGGTGATTGAGCGAGTGGTTGCTGAACAACTCCAGGCACGCCTGGAAGAAGCGGACCATTTGGATCCTTCCAGTCGGGATTCAGGCCTCATCACGGGACTGAAACTGCCTTGGTCGCACTGGTTGATGATCTCCAGCGGGCTAGGGACAAAGGTGAGAGCTGTTTCCTAGTTCTGCTGGATCTCTCAGCGGCGTTTGATACCATCGACCATAACATCCTTCTGGACCGTCTTGAGGGGCTGGGAGCTGGGGGTACTGTCATACAGTGGTTCCGCTCCTTCCTCCTGGGCCGTGTTCAGAAAGTGGTGGTGGGGGATGAGTGTTCAGACCCCTGGGCTCTCACTTGTGGGGTGCCTCAGGGTTCTGTCCTCTCCCCATGCTTTTCAACATCTACATGCAGCCGCTGGGAGAGATCATCAGGGGGTTTGGGCTGGGTGTTCATCAGTATGCGGATGATACCCAGCTCTACCTCTCTTTCAAATCAGAACCAGTGAAGGCGGTGACGGTCCTGTGTGAGTGTCTGGAGGCGGTTGGAGGATGGATGGCGGCAAACAGATTGAGATTGAATCCTGACAAGACAGAAGTACTGTTTCTGGGGACAGGAGGCGGGCAGGTGTGGAGGATTCCCTGGTCCTGAATGGGGTAACTGTGCCCTGAAGGACCAGGTGCGCAGCCTGGGAGTCATTTTGGACTCACAACTGTCCATGGAGGCACAGGTTAAATCCGTGTCCAGGGCAGCTGTGTACCAGCTCCATCTGGTACGTAGGCTGAGACCCTATCTGCCCGCAGACTGGCTCGCCAGAGTGGTGCATGCTCTGGTTATCTCCCGCTTGGACTACTGCAATGCGCTCTACGTGGGGCTACCTTTGAAGGTGACCCGGAAACTACAACCAATCCAGAATGCAGCAGCCAGACTGGTGACTGGGAGCGGCCGCCGAGACCATATAACACCGATCTTGAAAGACCTACATTGGCTCCCAGTACGTTTCCGAGCACAATTCAAAGTGTTGGTGCTGACCTTTAAAGCCCTAAATGGCCTCGGTCCAGTATACCTGAAGGAGCGTCTCCACCCCCATCGTTCTACCCGGACACTGAGGTCCAGCACCGAGGGCCTTCTGGCGGTTCCCTCACTGCGAGAAGCCAAGTTACAGGGAACCAGGCAGAGGGCCTTCTCAGTAGTGGCGCCCTCCCTGTGGAACGCCCTCCCACCAGATGTCAAAGAGAACAACAACTACCAGACTTTTAGAAGACATCTGAAGGCAGCCCTGTTTAGGGAAGCTTTTAATGTTTGATGTATCACAGTATTTTAATATTCTTTTGGAAGCCGCCCAGAGTGGCTGGGGAAACCCAGCCAGATGGGCGGGGTATAAATAATAAATTATTATTATTATTATTATTATTAAGCAGGTTTTTAACAAGGAGTAATTCAGAAGTGATTGGAATAGAGAAAGCATAGTTGTCTATGGGTTAAAAATTACCGGTAACCCATACTTAAATATAGTGCTGCCTTTAAAGGTAAAGGTTAAGGTACCCCTGACCTTTAGGTCCAGTCGCAGATGACTCTGGGGTTGTGGCGCTCATCTCGCTCTATAGGCCGAGGGAGCCAGCGTTTATCCGCAGACAGCTTCCGGGTCATGTGGCCAGCATGACTAAGCCGCTTCTGGTGAACCAGAGCAGCGCACGGAAATGCTGTTTACCTTCCCGCTGGAGCAGTACCTATTTATCTACTTTCACTTTGACGTGCTTTCGAACTGCTAGGTGGGCTTATTGCCACTTGCCATCATTTGACGAATGACTGACTTGCTACATTGAATCAGAATGGGCTATATCAGGGATCGCCAAACTTGGTCCTCCAGCTGTTTGGGGACTACATTTCCCATCATCCCTGACTCCTGGCCTGACCCCTGGTCCCGTTAGCTAGGGATGATGGGCGTTGTAGTCCCGAAACAGCTGGAGGGCCAGGTCTGGCCAACAATGGGCTATATTAAAAAACAAACTAACATTCCGTATCCATCTTGGCATGATCAGACTTACCAGGATATTGTTTTGGTGTTAACTCCAGTTTATGAGACAGCTGCATGGCCCCCGTAGAATGATCAATTGTATAAACTTGCACTGAACCACTGGAAAAGAGCAGTTTTTCAGCATTTAGAAATCTGTATTTTCCATGGAAAATACATTTTCCAGGAAAGTAAGTATTTTAAAATAAATCCATTGTGTTAGTTTGTGCGCAGCGTTAGACTGTAAACAGAAGTTGCAATCCTACGTAGAATTACTTGGGAGTCAACTCTGTTGAACTCTGTGACTAAACTGCAATAACCAAATACAAAAGAAAGCAGTAGCACCTTAAAACTGATACATCCCAAGAGCCAGAATTAAACAAAACAATTCTATAAAACTGTTAACCCAAAAGCTCAATGGAAAAGAAAAGCCTTGAGAACTTCCACAGCCTCTCAGACGGAGTTGGTGAATATATTAGAAGGAATGAATTGCTATGCAGTTTTGCCCCACTAATCAGGTTTAAAGGCAATGAAAGATATTTTAAGGCTGTGTACTAAGTGTATGTATATTTATTTTGGGTTTCTCAATATTTATAAATCAAGTGAAACAGCGTGTAACAATAGTCGACCTTCGCATTTCAAAATCCTGTTTATTCTTCAGGGAAGTGTTTACATCTGCCTGCTCTTACCAACTCATTCACTAGGCATTTCTCACACTGCTTTGCCATTTCTATCGCCTTCAGTAGTATCTCTATATAATCACCTCCCAAGCTACAAAGGGAAGTGCTAGTGCCACAACTGCTGAGCATCTTGTATCTTTAAAACATGGTTTCAATAGGTTGGTAACCCTAATAAGCAAAAGCACTAGGTCCAACCTGTGCATTTGACAACCTGGTAAATCAGGGGTTGGCAACCTAAGGCCCATGGGCCACAAGCAGCCCATGGGGGTCATTTAACCAGCCCATGGATCCCCGCCACCCGCTCAGTCGGCTCCCATGCACCGTGCTAAACTGGTGCAGCGCAGAGCAGGAACCGCCTTCCACAATGCTGGCCGGCTTGCCATTGGCTGCAAGAAGCTCTACGGAGACAATTCAAACCTGGATCTTGGCAGAGAATAATTAAGTTTTCTCAAACCACTTAGCATTGCAGATTCAATGGGAAAGAGCTTTTGTTGCAACTATAAAAACGGTTCCCTCGCCAAGAAGGCAATACAGTACGGGGTGGAGAAGCCAATAAAGGAGAAGATCCAGCAGAACTGAGAAAACCAATTCCAATTGGGAAATGGTTTACAATTCCAAGATGACTTAAACAGCAGAAATACAATAATGGCAACACATGTTTACAGGCCTTACCCTTTTCCTATTTTTTGCCTGTTACAAGATCTGTAGCCCAGATCCTTGGTATGTATGTGTGTGAGTGTACTCCTCTGTGTATATTAACTTAGGGTTAGTACGTAAGGTAGTGTAACACCTTAACGATTTTAAGGAAATATAGCTTTGAACCTACATTTGAACACACACAGCAACATTGCTGTTTAAGTTCACTATCCAGTTCCATCCCCAAAACTGAACTGTGACACAAAAAAACCTTATATGACAGGAACATCTAGACTGTACACATCCTGGGAACACAAATAAAACATCAACCAGCTCAGTTAGGGTTTTAGAAATCCCTTAAAGAATATAACTTTTATATATTCAAGCTAAGAGTTAGCACCTCAGCTTTCTAAAGTGGGACTGTTTCACGTATGTATTTTGAATAACCAACATTCTACCAAAGACACTCAAGTTTTAGGATGTCAAACCATACAGTACTATTAATAATTAGGGCTAAGAATTTCCAGCAACCACCTGTTCCTTAGTTTTCAAAGTTAGTGGAAAGTAGCTTATGATATTCCTCTGTTAAATGTTCCAATAATCAAAATTGGGGAAATAAAAGTGTCTGCCTGCCCCAGAAATGTACAGCATCAATTAATTCTGAAGCAACATTAGGGGTGAGGAAGGATAACGTGGAGAGAGAATGAATATTGGTGGGAAGAAGACCAGACATATGTCATGAACAGCCACATATATGTGCATTGCACAGGCATAGGCATATTCCTGACAAAACAATTTTTATATATATATATATATATATATATATATATATATATATATATATATATATATATATAGTATATATATATATATATATATATATATATATATATATATATATAATATATATATATATATATCTGGACAAAGCAGAGTACTCTACTAAGTGAACAGGTAAAAACACGAAGCTATTGCCAGCACTAAAAAGGGAAATATTTTCCAGATCTGATATTTTTACATATTTAGACATTCTGAACTATGCAAAGAATGTTAAGCATTTACTTATGGCGGCAAGATTATCTATAGCAAACAACAGAAAGCTCAGTATTTCTCCAGTATGCCATGCAATTTCCTAAGTGCTTCATTTCATGAATGTGTCTCAAGATATAGTTTCCCCAAGATATAACATATTTTGTACTTTTCTTTAAAGAAGAGTACAACATTTTGTAGGACACCTCTTAACCAGGGATCCAGAAACTGTAAGTACAGCTTTATTTAAGAGTAGATAGGCTACAGGAGATACCAAGTTCATTCCTTTCAGATTCTACACGAAGACATGCAACTTACTTTGTGCATCCAAATGCCATCAACCTGTATTTGTTATTTACAGCCACACAGGTTCCATCCAAAACATCTTGTGCCCAAACGCCATGGAGCTGCTGCAAGAAACATTACAAAGGATTTTATCCCATAAACCTGTCCAGTTTTGACCACAGGCCATGTTTGTGCAATCATATCTGCAATAAACTGTACCTATATGCAGCCCCAATCCCTACTGCTTTGCTCCTTTATTTGTGTGAGCAAGCAAACCAGCTAGAAAGCTACACTTAACCATAGCATCTTGCTTTGTCTGAACTTGAAACTATGGTTAATATCTTCTACATAAACCACGACCAGGAAGCCAACTTTAAACAACAGCTTTCAGATCATGGCTTGGAGGCCATTAACCTTAGTTTCCTGTCTTAAGACTTAATGGGAAACTGTGGCTTCCAGGCTAGTTTCACCAACTGCACGGAGGGAAGAGCAAAGCAGTTGAGGGCTGATGCCTGAAGGTTGCAAATGCAATGGCTTAACAGGTCAGCCATGTGAATGCACTCACAATGTGCTACATTTTGAAGCTATGCATATTGTACACTTGAAAATTACTGTATTTTTCACTCTATAGGATGCACCGGTCCATAGGAGAGGGAGAACAGGGGGGAAAATTTTTTTTCTTGTTCTCCCCCTCTAAAACAAGGTGCGTTCAAGGTGCATTCAGCCAAAGCCTCCGGAGCGCAGCGGGAGTTCCTGCTGCGCTCTGGAGGGCTACCTTGGAAGTCTGGAGAGCAAGAGGGGTCGGTGCGCACTGACCCCTCTCGCTCTCCAGGCTTCAGTGAAGGCAACCCGAAGCCCACCGCCAGCCTCAAAGACCAGGTCGGGGAGCAGCGGGAAGGTCGGGAGCAGCCGCTTCCGCTGCCCCCAGGTTGTGGGGCTGGCGGTGGGAGGAAGCGCTGCTTTCCCCCACCGCCAGTCTCAAAGATCCATGAAGCCTTTGGAGCGCAGCGCAAGTTCCCGCCGCACTCCAAAGGCTTCAGGCTTCGGGGACAGCCTTTGGAGCCTCCGCAGGGCAGCGGGGTGCAGGCACCCCGCTGCCCTGCAGAGGCTTTGCATAGCCATCCCCAAGCTAGAACAGCGAGACGGAGCACTCCGCAGCGCTCCGTCTCCGTTCTGGCTTTGGGCTTAGCCGCACAGCCTGCATTCGCTCTATAGGACGCACACACATTTCCCCTTAATTTTTGGAGGGGAAAAAGTGCATCCTATAGAGCGAAAAATACGGTAAGTGACAAAGAGCATTCAAATCACTGGGGGTTCAGCATCTAATGGACATGGGAAACCTATGGCCTTCCAGATGCCACTGGACGGTGTAGCTCTTTCAAAAGATATATAGACTGAATTATTTAGCATAAAAAGTCAGCAGCTGAAATAGTTTCCATATTTGCATTTCAAAATGCAGCCAGGCATCACTGATAATAGGAACCCCATAGCCATTCTGCAAGATTTACAAAAAAGGAACATAACAAATAACAAGTTAAAGTAACCAGTAAAAGGGCAGTTTAGTTCAATACAGGACTGAATCCGTATGGTGCTAACAGGCATGCTGCTTTACTTTAAAAGGACAGTATGTACAAAGGATTTGAAAATAATCAGTTCACATAATGCAAAATGTGAGAGGAAAACTATAAATCAAATTTAGGAAGATAATGCAGAATTAATTTTAGAAATTACGTGTAGTAAGATTATAGTCTTAACTGTACATCCGGAAAAACTTATTTTAATGTCATACATGAAATATTTTTTTCTGCCCAAAGATTCCTCTCAGTTATTTTCATCAATGGCATGTTCGGGGGGGGGGGGGACACACCCTCATACAGCATTTCCTAAACCATTTCAACCATACGAAGTTTCATAATTTCTCAGCTGTGGCTGATTAATACAAAGTCTAATGCAGGGCAGCAAACATTTAGCTAAATCTGGAAAATGCAGACAAGTAACTAATCAAATGTTAGAAAATTATACCTCTGCTGTGAATCCACTTGACATTGGTGTAATGAAACCAACTCTGCCATCATTAAAGACAACAGCAAACCCATCAAGAGTAGCACAGTATTCCATGTCTTTGATGTGCACATCTTCAAATCCCAAATATGAACCTGGTAGTGAACAAGATCAATGATCAAAAAGGCCATTTTCATACCGCAAACTATTTCTTTCTTTCATCAGCACAAGAAGTGGTACTATCCACAGCTACAGAATAGGGAAAATGTTCATGTCAGCTGTAAGGACCGAGAAAAGTAGATTTCATTTTAGTGAAGCGTTTCCCTCCCATTTACGCCCAGGCAGAGAAGTAATACCTCTAGAAGAATGCAGATCCACTGAAAATGGGACTGTGCAGAGGTTTATGGCTTTCCTTCCATTCATCATGCCATCCCAGTGAATAAGATGCAGGAAACCATCAATAGTAGCAACAAGGAGATCCTCCAGCATGGACTGTAAGCTACAAGAAAGACACATCATTCCCCAGACACTGAGGCTGAAAGAAATAGGTCCATTCACTCAACAGAGAAGTACTTTTCAAGGCTTATTACATTTTTTTCATTGATTTTTCCAGTTTCCTAATGAGAATATTTCTACCAATACAGTAACTTCACCCACAGTGACAGATAAATTGTTTGTTTTTTACACAGATAAATCTGAAAAGAAAAGCAAGCATTCCTCTAATATGGGGAACCTTTGGGGAAAGGAGGCAAACCTTCTCCCCTGCACATTTACCCTCACGAGCACACAGTTATTAAAGTGTTATTTGAAAGACCCCACAACAAAGATCCTTTCGGTACTGATTTAATATTGAATGTATCTAAGAGCAAGTCTTTGAACAATCCTATCAGTCTCCTTCAATTGCCATACAAAACTTGAATATCATTTCTTAATTCATTCTAATTTTCCTTTCTAGAGGAGCAGAGTGTACCCTCAACTTTTCCAAAGCATGGGAATGGGCTTTTTGCATAAATATCAGAAAACAGAGGGCTTGCTAAATCATAGAAAATGTACAGTAATAATCCAACAGCTAACTTCATCTAATGGCAGAATAAAATATTCCACAGCTGTCCTCACTTGTCATGCAAAACCATGGTTTAGTATGATGTGCATGAGCAAGAATGAGTGGCCGTGAGCCTCTGACTTATGTGCTCTCCATCCCACCCCACATGGCTATGAAGAGTATGGTTTTAGGACGGTTTGTTATGCTATTCTGATTGAAAAACTGTGGTTAATACAGTACTACTTATGTTGAATTTAAAACAAGCCAGCTTCAATTAGAGCTTATTATTCTAAACAGTTAATGCTGACAAGAGTTCTTGGATCAGACTGTAGTTAACCAAAATTGAAAGTAGGAGGGGAAGAGAGTGCATGCATGGTTTGGTGCAATTTCATAACGTATCTTATGTATATCACCGCAAGATTCTCCTAGGCCATTTTTCTTTGAGAGCATCACACAGTCCCATATTCTCAAGGCCTCAAGTGTTGCATAAATGATGATTCGCCATACCTGGTTATAGATGCTTGCAAATCCAACACTTGCTTCTTCTCTAGATTTAATGATGGGGCACATTGTTCTTCCTTATAGTGTGGTGTTCCTTTCATATGGGGGCTTCCTCTTTAAAACAAAAACAAACCCAGAACACAGAAATCAAAAAATATATCAAAGTGTGGCACATTAGAATACTGTAAATTTCATATTTTAGGAGAAAAACATGGTGGTAGGACCTAGGGATTTTGAAAGTCTCCCGCTATCTTAAGTAGAAGTTACTTTAAATAGGGACTATTTGCACTAAATCAATCAAAAGAAGAAAAACAGCAAAAATGATAGTTGCCACAGCAATCTAAACTAAGTTCTGTTGTGTACAAGAACTGAAGGCTCTGTGATCCTGTGGGTACAATGATCAGGAATGTAGAAATATACCGTATTTTTCGCCCTATAGGACACACTTTTCCCCCTCCAAAAATGAAGGGGAAATGTGTGTGTGTCCTATGGGGCGAATGCAGACTTTCGCTGAAGCCTGGAGAGCGAGAGGGGTCAGTGCACGATGGCTGCGCAGAGGTGCCTGCAGTCCCGGGCTCAGCGCACTTCTCCCCATCGCCAGCCCCACAAGCTCGGGGGACAGCGGGGAGGCGGAGCGCGCCTTCCCGCTGTTCCCCGACCTGGTTCTTCCAGCCCCGCACCTGGGGGGGAAATAATATTTTTTCTTTATTTCCCCCCCAAAAAACTAGGTGCGTCCTATGGGCCGGTGCGTCCTATGGGGCACAAAATACGGTAGTTCTAGGAGCGGTCCCTCCTAAATAATGGGGGTTTGGTGGAAGAGAGGAACTCTCAAACCTCTCCAAAGCAGCCTTCCAGAGTCTCATTATGTAAATAAGGAAGGGATGCCCACAACAAAGTAAACTTGAAATTTGCCAGCCTCCCTCTCTCACCCCCAACTCCCAAAGCAAAGCTCAGTTTGCTTAAAAAACCCTCCCATGCACACCCCTTCTCTTCTTTCAGCTCTTCTCTTCTGAAATAAGGCCTAATCCACCCCTCTCTGAAAATGTGCCTCTTTAACAGAGGAGCAAAGCACTGCTGGCTTAAACACAAGCTGCTTTGGAGGGGAAGAGTGGGCTGAAAAATCAGCTGCTTGGGGCAGAAGGACCAAGGCTGCTCTGCAGCTTATGCAAATAGTACCACAATGGAGTCAGATTCACTCTTTAGTACATCAAAAGGTCTCATGGGGAGGGCCAGAGGCTCAAAAGATGATAACTGCTTTTCAACTTTTGTGCTCCCTCAAGTCAGGGACCTTGCCCTGCCTCTCCCTAGCAAACCTTGCAACAGGAAATCTCCACTGGGTTGCAAGGGGGTGCTCCTGAGTTGCAAAAAGTGATGAGCGACCAGTTAATTTTAAACAACGGGAATAAAAATAGGTGTGGTCCACAACATCTGGAGGCTACCCAGGTCCCTGAGTTCTCTGGAATACAGTGGTACCTTAGGTTAAGTACTTAATTCGTTCTGGAGGGCTGTTCTTAACCTGAAACTGTTCTTAACCTGAAGCACCACTTTAGCTAATGGGGCCTCCTGCTGCTGCTGCGCCACCGAAGCCCGATTTCTGTTCTTATCCTGAAGCAAAGTTCTTAACCTGAAGCACTATTTCTGGGTTAGCGGAGTGTGTAACCTGAAGCGTATGTAACCCAAGGTACCACTGTATAATAAAGCTAAGGAGGATATTTCTGGAATGGAGAACCAGTGCCCCCTGCAACCGATATTGTTGGACTACGTCTCCCATCAGCCCGAGGCAGCATGGCCAAAGGACAGGGACATTTACACTTTTATTGTATGGTTTTTATCTTTTTAATGCTGTAAACTGCAATTATATATTTGTATGATTTAGCAGTAAATATTTTTATAAATAAATGGAAATTTTTTTCTAGCAACATCTGAAAGATCACAGTTTCACCACTCTTCTTGTATCAGTGTAGCCAGAAGTATATAATACTTCTGGCTCAGAGGGGTCAGAACAGTACCATCTTAGCACCTTGCTTCCACCCAGCCCCCAAATTAGAAAAAGAATCATCATGCATGCTGCAACATGCAAAATGCATTCTAGTCAAAGGCAAAAAAACTAAACAAAATCAGGACCGAAGTCAAGAAAGCCTGTTGTGGCGTGTACACTAAGGTCTCCTCAACAAATTTGCCTGTGTGACCTCATCTCAAAGAAGAACTAGATAAGCTTGGTTTAACAAGTTTGGTGCACAGCAGAAGAGTAATAAAAAATACGCAGTCCATGTCAGTTAAGGTAGTCATACGCTTTTCAGCTCACAGCATCATCACAAATTCTCGCCCAATATGAACTTATCATAGAGTTTCATTTTAACAGTGACAATGTAAGACAGAACCAACACTGCAAAATACTTAGATATCTGCAGGTAGGAAAGAAATGATCACTGGAAGATGTTTTTAGGATGTCTTGAAGATCTAGATGATGGAAAGGCAGTATATAAACCTGTCAAAGAGCTTCCAAACTGCATAGCTGCTCCTTCAGGGGGAAGTGCAACCCCATCAAGGGCAGGCAATTGATTTTTCGGACATGGGAACCACTCATCCACAGTGCCTCCACCCTGTCAAGATTCAAGAGCAGCTTATTTTCCCTCATCCATCCCACCACCAAATCCAGGCATTGGTTCCAGGGCCCACACAGCCTCTTCTGATTCACTTATTATGGAGAAATAGAGCTGTGTCAGCAATATACCTATGCATGTTGCCTCAAAGCTCTTAATGTCCATATAGATATTAAATAGCCCTGGGGACAGAATAGTGCCTTGCACAACCACAAGGGGGATGGAAAGGACTCTCCCAGTGCTACTCTTCAGATTTGGTCCCATAGGTACAACCAGAAACACTGTAACACAGTGCCCCCAATTCCTAATCTATGGAACTAGCTCAGGAGATTACCATGGGCAATGGTATCAAAAGCCACAGAGAAACTGAGGAGCACTAGAAAAGCCTCTTGTCCCATTCTCTAAAGGTCAACCAAGGCAGACTCAATCCCATGGCCATGCCTAAACCCCTATAACAATAATAATAATAATAATAATAATAATAATAATAATAATAATAATAATTTATTATTTGTACCCTACCATCTGGCTGGGTTTCCCCAGCCACTCTGGGCGGCTTCCATAGAAACCAAAAATACACTAAAATATCACAGATTAAAAACTTCCCTGAACAGGGCTGCCTTAAGATGTCTTCTAAATGTCAGGTAGTTATTTATTGCTTTGACATCTGATGGAAGGGCGTTCCACAGGGTGGGCGCCACTACCGAGAAGGCCCTCTGCCTGGTTCCCTGTAGCTTTGCTTCTCGCAATGAGGGAACCACCAGAAGGCCCTCGGTGCTGGACCTCAGCGTCCGGGCAGAACGATGGGGGTGGAGACGCTCCTTCAGGTATACTGGGCCGAAGCCATTTAGGGCTTTAAAGGTCAACACCAGCACTTTGAATTGTGCTCGGAAACGTACTGGGAGCCAATGTAGGTCTTTCAAGACCGGTGTTATGTGGTCTCGGCGGCCGCCCCCAGTCACCAGTCTAGCTGCCGCATTCTGGATTAGTTGTAGTTTCCGAGTCACCTTCAAAGGTAACCCCACGTAGAGCGCATTGCAGTAGTCCAAGCGGGAGATAACTAGAGCATGCACCACTCTGGCGAGACAGTCCGCGGGCAGGTAGGGTCTCAGCCTGCGTACCAGGTGGAGTTGGTAGACAGCTGCCCTGGATACAGAATTGACCTGCGCCTCCATGGACAGCTGTGAGTCCAAAATGACTCCCAGGCTGTGCACCTGGTCCTTCAGTGGCACAGTTACCCCATTCAGGACCAGGGAGTCCTCCACACCAGCCCGCCCCCTGTCCCCCAAAAACAGTACTTCTGTCTTGTCAGAATTCAACCTCAATCCATTAGCCGCCATCCATCCTCAAATCGCCTCCAGGCACTCACACAGGACCTTCACTGCCTTCACTGGTTCTGATTTGAAAGAGAGGTAGAGCTGGGTATCATCTGCATACTGATGGACACCCAGTCCAAACCCCGATTATCTCTCCCAGCGGCTTCATATAGATGTTAAAAAGCATGGGGGAGAGGACGGAACCCTGAGGCACCCCACAAGTGAGGGCCCAGGGGTCTGAACACTCATACCCCACCACCACTTTCTGAACACGGCCCAGGAGGAAGGAGCGAAACCACTTCATAACAGTGCCCCCAGCTCCCAGCCCAGGTCCAGAAGGATGTTATGGTCGATTGTATCAAAGGCCACTGAGAGATCCAGCAGAACTAGGAAACAGCTCTCACCTTTGTCCCTAGCTCGCTGGAGATCATCAACCAGCGCGACCAAGGCAGTTTCAGTCCCATGATGAGGCCTGAATCCCGACTGGAAGGGATCCAAATGGTCCGCATCCTCCAGGCGTGCCTGGAGTTGTTCAGCAACCACGCTCAATCACCTTGCCCAAGAATGGAAGATTTGAGACTGGGCAATAGTTGGCCATACTGGCCGGGTCTAAAGATGGTTTTTAAGAAGCGGTTTAATGACCGCCTCTTTCAGCGGATCTGGGAATGTTCCTCACAGAGGGAAGCATTCACCACCCCGCAGAGCCCATTGCCCAGCCCTTCCCGGCTTGCTTTTATTAGCCACGATGGGCAAGGATCAAGGAGACAGGTGGTTGGTTTCATGCGTCCAAGCAGCCTGTCCACATCCTCGGGGGTAACGGATTGAAATTGATTCCATGCAACTTGACCAGACAGAGCTCTAGCACTCTCCCGCCCCAGCCCTGCTCCCACGGTGGTGTCTTGTTCCTTCCGAATATGAGTGATTTTATCTGCAAAAAACTTTGCAAAATCGTTGCAGGGGATCTTGGGGTCTTTACAAGGCCCTGGTGGTAAAGGTGGTTCCGTTAAATTGCGAACCACCTGAAAGAGTCTCCTGCTACTATTTTCTGCAGATGCAATAGAGGCGGTGAAGAAAGTCTTCTTCGCCGTCGCTATCGCCACTTGGTAGTCTCGACATTGAGCTCTAACCTGTGTCCAGTCAGATTCGGAGTAAGTTTTCTGCCACCGACGCTCTATCCGTCTCAACGATTGTTTCATCGCCCTCAGCTCTGAAGAAAACCACGGGGCTGTCCGGGCTCCATGCAATCGGAGAGGGCGCTTCGGAGCCAGACAGTCGATAGCCCTGGTTAACTCCGCATTCCAGCGGGCCACCAGGGAATCAGCTGAAAGGCCATCAACATGGGATAAAGCATCCCCTACCACTCTCTGGAAACCATTTGGATCCATTAAGTGGCGGGGCGGACCATCCGAATTGGTCCCACCTCCCTGCAGAGGGGAAGGGTCGCGGAGAAGTCCAGTTGCACCAGGAAGTGATCTGACCATGGCACTTCTTTTGTTTCACTTTTACTTAGTGTCAGATCACCCACGTCACTAGAGGTGAACACCAGGTCTAAGGCATGTCCATGACTATGAGTTGGGCCAAACTTATTCAGGGACAGCCCCATGGAGGCCATGCTTTCCACGAAGTCCCGAGCAGCCCCTTGTAAGGTCGTGTTGGCATGGATGTTAAAATCCCCTAGGACAACCAAACTAGGTGTCTCCAGGAGAAAATCCGCCACGACCTGAAGCAGCTCGGACAGGGAATCCTTGGTGCAGCGGGCAGGTTGGTACACCAAAAGGAATCCTGTACTGCCCCTATTGCCCAACTTCCAGAACATGCACTCAGAAAACTGGATCTTCCCAGTAGGACGCCTGGTGCAAGCTAGTGACTTCCTAAAAATCACTGCAAGCCCCCCTCCCCGCCCACATGACCTGGGTTGCTGTGCGTAAGAGAAACCTGGTGGGCAAGCAGCGGCAAGGACAGGCCCATCTGCTTCCTCCAACCAGGTCTCTGTCACACATGCCAGGTCAAATCCTCCATCCACAATCAGGTCGTGGATGGCAGTGGTTTTATTCATCATTGACCTGGCATTACACAGCAACACCTTCAGGTCATGTGGGTTTCCCCTGTTGATTCCAGTATCCATCCGGTCAAGGCCAGACCCGGAAGCAGGGATAGTCTTCAAACAACGACTAAACCTGCCTCCTCGGTAATGACATGGTCTGGTCTTAGCGTAACTCCTCTTCCTGCCCATGATCACCGAGATCGGATGTCCCAGTGCTTCCCCCCCTGTGGAACTCTTAATCTCTGGTGTCCAATCATTACAATCTTACTAGGGGACAAGAGCTCCTAGGAGGACAGGAGGAGTGGACACCTCAGGTGCTTCTGGAATCACTAGGCTTGAACCAAGAGGAATCAGAATGCAACCAAGGAAAAGCAGAGATCCAAAATTCTTTCCTGCCCTGTTCTTCCCCCACTCCAGCCTCAGAACCCATTCCACTCTGTTCTTCTCCTCCTCACAAATCCAATTCATTAATCTGCCTTCCCAGATAAAATTCATTCTTCCTCAAAAGAAAACCGCACAACATTACACTTAAAGTCTTAAATGCCTGAAATGACCAGCCATACCATGGCATTGCTCTCTAGCAGTTGCCTGAAAACTGCTTTATTTCCTGTATAATCTTACTAGGAGGGAAGTGGACCAGAATTCAGCCCCAGGCAGTGGCAGTTCTTGAATATTCAGGCCAGGAAGCAGGACCTCTCAATTTCCATTCTCCCTCCTTTGGCAGCTACAAGTGTGAGAGAAGCATGTGGCATATGCAAGCAAGGTGCTCACAAACATGTGAAGCGCTTAAATGTGCCATACAGCCTTGTGAGCCTGTTTCAATATATTGATTGCTTTGACCTTTAATCTATGAATGTATGCTGTGACAGAAAGTGGAAGGAATGTTTCATCTGTGTTGCCATATCAGCAATTGCGGCACTTCTGTCCAAATTAGACATCTAAAAGGGCATCAGGAAGGTCAAGGGGAAAGGAAGTCATGAGGAAAGTCCTGCTTATAGCGAGGCCCATACCATGGAACATCTCAGTATGTTCACAGTTTTATTTCATTTATTTAACAGTTAGGTTCTAAGTTATTAACAACAACTTAACTGAAGTATAACCAGTATAAATGTGTCCCTACTGAATTTTCCTGAATAAAATTATGAATTTCCACATGGCATACTCAAAACATTTTTGCCTAACATTAATTTCTAGTGCTATTTTTATTTGGCTTCTTTTACATTTTAATCAGCTTTCCATCACCACATTAAAACTGAACAGTGCTCTTTATGCTCACACTGAACATGGGCTTAAGGCCAACACTGACAATCTTCCAAGTTCCACTCTGAAATGGAAGAAAGACTATGCAGCTGGAGCAGAGCCACTTGGCTTCTTTCAAATATCAACTACTATTCATTTTTCGGTTTTACTCTAATGCAGAATACTATAGCTGAAGAAGTCAACAACCCCCCCCTCCACTTAATGTCAATTCTGTAATTGCCAGCAAGAACACTCTAGGAAACCAGTTTCTACATAGGACCTTTCTAAACAATCAACCAAAACACTGAATAGGTTACTTTATGTAATTCTTAAACAAAAATGTTACAACGAGAAAGTCTGAAGCGATTCTTAGCAATATACAATGTAAAGAAGTGAAGCATTTATTGGAAGACTTACTTGGGATAAACTGGCTCATAAAGATACTTGTCTCTTGCCAACGGAAGATGAAAAAACATGATGTATCCATTTTCTGTCTGAAAGAGGTAAGATATAAAAATCAAAGAAGCACACACATAAAAGTTCTCACAGGAACTTCGAGCTATTTCAATACACTGTGCGTTCGATATGTTTTATGGTTTTTCATGTTTTTAACATCTTTGCCTTCTATTTTATTTTTGTTTGCCACCCTGGGAGGAAGGATGGGATAAAAATCTTATAAATAATAATGGTGATTTAAAGAGAAGTCCATGGATGAGACCTGACAGAAGCTCTGATTTCAGATTCCCTTCCTCCCCACAGCAGTCCCAAAAATGCCTCTTCCAGAGATTGAGGACCCTTCTGAATGGAGATTCCTGTGGTGCAGGGGAGCTCTCCAAAGGGACAATGCCCATATAAGTACTTTGATAAATCTCATGAAGTGACATTAATAAGAAATGAAAATATGTTCATTTATGACTGAGCCATATTTGCTAAGGATCTGAAATCAACCCTAGGTCCAGAGAAGCTTCTTAGCTAGCGATCAGGATGCAAGGGAAAAAGTTCATCTTAGCTACTGTTGCAATTTCAGTCATTTAATACTGGCTGAGGATGTTTCTCAAAGCGGCAAGGCTGAAGGAGAAAAATTGAAGGTTTCAAATTTCTTTCCAGGCATGGTTTCCTGTTTTTCAATTAAGGATACAGAAGCAGAAGGAGGCCATACACTTGCTAGCCTATTTCTTTAGCTGTCCCACCTAGTCACATTTCTTCGGTTTTAGAAGCAAAACTAGTAAAAATCCAAGAGAAATATATTTCTTGAAGTGCAAAGTACGTACAAAATGAAAGTTAACACTATCTATTCCTAACTTGCCTTTACTGCTCGGTCATCTTTAAACAATTTGCACACACCAGCGACAGTATCTTATGCCAGGAGAAAGAGCAGAAAAAACACTATGTAGAACTCTCATTCTAACATTAACTTTCTTGAATTCCATCCTCAATCTTAGTCGATAACGTTACAAGGTTCATTTCTGTTCACACAGCCTTCAAAAACAAAATATAGCTATATTTTGCTACGCAATCACAATTCAATAATGCTCCACAACTCAATGATACTGGGTAGTTTTAGAGTTGCCACCAGTCACTGTGGAATTTGAGTCAAATAGCTAACTTTCACAACTGGCAAAATTCACAAAGATTTCATCTAAACGTGTTCCATCCAAGTGAACTGAATATACTCACTTCATTCATCTGTATGAAACAAGGAGAAGAGCTTAAAACTGAGAGTGGAGGCCATGCTTGCGTTCTGTCACAGGTCCTTCAGACAACAGAGTCTGTCACCTCAAGTTTCCCCAATTTCAACCCCCTTTCAGAGCCAGATCCAAGCAACTTTTAGCAATAGCTTGGAGCTTCAAGGGAAAAAATCCAGCTAGTTCAAACAAGACCCCCAAAAAACTTTTGTTAGTCCAACTGGCAAATAAGCTTCTATTATCAGCTGCCATTTATGCTTTTGTAACCTCAAGATTAGAAAACTGCAATATGCTGTTATGTGGCACAGCACTAAAAATTGTTCAAAAGCTTCCATTCTTGGTAGAGGTAGATCACTGATCACGTATTATTTATTCAGCATGTGACCTGGCTCTGTCTTGTCTTTCAAGCACGATGGAAAAGAGCTAGTTTTAATGTATTTAAGACAAATAGGCTGACCACTGCATAGTTTAACAACCCATTATCATGTTCCACTACACAGCTCATGCCTTATGTATAAGATCACAACTCTGTACTCTCTGAATAGAGCTTGGGTTGCATGCATTAACTAATTTGCCTAGCCATGGTAAATGAACAGCATAACATCTAAGTGCAGCTAGTCCGTGCTTTTATAAGAACAGTAACTACAGGCCAAATAGCAATAGACAAAAATGTTCACTCAAGTGTTACACCTCAGTTTTGACAATCAAAAGGTTTAAAAAATCTGGCCCAAAGGTACTATAACTGATCATGTTATCAGACAATATTGATACCAACATGTTCAAGCTTGCAGTTTGGTTTGGTGCTGCTAATATCATCCCTTTATGGTACATGCAGAGTGGATGTTTAAAGATATCATTGTTTACTATGTTTCAGTGTCTATTTAGTTATCACAAGGATTTCAAATTGTAAGTGGTTTCTGAAGGATATTCATTACCACTTATTGCCAGCAATTTATTCAAAACCATTATTGGAACAGTACTTTGGAATTTACTAAAGGCCAACTTTGGTTCTAAATAAAGCCTGTGAAGAACCTGACAGTTGCAGGCTTAGATTTTTATTTTTATCCTTTCTAATAAGCATGAGATGTTAGTGCTTAATGTTACTTACAATGCTTAGGAGAAAAACTTCCCAAAAGAAATTTACAGTCACAAAGCTAAAAACAGAACTATGTGAACATGCAGAAGTTCACTGTCTTGTCACCAAAGAACAGAGGGACAATTACACAAAGTAAAAAAGTGAACAATGTAAGCATGTCTACCTTTTTTAGAAATTCGCTTTAGATGTCAGTACTGCAAGCACAAGGCCTATGTGAAAATAGTTATTTATAAACTGGTTGGGGCAGGAAATCCTTGAACATTCTTGTTTAGGGCCAGTACATACTTGAACAAATTGAAAACATCAATGGTATGTATGAAGCTTTTGCATATTTAAAACATCCATCTTCAGTCAAATCTTCCAAATGATAGTATGGGTTGTTTTGTTTAGGCCTGTCATAAGGCTAACTTTGCTGTAAAAATGAATCTGTTAGAAGGGAAACCTAACCCCCTTGGTGTTTCAGAACTGAGCACAGGAACTGAGCAGTTTCTGGTGGCAGCAGCTAGATGCAGTGCATTAGCAAACACAAGCTACAAAAGAAAGCTAAGCATTTAGCAATTCAGAACTGGGTAAACATGGATTTCCTAAAACATTGCTCTGCAACTCCCAAGTTCTAGACAGAAACCATGAAAATCTTTAACCAACATTGTTCGGAAGGGAGTGGTTGTGAATTTGAATTTTTCATATACCGTATTTTTTGCACCATAACACTCACTTTTTTCCTCCTAGAAAGTAAGGGGAAATGTCTGTGCGTGTTATGGAGGGAATGCCTATGGGTGGCATGCCTATGGATTTTCCTCCTCTAAAAATTACGTGCGTGTTATGGTCGGGTGCGTGTTATAGAGCGAAAAATACGGTAAATAAGTAGGTGTGGTGTAGGGCTGTACGATAAATCCGGCATGTATACTCACAAGCAAGCCCTACTGAATTCAATGAGGCATACTCCCAGGGAAGTAGAAGTAAGTTTAGTTGAACTCAGTCTTCTGCATGCACAGATTCCACTTAAGACCTCTGTGTGGGGAAGCAGATGTAACTTGACTAGTAAATCACTTAAACTACTCTTAAATTAATTGAAAAAGTATTAAATATATTATAGGGAAGTTTATTTAATATTTTTACTAAATCTACTACTTCCTTACATTTTAAGGCCCTCCACCGCCGCAGGAAGCCTTGTCAAGGCCCTCGGCTGCTGCAGGAAAACATGGCACACTCTCTGCTGCCGTGGGGAGGTACGGTGGGACCCTCCACTGTCATGGGGAGGTATGGTAGGACTCTCTGTCACCACGGGGAAGCCCAGCAAGGCCCTCTCCTACTGGGGGAAGTGTGGTGCACCCTCTGCCGCTGCAGGGAAGTATGGCAGGACCCTCTGCAACCGCGGTGAGGCCCAGCAAGGCCCCCCACTGCCGCAAAAATATATTGTGATATTGTGATATTTAGCTAGTGATATATCATGATGTTGAAAACCAGATATCGCTCAGCTCCATACTCAGTCCTACTTATGGAAGACCCACTGAAATCAATCAGACTTATCATAAATAATGTAAATCACAATGAAATCAATGGGGCAAATCTAAGTATAACTATGACAGTTTATTTTACCAATATCAGGGCGCTGAAGGGAAGATTCAATCAGAGTTAGCAACACCAGGTTCACCCTAGCTGACGGAAAGCTCAGCTGAAGGTAGCATGAACTGTCACACATATTACCAGCATTGTTTCCTGGTAATAGTAAAATGACACATAATTACAGTAGATAATTATAGTAATTTAAAAACTCAAACAACCCTTAAGAACACAATAAAGCCTGCTGAATCAGGCCAATGGCCCATCTCAAGATGTCTAATCTCAGGGTGTGGTTTGATCCCCATGTTGGGCAAAAGACACCATAGGCTGGACTAGATGACCCTCGTGGTCCCTTCCAGCTCTACAATTCTACAATTCTATGATTCTTCTCCAGCATACTATTCTCACAGTGGCCAACCATATGTCTGTGAGGAAACTTGCAAGCAGAACATGAGAACAGCAGCACCAAACCCACTTGTGATTCCTGGCAACTGGTATTCAGAGGGATACTGCCTCTGACAATGGAGGTAGAACACAACCATTGTGGCTCCACAAGATTCACTCCATGAATCTGTCTAATCCTCTTTTAAAGCCAGTCACGTTGGCAGCTATCACTGCCTCTTGTTGGAGTGAACTCCATAGTCTAACTAGAAGAATGTAAGAAAAACTTCTCTCTAGCTACTTTCTCCATGCCATGTATATAGACTTGTATAACAGCACTGAATTGTCAACAGCTTTATTTCCAATTTCTTTCCTAATAATATGTAGCATGGAATCTCCCTTTTTCAGAGCTGCTGCATCCTGAGTCAGCAGCTTCACTGAGCTATCCACTACAACCCCCAAGGTCTTGTTCCTGGGTCAGTCACTGTCAATTCAGATCCCATAAGTTTATATAAGAAATTAAGATTTTTTTGCCCAACATATATCACTTCACATGCGTTTACACTGAACTGAATTTGCTATTCTACCACTCATTCAGTCAGTTTGGAGAGGTACTTTTGGAACACTCCATAATCTCATTTTGTTTTAACAACCCTGAACAACTGAGTATCATCAGCAAACTTCGCCACGCCACGGCTCAGTCCTTACTCTATGTTGTTGACCTTTGACTGTCTTAAAAGACAGTTTTGGGCAGTAAACTCCCTAAACGATGAGATCAAAGCTTCCCACCTCTCACTTACCTTTCATTTCTACCCTACTGGTTAATAAAGACCACATGTTCTGCTTATGCAGCACTTCCCACCCCCCCACCCCTTACTACAAGATTTAGCTCTCCTGCCCAATTTGCACAGCAATTTGCTAACTGCTCAAGATTAGAATGTGGTGGACTTAAATTCTTATCAAGCAAAACATGCTCATTTTACAACATGCATACCTTCCTCAAAAGATTTCTTGGGCAGAGACCAGTTTTACATTTAAGCCAAGCTCTCTGTATCACCATTCCCTTCTCACATTGGTAAGAAGCAGCTGGTAATACGAGATATATGCCATTGTAACACAACAGCTCATTTTACTCTTGTAGGTTTCAACTGCTATACTTGCTGGTGCAAATAACCAGAAACTGTAGGGCCATGTCCACCTGGTCATACATTAAATGTCTTCTCAATCATTCTCTGGGTTTTCCTAGTTTCCGACATTCATTTTTAATACATGAATAGGAAAAAGGTAATGTGAATAAATCCCCTTGAGCTGTTTCCACTTAGCAACATTAAGTCAGCACGTATAAATTGTACGTTACTGTAATGCAAAAGCATATAGTATTCACTACGAATAAAGGATAATACTAGCATTCATGTAAATATAATTTCTCTTTTTAAAGCATACTGGACTCCTTTGGACATTAAACCATAATCACCATATCATAAAAACCTCCACAACTGCTCCTGTACTCACCGAAACAGCTATCATGGTGCTGTCAGGCCTCCACTCTGCTTGGTCATAGGGTCCAAATTGCAATGCTGCTTTTGACGATTCTTTGTAGCTTACGATTAACACACTGGGCTGTGGGGAAAAGGAGATCCAGCTAAATTCTCATACATTTCAAAGCTAACTTTTAAAACAAAACCAAGCTTATTGAATATTTTTACAGATGCAATTCTCTAAAATAGCTATAGGAAGTCTCTGGGAGACAGAAACATTATTTAACTGATTCACTTTTTTAAAAAAAATGTTTAGCGAGCCACTTTTCAGCAAAGTATTAAGGACTGAGGCCAGGAAAAGATTTCAACTTTTCAAAAACTTGAAAATTTAGGATTAAATCCAAATGATTAATGCTTCTTTGGAGGGGGGAAGATACCATTTGCCTTGAAGGAGATGGACCCAGAGCTGTTAAATAACTATTGTCCAGTGGCAAATATCTCCTTTCTGGACAAGGTGCTTGAGAAGGTGGTGGTGGTCCAGCTTCAGGGATGCTTGACAGAAGCTGGTTACTTGGACAGATTCTAGTGTGGCTTCAGATCTGGTTATGGCACTGAAATTGCCTTGGTTTCTCTGGTTGATGACGTTTATCAGAAGAGAGATAGGGGGAGGGCAACCCTTCTTGTTCTCTTTGATCTCACAGTGGCTTTTGATACTGTCGACAACAATATGCTTCTGAGGCATCTCATGGAGGTAGGGGTTGGGGCACTGTTCTACTTCCAGGATCATTTCCAGAAAGCAGTCATGGGAAGCTACCGTTCAGCACCATGGGAGTTTTCCTGTCATGTCCCACAGGTTTCCATCTTGCTCCCCTTGCTATTTAACATCTATATGAAGCTCCTAGGATCAGTCACCAAGAGATTTGGAGTGAAGCATCGTCAATACGCAGATGACACTCAGCTTTGTCTCTCTGTTCCATCTTAAGTGTTGTGTTTTAATGCTGTTACTTCCCCTGTGACCTTAGGGTGAAGGGCATGTAATAAATAAATCATAATTGTGTATGTGTGCTTGCGAGCAGACTTCCCCATCCTCTCTTCCCCTCTTAGCCCCTTACAAGCATCCCAAATCTGCTGGGTGTGTGTGAGAGAGAGAGAGTGGGAAGAAGAGAAAGGGAAAGTCTGCCTGCCCAATATTTGAATTTTACTCTTAATGTAGACGGGTAACAGTTTGAGCTCATGCCCACTAAACTCCAACTCTATAAAGTACTCATAAGAATACCCACTATAGGTTTTCAACTGCCCTTCCAAAATAGTTTGAGGGTATTGTAGGTTACCGTATTTTTCGCTCCATAGGATGCACTTTTTCCCCTCCAAAAATGAAGGGGAAATGTGTGTGCGTCCTATGGGGCGAATGCAGGCTTTCGCTGAAACCTGGAGAGCGAGAGGCATCGGTGCGCACCGATGCCTCTCGCTCTCCAGGCTTCAGGAAGCTATCCGCAAGCCTTGCAAGCCCGGTGGGAGTTCCCGCGGGCTCACAAGGCTTGCAGGCAGCAGCCTGCAGCCCCGGTGAGTGTCTGCAAGCCTTGCGCGCCCGGCAGGAGGTCCCACCGAGCGCACGAGGCTTGGGGCGGCAGCTTGTCGCTCGAAGCACGGGGAGCCCTCCAGAGGGCTCCCCGTGCTTCGGGCGAGTGTCTGCAAGCCTTGCGCGCCCGGCAGAAGGTCCCGCCGAGCGCGCGAGGCTTGGGGCGGGAGCCTGCAGCCCGAAGCACACGGAGCCCTCCAGAGGGTGCCCCGTGCTTCTTGCAGGTGTGCACAAGGCTTGGGGCGGCAGCCGCAGCGGGGGGGGGGAATAATTTTTTTTATTCATTCCCCCCCCCCCAAAAAACGAGGTGCGTCCTATGGGCCGGTGCGCCCTATAGAACGAAAAATACGGTATGTACCAGGCTCATATTGTTAGGCAGCCTTGTGAATAAATAATACATATTCCAAGGTCATGCTTTTCTTTCTCTATTGATGTTTGAATCAAGATGAAGAGTATCATGACAAGAACTTGATACCAAAGCATTCAAGAAATATATGGATTAGTGTCGTTTTCAAATTGCTAAAGTAATACTCTTTTCAAACCCAACTGAACAAATTTCTACTTTCCCCATTACAGTCCTCTAAACTAAAACCTAGCAAATTTTAATATCCCGCAAGCACAGACATGCCCCCTAAGAGGAGCTAAAATGAAAAGAGAAGCTACTGCTGGCAAACATTAATTCTGCTCTAAAACCTGGTGCTCATTTGCATGTAAGAATGACAAAATCACCACAAGGTAACACTTGCATGATAAAGATTCCTTCAAATGTACACTTATGTTGCAATATCTGAGATTCATCCAAGTCTGGAGCATTGTAGCTTTTGATCCTCACATAGCTGTGCATAGCGCAATTCACAACAGAAAAATAAAAAGTAAAAGAAAACTCACAGCTATGCTTCAAACATATTTAAAGTAACAGTATGAATCAAGAAGAAGGGAGTCATAATTTACATTCACTTCAAAGCTGAAATTAAGAGCATTTGCATGCCCTGATTATCAGGATAACTATTACTTGCACATGTTATTGCAGTTTCAATCTTGTTTATTATTTTCTACCAGCCTCATAACCAGTCCTCCTCTGGAATTCTGGGAAACCAAAAAATCAGTGCAGTTTTGAAAGCCATTAAAGTAATCCGTGCAGTCTGGCATCATAATTCAATATGGTGTCCAACTGTACCCAAACAGATGAAAGCCTGCTCCTTTATCCCAGAAGCCATCATGCAGAATTTGGTTACAGTATCTTTAAAGCTGTCCAAATGCATAGCAAACATATGAACAACTTTTCAAAATATATAGTGGATTTATTATACTTATATGCTGCCCATAAGCAATTTCTTGAGGTTGCATACAATAAATAAAAATTTCATTTTAAATACTTACATAAAAATAATAAACATATATTGGGCAACTGAGAATAAATCAAATACAGCAGAAATCTTCAAACAGCAAAGATTTTTAAATGTCAGAATTCCAAATAAGAGACCCTGTGGAACCCTCAATGCTATAAAAAGTCATCTCTAAAAAAACATCTCTAAAAAGCTGTTCTAGGGGATTCTTGATACAACAGAATGTAGTAAGGAAAAAAACACAAAATGAGAAAAAAGACAAGATCTTGGATAAAATAAAAGAATTAGAGAAGAAATTAAGAGTGAATCCAAAGTCACAGCCAACTCTGAGAGAAATTAAACTGTATCAAACACAATATTCTAAATTGATAAATCAGGAAATTGAATGGAAGATTAAATTAATGAAACAAAAACGTTTGAGTCGGCGAATAAATGTGGAAAACTGCTATCTTGGCAGTTGAAGAGAAGACAAAGATTAAATACGGTTACAAATTTAGAGGTCGATGGAAGAAACATTCAGAATCCAGTGGACATTAGAAAGTGTTTCCAGAGATATTTTAAAAACTATATACCCAAGGGCCGCAAGACGAAGTCGAGATTAAACAATTTTTGGCAAAAATGGATTATCTAAACTGTCACAAGAAAATAGGACAACCCTGAACTCTAAAATAACACGACAGGAGATTGAACAAGCTATTCAGAACATGCAACTTGGCAAATCTCCAGGGCCAGACGGGCTGACCTCCAAGTATTATAAGACACTAAAAGACTATTTGATACAACCCTTGATGGAGGTTAGCAATGAAATTATGGAGGGGAAGAGGGCACCGGATTCGTGGAAGGAAGCGTTTATCACATTGATACCAAAGTCAGAAGCTGAAAAGACACAACTGAAGAACTACCGTCCCATCTCCCTTTTAAATGTGGATTACAAAATATTTGCAGATATTTTGGCAAGTAGATTTAAAAAGTTTTAAATGAAGTAATTCATAAGGACCAGGCCGGTTTTCTCCCAGGTAGACATCTGTTTGCTAACACAAGGAACATTATTGATATCTTGGAACTTCTCCAAACTGACATAAATACAAAAGCAGTTTTAATTTTTATAGATGCGGAGAAGGCCTTTGATAATATTTCTTGGAAATTTATGATGGGAAACTTAAAAGAGATGGGAGTGGGACGGGGTTTTGAGAATGGGATTGAGGCGATATATTCAGAACAGAAAGCTAAACTGATAGTTAATAATGTGGTTACAGAAGAGTTCAAAATTGAAAAAGGGACACGACAAGGCTGCCCTATCTCCCCTTTGTTATTTATTTCGGTTCTGGAAGTGCTATTGAACATGATTAGAGGGGACCAGTTGGTGGAAGGAATTCAGGTTGGTCAGAAACAATATAAACTAAAAGCTTTTGCAGATGACCTGGTTTTGACCTTGCAGAAGCCAGAGCCTAGTACGAAAAGAGTATTACAATTGATTAATGACTTTGGTCGGGTGGCGGGATTTAAATTAAATAAACAGAAAACCAAGGTTTTGGGAAAAAATTTGACTGAGACAGAGTCAGAACGGTTTCAGAATGAGACGGAACTTAATGTGGTTAAAAAGTAAAATACCTAGGGGTAAACATAACAGCAAAAATCTAAGTCTATTTAAGGATAACTATGAAAAATGTTGGACAGAAATTAAGAGAGACTTAGACAGTTGGTCAAAATTGAAACTTTCTTTGTTAGGCCGAATTGCTGCGATTAAGATGAATGTATTGCCAAGAATGTTGTTTTTATTTCAAACACTTCAGGTTTTGGACAAAATGGAGTGCTTTCAGAAGTGGCAGAGAGACATTTCGAAGTTTGTCTGGCAGGGCAAAAAGCCCAGAATTAAGTTTAAGATACTAACTGATGCAAAACAAAGAGGGGCTTTGCCCTGCCGGACTTAAAGTTGTATTACGAAGCCGCAGCGTTCTGCTGGCTAAAAGATTGGCTACTTCTTGAAGACACTGATGTGTTAGATTTGGAAGGGTTTAACAATGTTTTTGGATGGCATGCATATTTATGGTATGACAAAGTTAAAGCAAATAAGGCCTTTAAGAACCATATTGTTAGAAAATCACTGTTTAATGTCTGGACAAAATATAAAGACTTGCTGGAAAATAAAACACCAAGGTGGCTTTCACCTTTGGAAGCTAAGGCTCGAAAAAGACCCAATATGGAGGCCAAATGGCCAAAATATTGGGAAATACTAGAAAAGATGGAGACAATTGGAAATTGCAGAGTTTGGAGAAAATGAAAGACAAAGTGCGAGATTGGTTACATTATGCTCAGATTAAAGAAGTTTTTAAAAATGATAAGAAACTAGGGTTCCAGGTGGAGAAATCGAAATTAGAAACAGAATTGTTAGAACCAAAGACTAAGATACTTTCAAGGATGTATAACTTGCTGTTGGAATGGAATACACAAGATGAAATGGTTAAATCGGCTATGATAAGGTGGGCACAGGATATTGGGCATAATATTATGTTTGAGGACTGGGAAAGGCTGTGGAGTAATGGATTGAAATTTACTGCATGTAATGCTTTGAAAGAAAATGTAATGAAAATGATTTATAGATGGTATATGACCCCAGTCAAACTCGCAAAAATTTACCACCTGTCTGATAACAAGTGCTGGAAATGTAAAGAGTGTGAAGGAACGTTCTTTCACCTCTGGTGGACCTGCCCTAAAGTGAAGGCGTTCTGGGAAATGATTTATAATGAATTGAAAAAGGTATTTAAATATACTTTCACTAAGAAACCAGAGGCTTTCCTTTTGGGTATTGTCAGCCAAGGGGTGGCAAAGAAGGACCAAACATTTTTATGTATGCAACAACAGCAGCAAGGATACTACTCGCAAAACATTGGAAAACTCAAGATCTACCCACACTGGAAGAATGGCAGATGCAACTGATAGACTATATGCAACTGGCTGAAATGACTGGCAGAATCCGTGACCTGGGAGAAGAGAGAATCGAGGAGGATTGGAAGAAATTTAAGAACTACCTACAAAAACATTGTGATTTGACTGAATGCTGAATAAGATGCTTGACTAAATAACTGAGCACCACTTAACTTAGAAGTTTTTAAGAAAATAAGAAAAACTGTGAAAGTTTAACTCTTTATGAGAACTATAAGATCATGAAATATCGAAGAGATATAAGAATTTAAATAAGATGATAAATTGCTGACAAAATGTTATAATGATGAAGGTGGGAGCGGGAGATGTGAGGAAGTCCAAAGAAAATGTGAAATTATGTTAAGACGAATGTTATATTGTTTATTACATTTATTCCTATTGTAAAATCCAATAAATTGCTTTAAAAAAAAATAAAAAAAAAATAAAAAGCTGTTCTAAAAGTCAGAGAAAATAAAAAGGCCCCACTAGCACACTGTATTACTGTGGAGTTTAGAAGAATAAATTCAGGTATCAAAATATCATCTAGCAGAAGCTCACCGCAACCTGCTGTGATGATAGGAGAGGGAAAGGACTGAGAAAACAGGGCTGCCACAACCATGAAACGGAGACAGGAAATTTGCAATATTAACTTCCTGATTTGAGACCACTGCAGTCCTGTTTGTCTATTCCAGGGATGTCCAACCCATCGACCGTGATCAACAGGTCGATCACCAGGTGATAGCAGTCGATCTTGGTCGATTGTGGGGGGGGGGGAGCACTCACCCACGTGCTGCTGTGACCTGGCTAGAGTCGGTTGCTGCTCGGCTGCCAGCACTGGTGCCCTGATATGCTGGCGTCCTGGAAGCCCCTGCCAGCAGGCTGTGTCAGGTTCAGTCTGGCAGGAGGCTTCGCGAATCCCCGGCCATGCCGGTCTACCCATGCGATCGGGCGGTGGTAGAGTGCTAATTGCACCCGTTCTCTGCTTTCCCACAACAGCCCGACCGGAGGGGAGCACAGAGCAGGAGCGTCGCCGTAGACAAAGGCCCACCTAAATGCCATTTTGGATGCGAGACAAGAGCAGCAGTTTCGTTTTATTGTTTATTGTTTCGTTAGCGATTTATGCTGTGCCCTCCGAAAATGCAGCAGAACTAAGGACCCCCCCTAAAAAAGCTCAACAACTTTGGCTTGCCCCCCTAAAAAAGCTCCACAAATTTGGTTCCAACCCGTACTCCCCCAAATGGGTAGATCACTACCAGTTTTTAATTCCTGGAGTAGATTGCAGTCTCTTGAGAGTTGGACGTCCCTGGTCTATTCTTTCCTTTACTGGAAGTTAAAGACCAGTTTGAACTCTTCCACTAGTGAAGTAAAATGATAGGATGCAGGGAAGAATCATACATTTTTATGAGTACAGTGGTACCTCATGTTAAGTACTTAATTCGTTCTGGAAGTCCGTACTTAACCTGAAACTGTTCTTAACCTGAAGCACCACTTTAGCTAATGGGGCCTCCTGCTGCCGCCACGCCACTGGAGCACGATTTCTGTTCTCATCCTGAAGCAAAGTTCTTAACCTGAAGCACTATTTCTGGGTTAGCGGAGTCTGTAACCTGAAGCGTATGTAACCTGAAGCATATGTAACCTGAGGTACCACTGTATATGCATTTTACTAGGGACTGCATCCCTGCTCGCTCCATTGCCACCCCCCTCAGCCATTCCCCATTAACCACCCAGACTTTTTCCTATGCCACTAAGATCACTTTTCACTCTCCCAACCCCATTTTTGAAGCCACTTTTCCTTTCCCTCTTTTTGTGCATCCCCCTCCCTTGCACATAAAGCACCCTGTGGTAACTTCCTGCAATTTCCTCCTCTCTCATGTTGCAACTACAAAGCACCCTTTACCCCTCCATCCCATTATGAAGCCTCCTATTCTGCAGACTTTTCAATGCCCCTGGTTTCACGTTCAACCCTATTTCCATGCCCCCTAGTCTCTCCTTTTAGCAACCTCTTTTGCACCTCCATTTTCACATTCATCCCCTTTTTCCTAGCCCTTCCTTACTCTTCTCAACTCTGCCCACAGATTGCCCCCACTTCCATAGCTTTTCTCTATTCTGTAACCCCCTTTGTATACATATGCAGTAATGATGTATGTATGTCACAGTACCTTTAAGGAGAACAGAATCTGAAAAACAAGCCCATAATGTAGCTTGTTCAGTTAAAGGAGGTTATTTTGGTTGATGGATGTTGTACATCTACAGGTGTTTGCCTGTTGATGAAATACCTGTACTAAATTACTACACTGAACTTGGAACTTCATGTTGAAGACAGCACACATGGTACCAGGAGTGAAATACATTGTGTGACGGTACTTAGGAACAATTGAGGCCTCTACATCCTTTATCTCTCTCACATGAGGAAACAGAAATAGAATAAGTTTGAGTACAGTGAGGAGGGAGACAAGCAGAAAGGGGAGAAATTGCTATTTTAAAGAACGACAGAAGTTAAAGTGGGAGGGAAACTGAGAGGAAAGTGGTGTCTTTAAACAACTGCAAACAAACAAGCCAGTTTTAACAAGGAAAAATAGCAGAGATGGGTACAACACAAAAGACAACACCAAAAACCCAGCACAAGATAACCTTTCCAAATTCCTTTCTTGCTGCACTCAAACTGTCATTTCTCTCTCTGTGTCACTTTGCCCTACTGAAACATCTGCCATTGTTTAAAACAGGCACTCTCCCCTGTCAGTATCCCTCAATCCCTGTGCACATACAGACTCTCACAACAGAGCATCATAGTAATTGTCTACAGTGGTACCTGTAGAACTTAATTCGTTCTGGGAGTCTGTTCTTAACCTGAAACTGTTCTTAACTTGAAGCACCACTTTAGCTAATGGGGCCTCCTGCTGCCGCCATGCCGCCGCCATCGCACGATTTCTGTTCTCATCCTGAAGCAAAGTTCTTAACCCAAGGTAATATTTCTGGGTTAGCGGAGTCTGTAACCTGAAGCGTATGTAACCTGAGGTACCACTGTACTTTGGAAGTTATAAGCCTGTTTGTCCCCCAAAACTTGGGGATTAAGTGTATACACTGCATGTGAATGGAAGTCACATTCAACTGTCATAACTAACAGATATTGACAGACCACTGAAACATTTTGCAACATAATAGTAAGCTTGTTTACCCATTAGTAAATCCTACTGCGTTCAACAGGGCTTATTCTCAGGTTAATTGTGTACAGTACTGTACCCTAACCTACTTAAAGTCGTCTAAGCTGCTGGCCATCACTACATGCTGTGGCAGTGAATTCCAATTACCGTATTTTTTGCTCTATAAGACTCACTTTTTCCCTCCTAAAAAGTAAGGGGAAATGTGTGTGCGTCTTATGGAGCGAATGCAGGCTGCGCAGCTATCCCAGAAGCCAGAACAGCAAGAGGGATTGCTGCTTTCAATGCGTAGCGATCCCTCTTGCTGTTCTGGCTTCTGAGATTCAGAATATTTTTTTTCTTGTTTTCCTCCTCCAAAAACTAGGTGCGTCTTGTGGTCTGGTGCGTCTTATAGAGCGAAAAATACGGCACTTACAACAGGAATGAAGGAGCACTTCTTTTTGCCCATCCATAACCTACGGTTAACTAACTTCACTGGGTTACCCCAAGTTCTATTATTTGTGCCAGGAAGAGAAACTCTCTCCCCTTGCTGTAATTTTAATAAACTCTCATGAGGCCCCAGAGCTATCTTTAATTAAACTAAAAAGTCACAAAGGTTATCTAATCATCTTCATTTTTATTGCTCCTTTCTGCCACTTTTCCAGATCTACAATATCCTTTTTTTTAATGGAGCAGTGAGAACAATAAAGCTTTGCAGTTATGTTCCAAGTAAATAATACTATCACAAATTATTGGCATTAGGACTTTGGTCATAAACGTGTTAAAGGTTTTGAAATATGACAACATCACACAGAGAGAAAGACTGAAGCCGACCTACTTGAAGTCATCACAGGTGACAAAGGGACACTGTAAAACATTGCGTCATAGGTATTAGGCACCAGCTGAACTAGAAGCTAAGCAATTCACTAGCATCTGAAACTTGCTTTCCTTTATTGCCATTTTTAAAATTGATAAAAGATGCTTTGACCAACTTAAAGCAACAGATTGGAGTTTGATTTTAGTATCCTATCAACGTCTAGACTAGAGGGGGGAAACACATTTCCCTGCAGCCTTTGAAATTTCAACTCTAGAGCATTTTGCTAAAGCATGAACACCATATGGCAGAGACAGAAAACCTGTGACCCTCCAAATTGTTCAGTTAAAACTTCCATCATCCATGATCACTGAACCACCTTAAATCTGATCAGAGCTGATCAGATTAGCAGTTAGTTCCAGTTCCAGTTCCCTGCCATATGGAGAAGCTGGTAGGTAACTATTGTCAGCAGAACTGTCATTGCCAAGCTGTGCTTGAAAGGTACAGACTCACTGTGTAAAATTGAAAGAAAGTATGTTTTTCCAGATCTAATGAATGGTACTTGACTCTTCCTGAATAGAAACCTGTGTAAAAACCGAACATTCAGACTTAAGGTGTATGACCAAAATTGGTCTTTGTGGATTTTCACACTGTATATGTGTAGAAATCATGAAAGAGCAATGATCATTTGGGGTCAGAATGTAGGTATAGGCTGCACTTAATGTTATCCACTGTTTCTTTTAAAAGTTTAGTGAACATATTATTGGAAATATTAATTTATATGTACCTGAATCATTGCTATAGTACAGCAGAAGATAGAACTGAAAAATAGATCAGATGTGCCAACATTTTAAACTGAAATGAGTATTTGAAAAAATAGGGACTTTAGCTTCAGCAACTAATTAACCTACAAGAGAACCGGACAATCAAAACTGTGGGGCACTGCCCCTATAAATGAGCATCATTCAAACCCAACTTTCTCATATTTTCAGAGTTATTTATGTAAGTAACGAGCCCTGGAAATCAATCAATCTGAAGGCTGCAGGCAAGAAGGCGAGGAGAACGATTGGGAGGCATCCCTGAATTTAGAGGACCCTGCCCTGATCGTTCAAAAGACCACACAACACAATGATACTATGTATTCGCCATAAGTCTTGCTGGCATTCCCTTTACTAAGGCAAGTTAACATGAAACAACTGTGAAGTAGGCCAATCATTTCCAAATTTGATGTCAAAGAGCAGAGGCTCTAACCAAAGTCACACATTAAAAACCCGACTGTGTAGGGTTTTTGAAGTCAGGCTTTTAAGCTTAGGCTCAAACCCATTAAAACAACAGCCCTCTGATCTCATTGAGCTCAGTCAAACCAGTGTTCAAAATTTGCCAGGCACATTTTGCACCTAGCTATTGACCACTTACGCCTGACATCACCATCTGGAGGTGCATGCTTGGGGATTCTTGGATCTGGACTGTTTCCACACACTAATACCCCATCCTGTAGAAGTCTATCAGTTATATTTCATATGCACCCTCCATGTGGAACGCCCTCCCATCCCATGTCAAGGAGATAAAGAACTACACAACTTTTAAAAGACACCTGAAGGCAGCCCTGGATCGGGAAGTTTTCAATGTTAGACGTTTTACAATGGGGGGGTGGGGTGGACTGGGCGCCACGGGGGAATGCTGGTTGCCACGAGGGGGGGCCTGCAGGGCATCCGAGTGTCACCGGGGGTGGGGAGCATTGGAGCTGCATGGGAATTGGTAGGTCAGGCTTCCTCAAACTCGGCCCTCCAGATGTTTTGAGACTACAATTCCCATCATCCCTAACCACTGCTCCTGCTAGCTAAGGATCATGGGAGTTGAAGGCCAAAAACATCTGGAGGGCTGAGTTTGAGGAAGCCTGTGGTAGGCAGTCCTAGGCATCTCCTAAAAAGAGCTTGACCACTTTGAAGCATCTAAAATAATAATGATAATAATTAATAAATATTATTTATACCCCACCCATCTGGCTGGGTTTCCCCAGACACTCTGGGCGGCTCCCAACAGAATATTAAAAACACATCAAACATTAAAAAACTTCCCTAAACAGGGCTGCCTTCAGATGTCTTCTAAAAGTCAGACAGTTGTTTGTCTTATTTAAACCTCCAACCCCAGGCGCCGGCGGGGGTTGCTACGCCGCTGCATTTTATTATGTTTTTATATTCTGCTGGAAGCCGCCCAGGTAATAATAATAATAATAATAATAATAATAATAATAATTGAAGCGGGCGACGGCCCAGCGAGGGTCTCCTCCTACTCACCCTGTTGTACCAGATGCCGAGCTGGGAGCGGGACAAGACGGCGAACAGAGTCCGCTGCGGGTCGGCCTGGATGCGGAGCGGGGGCTCCCTGGCCTCGGCGGGGCACAGCAGCCTCTTCGGCCACCCGCTCAGGAAATACATGGCTGGCGAGCAGGCAGGAAGGCAGGCAGGAGGCCGCCTGTCCCGGCGAGGCACTAGCAGGCCGGAGCCAGGAGCTTTCCCCTCATGGGCCTCCTCGGGCGAGGGAGACTCTGCCCCGCGCGGCCTGCGGAGGATCCGCGGAGGAGGAGCCGCGCATAATCCCCGCCTGAGGGGCGCTGGGAAGAGACTGAGGGGGGCGGCTCGGAAGAAGGGGCTCCCTCCTCTCCGCTGGGCCGGGTCGCGGGGAAAGGGCCGTTACAGCTCAGGACGGAGCCCTCGCGGCGTCGCCTCAGCCTCCCCTCGGGAGCCCTCGCTCGCTCTCCCCGCCAAGGCTCCCTCCGCCGGCGCCGCCATCTCTTCTCCTCAGCCGCGTCAAGGCGTCTGGTCGCCGGAATATGCCGGCGGGTGGGAGGGAGGGAGAAGAGGCGAACGCGCACGCGCACAAGCGTCGGCAGCCCTCCGTCGGAACGACTCGGCAACCCCGCTGGGGATAGGAGAGGGCGGGCGGGCGCGGGGGGGGGGAGGGGAAAGCGGAGACATACTAAAGGCGTCGCTATTGGTTCAGGCGCCGGGGAAGGGGAGGAGCCGGAAGTGGCGTCTACGGGGGTGTCGCGAGGCGGCCATAGAGAGAGAGAGCGCCGCTGGATGGCTGGGGCTGGAACGCGCGCGCCCCCTGGCTTCCTGTTCTGAGCGGTGGAGGAAACGCGACGTGTCTCTGCCCGGAGCGGCTGAGCGGGCAGGCGGAGGGTCGCTGGTGGTGGGTTCATAAAGGAAGGTCGATAGCTGGATTCGGTTCATATAATTCCTTTTCTTTTTTTAATAAATTTTTATCATGGCCTTCAACATTTCCCCCATGAAAATAGGGACGTCCTATTTAATAATAATAATAATAATAATAATAATAATAATAAATTTATTTATATGCCACCCATTAAACATTAAATAACTTACCTATACAGAGCTGCCTTCAGATATCTTCTAAATGTTATATAGTTACTTCTTTCCTTGGCTCGGGGGTTGCATAACTCCATACCCTCCAACATTTATTTGATGAAAATAGGAAAAGCAAGACATTCCGGGTATCATATCAGAAACCGGGATGGCTTCTGTAAATCCGGGACTGTACCTGGAAAATAGGGACACTTGGAGGGTCTGTTTTATTAGGAAGACAAAAATTAATATCTTTTCCTTATTTTTTGCCCAAATTAAGACTTTGATCTAAACGCAATAGAAACACAAAGAGAAAGGAATAAAGAGAAAAGTAAAGAAAAAGAAATAGGGAAGAGGTTAAAAGAAAGAGAGAAATGAAATTCAGAAAATAAGGGACTTCCGATTCTTCGTCCGTCCGCTATATATTGTCCACCATCTATTCATTTCATCCACTCCAGTATAACGTCCAACAAAACCACTTTCTGTAAACAAATAGGTTCTTCCTTTTCTGAGCTCTCATCTCCGTTGTTGCACCGATCTCAGATGGTTAGAACCTGTGCAAGTTCATGTGAAAAAGCTGAATACATGCAATTTTGAAACTCCTCGCTAAGTCTTGATATCGCAGAAGTTTCTGTAGCATTGAATTGGGCACCTGCAGTTTCGTTTTTTCCAATCAGTTTAATGAAAGGTTTTCAAATTTAAAAAACCAAGCCACACAGATCTAATATGAAAAACCAATACAAAGAGAAAATGGAGGCAATAAAAGGAAAAAGAAAGAAGAAGAAAGGAAATTGTGTCTGTGTGTGCGCGCGTGTGTGTATTATCCCCTTCTATCACCATTCCGTCTTAATCTTCAATTCACATACAGAGAGAGTCCTTGCAGCTCCCACCTGGGATAGCTTCCACCTTACTCAGCCTCTCGCCTTGAGAAATACCGTATTTTTCGCTACATAGGACGCACTTTTTCCCTCTTAAAAACTAAGGGGGAAAGTCTGTGCGTTCTATGGAGCGAATGCAGGGGGCGAGGCAGTCAGGAAAAGCCCCTAAGAGCCACACACAAGCTCCGCGCGACTCTTGCAGGCTTTTCTACGAGGAGGGACTGACGCGGCCAGTCAGTCCCTTCTCCCTCCTCATAGAAAAGCCCGCAGGAGCCACGCGCTCATTAAAGGGTGCGCACTCCTGTGGGCTTTTGCGGGAGGTGGGGGAATTGCCATAACTGTGTGCAGCCTCTCCAGCTGGGAGAGGCTGCGCAAGCCTAAAGAAGCCAAGGCAGCGAGCGCGATCCATCCAGCCAGGAGAGGTTGCGCAAAGCTAAAGATGAAGCCAAGGCAGTGAGCAGGATGGATCGCGCTCGCTGCCTTGGCTTCTTTAGCCACGCTTCTTTAGCCGCGCTGGATAGGTTTAGCTCCCGGCTGGAGAGGTTGCACGGCTATGGCAGAAGCCAAGACAGCTTCCCCCGCAGCCCTGAGAAGTTCTGGGAGAAGCGGACAGGCTGTCCGCTGCTCTTTGGGGCTGGGGGGGGGGGGAATAATATATTTTTTCTTGATCTCCCCATCTAAAAACTAGGTGCGTCTTGTGGTCCGGTGTGTCTTATAGAGCGAAAAATACGGTGGCACTCTAAGCTGTCTCCCACACATGTCCCTTTCCCTTCTGTCCATCTTCTCTCTGTATGTATCTTCTTTTATCGCAAATATAAATCTCCATAATTCAAAACATAAATGTAAGTGATAATAATAATAATAATAATAATAATTTTTATTTATACCCCACCATCCCCAGCCAAGGCCAGGCTCAGGACGGCTAACAAGCAATAATAAAAACAAGTTGAATGAATACAACTTAAAAACAAGATCAAAATACAACAATTAAAATACTGAAACATTAAAATATTAAAATGCAGCCTCATCACAGGAGGAGAAAGGAAAAAGAAAAAAGAAAGAGGGGGAGGGAATCAAATTAGCTCCAAGCCAAAGGCCAGGCGGAACAACTCTGTCTTACAGGCCCTGCGGAAAGAAATCAGATCCTGCAGGGCCCTGGTCTTATGAGGCAGAGCGTTCCACCAGGCCGGAGCCAGTGTTGAAAAGGCCCTGGCTCTGGTTGAAGCTAATCTAACTTCCTTAGGGCCCAGGACCACTAGGGTGTTGCTATTTATGGACCTTGCGGCTCTCCGTGGGGCATACCGGGAGAGGCGGTCCCGTAGGTATGAGGGTTCTAGGCCGTGAAGGGCTTTAAAGGTCAAAACCAGCACCTTAAATCTGATCCTGTACTCCACCGGGAGCCAGTGCAGCTGGAAAAGCACTGGGTGAATATGCTCCCATGGCAGAGACCTCGTGAGGAGCCTCACTGCTGCATTCTGCACCTGCTGGAGTTTCTGGGACAGCTTCAAGGGCAGCCCCATGGAGAGCAAATTACAGTAGTCAAGCCTGAAGGTGACCGTCGCATGGATCACTGTGGCCAGGTCGGGGCGGGAAAGCTAAGGTAATACTGAACTAGAGAGCAGTGGATTCCCAACATGTACACTCAGGACTCTGTAAACACTTCTCCCTCCCAAACAAACCATTGACGGTCATTTTCTTGAGGGAAATCAGTTTCATTCTTGATTGAGAACTAGAAATGAAATTGAAACACTAATACGTGCTTAAGAGCAGCTGTAGCCCTGTTGTTTGCTTTTAGCTTAAGGAACATTTTTTAAAACTCCCTTGCAGTCTGAAGTCCATCTCACACGACCTTTGATCTCCTTTAATGGAAATATGATTGCTCATTTATTAGTTAACTGGTTCTATAAAGAAAATTCTTAACAACTAGTCAAATACAGGTACCCGCAGAAGCATAATAGGTTTGACAATATCTGCATCTAAAGACATTTTTTCATGTTAGAAATTAAACTTTTGTGAGTTCATGTGTTTTGTAGTAAAGGGTAAAGGGACCCCTGACCATTAGGTCCAGTCGCGGATGACTCTGGGGTTGTGGAGCTCATCTCGCTTTATTGGCCGAGGGAGCCTGCGTACAGCTTCTGGGTCATGTGGCCAGCATAACTAAGCCGCTTCTGGCGAACCAGAGCAGCGCACGGAAACGCCGTTTACCTTCCCGCTGGAGTGGTACCTATTTATCTACTTGCACTTTGTGCTTTCGAACTGCTAAGTTGACAGGAGCAGGGACTGAGCAACGGGAGCTCACCCCATCACAGGGATTCGAACCGCCGACCTTCTGATCAGCAAGCCCAAGAGGCTCAGTGGTTTAACCCACAGTGCCACCCGCGTCCCTGTATTATGCTTATGTAAACCTTGTGTTTGATAAACACAATTCATGTGTTCACATCAATTCAAACAGAAATGAAAAGAAAAAGCAATCCATACCTTTCTTTAAAATAACCAACAAAGATGAGTAGAGCAAGAGCAAAGTCTGTATTTACTAACCAGGTTCAACTGGTGCATTTACATCAAAACAGCCCAAGGTATAAATATTTGCTAAAGAAACAGCATTACCAAGTCCCTAAAGGTAGTTTCCAATGCTTGTCAATACAAATTTCCTATTTATTGAAGTTATAAAATGTGGCCACTAATCTGCCTCTTGCAAAAAGCTTACGAAGAAGGAAATCTTCCCATTGCTACATATGGTAAAACTGAAAGAGCTTGGATTGCCAAACCAGTCACTAAAGTGAGTATTGGCCAATTACACATGAACAGGTTGCAAAACACTAAGCCTCCATTGTATTAGCATTCAGAAAGCCTTGTCGTTGTCAAAGCCAAGTTCAGAAAAACACAATTTATGGAAACAAACATGGCTTTCACATCATACTTTCTATTTTAAACAGGAGATATCACACACTGAAGACTGGAAGCCAATGGTTGTCACTTCTGAACCCCGATGTTGGTTGCGTTTTCTGAAGAACACTGGCAAATGCTCACCATGAGCAGAAAACCTGACTGCCTGTTTAGAAACATGCAAAACAGAAATACTTGGGAGTTGAGAAAATGAGATTTTGTGACATTCCACAATTTTGCACGCATGGCTGAAAAATGCACAAAAGTAAATGAGTGCCCAACCATTGCAGTTAGTGGGACTGTATCTATTTGGCAAATTCATTCAACAAAATTATTTGCATCCTCAGAAACAGAAAACTTGTCATAGCAGACTTTTTCTCTTCTGCATCTGCCCTGATGTTTTGCCACTTAATTTTTTCACAGGCAAATGCATCTTTATTACTAAGGGTAAAAACCACAACATCATTGCAAAACTTTTCTGTTACACAGTCTGTATTTTTCTCCAGGTAAAGAGGCATGCAGAATATTAGATTGATGGATAAATCTATCTAGAGCCATTGTCAGACAGTATGTCCTAGAGAGCCGTACAGGTATATAAAATTAGGATCATTACATATTCTGATGTAAATTTTTATATTTCTGGTGCAGAATCCCTTTGCTCAGAGAAGCTGCTGCTGTGGAAACAGCAAATTGAGTTTCACCTGAACATGCACCCCAGACCTTACTTTGGATACAAACACTTGTAGTGAATCTTAATGTTCTACAGTATTTTATTTTATTTGCTCAGTCATTTTTAGT